TCCGCCCCACCAACTCCAGAAAGTTGGAGAATTTTGGGAGATTGAAAAGCGCCAGCGGAAAGTATAACTTCGCCCCTTGCGTGAACAGTCTTTGAGGCACCATCGAGACTGTATTGGACTCCAATGGCTCTGGGAGGCTTGCCTTCGTCAAACAGAATTCTCTCGACAGATGAGTTCGTAAGAACATGAAGGTTTTGTCGAAGCTCAACAGGCTTAAAGTAGGCCGAGGCGGAGTTACTTCTCTGACCCTTCGAGTCGATGCTAGCAAGGCAACTGAATGAGCCTACAGAGCTATGGATGAACGGATCCCCGGCGTTGTATTGCCCCCTACTGCGGAACAGTTCGGCCCACGCCTTGCGAATAGGGTGCTTCTCGTTGCCAAAAGATGTTTGGATCGGACCTTTCGCATCGTTCAGTTCAGGCCAGTCCTCAATTGCCAGATCTTCTTTGACATCCTGTGCTACAGCCGGACTGCTGTAGGCCTTGGAGAAATAGTGCTTTAACATGGTCCAATTCCATCCGGGGTTACCGAGTGCCTCCCACGAGTCAACAACTCCCTTGAAAGGAGGAACGAAGACGTGTGCATTTAAGGAACTAGAACCTCCGAGTGCCTTGCCCTGGTTGAGGCCAAGCACTCTGCCATTGAGGCCCGGCTGTAAAAGCAATGAGTAAGCCCAGACCCTTTATTGAGACAGAGACAGTCCTTACTTGAGGGGAAGATTGGAATTTCCAATCGGCGTCGGATCCAATTAGGGCAGCATAAAAGATGGGAATGTTCACACGGGGATCTGTTGTCAAGTCGGCGCCTGCTTCGAGAACCAGGACGGTGGTGCTGGGGTCTTCGCTGAGTCGAGAAGCAACCACCAGGCCAGCCGTACCGCCGCCAATAACGACATAGTCATATACAGCAGCCATTTCGTACTGTGTGCAGGTCTGGTTAAAGGTTGAACAAGAATGTGAGATAGTCGAGCTGCGAGCGTAGCAGGTGATGCTGAAAAGAAAAGGAAGAACCGTGGACAGGAAATACATATTTACTGGTACTAAATGACCTACCCCCGGTGTGTTAACGTGTTCACAGTCAACAAAGAAACAGATTTTATCAGTAGCACCCAACAATATGGAAGTGTTATAATTAGCTCCACAGATGCCAGTTCTACCCCGCCCAAAAAGTCCTGAATCCACCGGCCCCTCCTCAATGCAGTTTAGCAGGTCGGCGATTATTATGGTACCATTTCAAATTACCAACGTCTGCCCCACCCTAATTTCTAACACGATGATCCGGCTTGAACCGCCAAATGGAACTATGGGGCGAAAACCATCCACTATTCAACGAACGAAATGTTGGGATCCTCGACAACGCGGGATGGAGTGCTAGTTCAAAATAAGAGGACCAATCAATCTCCGGCCCGCTGCAGTAACTCTAATGGAGGCGCAGCTTTAATATATCCAATTCCAGAATATAGCCAGGATCTGAATCCTGCGCGTAATACTATTTTTGGCCAAAAGTCTCGCGCTAGTTGGCTTGAGACCAAGGACCGAGATAATTATCGCGGGCCTTGCTACAGACATAGAAAGTATCAGTACAAGAGGGTCACCTCGGAATTGGAGAATGGAGGGCTGTATTGAAGTATAGATAGGTTTAAACTTAGAGTACTAAACTTGGTACTAATCGCTTAAGGGAAAGGGACATTAGCAGAATAACGAGAACGGAACTCGAAGGTATATTATCCTTGAGATCGTAGGATTTCGACTTCGAATATGAAGGCTGACAAGGCCAATGGCCTGCTAATGAGTTATCAGTGTAAAAGTGGCTAAACTATCGGCGGCATGGTCTCCGCGCTGACTGAGTGTATTCCAGCGTCTTAGGCTACAATGTATCATTAAACTTGAGAGTAGAATTGAGTAGCTTTAGCGGGTGGCAATTAGAAGGTTGCAATGTTGGAACCTTTGTTTATTTGTGTGGTAATTGGTTGCTAGCCTGCATGTGGGAGACTTTTGGGCAGCACAACTACCAGTTCTCGTTAGCTCACAATACCTCTAAATTGATTCAATAATAACATAACAGTCTTGATTCTAGGAGAATGGTTCTCGGTCTCCTATTCACTAGTAACATGCATTCCAGACACTCAGATGTAGACGTCTACCCTGTGGCCCCCAACAATCACCGTCTTTATTTGGCATCATGCATCGTGACCGGATATATGCAACATTTGAATACTCGGGGCCCCTACCGACCGACTCAACACGGATCCAAGGGTTGTGAATTTAGCAATTCGACGCGAATCTGTTGATTGTTCTTGCGAAGCTGCAGGGGATTATGCCGTGAGCTGCAGACATGTTGGTGGCGTCTTGTGTGTCCTGTATGCATGGGGCCCAAATTCCAAGCCTCATATTGAGTTTTGTGATTTGACTTCATCGGCGAAGTTGAGGTGTGTTGGTCTCTCGTCATGGGTTGTGACACAGCTATTTGCTTCTGAACAACTCACATTCGACTATCTAAAGACACTTCAATTGAAAGAAATTGATATCTTTACTCTGACAATGCAAAAGAAATACCAGTCTCGACAACGAAAATAGTGCAGAGAACTGGATGGTTTCCGGCCTGTCATGGAACCATCCACACGTCATACAACTCAACCGCTGAAGGATTCTCGCTTGTCATGTAGTTCCACCTCTGAAGGATCACCTCCTTGTCAGTGAATAATTGTGTGTTTTATTGATTGCCTCGAAATCGAAATTGGCCTTCGAGCCGGCGTCATTCCACGAAGACTCGAGTACGGCTCTGGATGAATAAAGGCAAGGTCGTGGACACTGGCACACGAAGGCTAGCTAAGAGACACTACTACACTTTGCCTATTATTGAATTACCTGTAGGCTTTTTGATAGCCTGATCGTGACTTCCATCATACCTACGACGATGGCGTCTTTCCTATCATCATCATGCTATCATGCATACACTGCCCATCTATTTGTCTACGATAACATCAAAGAAATCATTTGCCTCGGGCTTTTATTTGGGGCGTTGAATGCTTCTGTGGCGTCTGAATTCGACATGGGCGCCTCCTTGTCTTTCAACCAGATACTGGCGTCTTTACCTGGAATGTTCCTCTGGTCATGGAGCAATCTGTTTCTTTTCACGCTCCATAATCAGCGCTCTGCCTCCGCCATCTCGGAGGACAAAATCAACAAACCCTGGAGACCTCTTTCAGCCGGCCGAATATCCCCACGTCAAGTCAAAACGCTTATATATTGCATGTATCCCGCCATATTTGCAGTTTCAGGCACCATGGGCGGTGTTGTGCCATGTATTCTGGAGGCATTCTTTTGTCTGTGGTACAACGAATGGAACGGTGCATCAAACCCACTATTGAAGAACTTGTTTAATGGTGTTGGGTTTGCGTGTTTTTTTGCTGGCCCACTAGAGGTTGCAACAAACAGCTCGGTTTTTTCTGGCGATATGAAAGCATTCATGTGGCTCCTTGTTCTCGCCGCGGCAATTACGACAACTGCTCACGCCCAGGACTTTCGGGACATTGACGGAGATAGAGACTCCGGTCGAAGAACAGTGCCCCTATTAATCGGAGACAGCAATGCTAGGTCTGCCCTAGCAGTAGGAATTATAGGGTGGACTGCGTTGTCCTGTTGGTTTTGGGACTTGGGCTCGGCTGAACGCACATGGCTTTCCTGCATTCCCGCGTTCGTTGCGGGCACTATAGTGATTTGTGGATTTTACTGGGACAGAACTCGTGAGGGTGATCGAAGGTCTTGGAAGATTTACCCACTATGGCTCGTTGGACTTATTCTTATACCTCTGCGTATCCTTTGAGAAGCGTCCTTGGGAGACAATTTCGTCTTCCTGCGAATAGTCTGTAGACCCTTTGGAATGATGTGTGGTGGCAGGTGCTCTAATAGACCAATCCATTACGGCTGATACAGTAACTTGATCTTTGACTGTCAATTTGAGGTGCTTGTTTGGGCTAGGCGCTACTGTGATAACAAATCTCGGAAGGTGCCATCCAAACGAGGATGATAAGCCAGAGAGTCAATTCAAGTCAATTCAAGTCCTCTGATTTACCCCTTCGGAATGGGGGCCGCGAGCCTCTATGCACGGGGTTCCATTCTGGAGCATATATTAGGGCTTTGTGCCCTGTTTGAAGTTCCTTGTGGGGATTTCTTCCTTCTCTCCCCTCTTTCCTCCCCCGCACACTATTCTGTGCGCGGGTGGGAAGTAAACCCACCAATCGGCGCCTGGTAGAGTTTAGATAGAGAACCAAAGTTCAATATAAGGAAAACGGGCTAGAGAGGTGAAAGGTGCCTGGGGACTTGGAAATATACGGAGTAACCTATGGGAATGAGTATTTGGGGGGGCGGGTTGGGTGGGGTCGGCCCCCGTGCGTCCATAGGTGTCCCTAAGTGTCAGGGCTGAATTTAGCTCATTTGTGCAGATGCAGGTGTCAAAATGGGTTGCACTCGCGAGTTCCGTAAATCCTGAGGGGTCCAGATTTCCAAGATGTAACTTGTAAGACATGCGCCCTCTGGGCGTGGGCGGGTGAGGCGGCCGGTTCGGCCATTCCCGTCCCGGAGAGTCTGTTGGGCTTTGGGGTCCATAGTGGGTGATATGTGTGGGCGACTCTATGCTGCCATAAGAACAGATAGTTTTCGCTTCGAGGTGCATCCCCGAATATGAGGGTTAACGCCAATCACATGCCTAAGGCCCTTCAAAGCTAAGTACAAACATTTACTCAGATTAGTGCGCTCTGTTAGCCTTTCTTGTAGTCTGCACCATATAGAAATGATCCCTGTCAAGCGTTACATTTCTCGTGACTGGTGCGCATATCGCCCCCACGACTGTCAAGACTGTCTTATTAACAAGTCTCATGTACTCGGATCTCTTTACATTGTAAGTCACATCGAAACCCATTGTACCTACAAGACATCTTTATTGACATTTGATCCCCTCTGAAACAGTGCATGAACCTGGCTTATCTCTTTCTCTCAACATGGTGCTCCCATTAGGTGCCGTGCAGCTAGCTGTGGTATCATTCATCGTGGGCCCAATGGCTATCATCGCTGTAGCGCTTAGACTGTGGTCTAGGTATCTCCAGAGAAGAAACCTGGCCGCGACTGATTACTTGGTATTGGTAGCATTGGTACTAGCCGAGTCAGCTTTGTCCGTGTTCGTGGCAGGTAGGTTTGTCGAACATTCAGCTCCGCCTAACTGAAGAGACAAAAAATTCGAACTCACACTTTCCACCATCTAGCTGGCTTTGCAGCTGGCCTCGGAGTTCATTTAGAAGAGCTTTTAGCAACGGCTCCTCAAAAGTTCGCTCTGCACATGAAGGTGGGTTGATGGGTATTGCAACAATTTTCTCCTCTACACTCTATGCTAATTGCCTTTCGCCACTTGTTTAGCTTTTCGTGCCTGCCCAACTGCTGTGGGCTGCGGCGAACTCGTGTGTCAAGGCATCAATACTATATCTCTACATGGACCTCTTTCCCAATAGGACCTTTTGCCGTGTGTGCTATGGTACCCTCTTCATAACTGCCGCGTATTTCACCATGGTGCTGATCGAAACCTTCGCGCTTTGCAAACCTGTCCAATATAACTGGGATAAATCAATTGAAGGGGAATGCAACGGTGAAAACATTGCTTATCTCGTTGCTGGCATTGTCAACCTCACCATCGACACTTTCATTGTGGTACTACCGATGCCTCTGGTTTTCAACTTGCAACTGATTATGACCAAAAAAGTTGCCGTCGCTGCAATGTTCAGCCTCGGGGCGTTGTAAGTCGATACAGTTGCACTCCCAACATTAATTCCTCTTGTTTTATTTCTTCTTCTCCTGCAGAGATAGGCCACTTACTATGTTCACGCTTGCTAGGATTTGCGTTATCTCTCTATTGAGGGTTATTTGGTTGTGGACTTGGGATCTAACTGATATGACCTACAACGTTACTCCTGGAGCCATTTACTCGGTGTTGGAACCAGCCCTTGGGGTTGTAAACGCGTGTTTGCCCACAATTAAACCTGCTCTCACCCAGCTATTTGGAGCGTACGTACTGCTTTATTACTTGTTTTCTTGACAAGTATTCTCGGTTTCCACATTGCAAGCTCTAAGCTAACACTTCACAGTGGCACCCTCCAGGGCACGAAAGCCAGTTCCAACACCGGCGGGAATTATAGTAGCGGATCATGGAGTCGACAGCTCAACGGAAAAGTGAAAGGCAATCTCACTCGGGATTTCGAACGGCTTGATGATGAATTTGCACTTCATGAAGTGCCCGCCGACAGGAATTCTGACGTCGGTCTCACTAGCGCGACCACAAGTCGTCGATTCTAAGTTGGCCTTGAGTAACGGGGAAGCTCTTGTGGCTTGGGCGTGTCATGATTTACCATTCTGTAATTTAGTGTTATCGAAGCCTGACTTCCACAGTTTGGGCTGTGTTATCGTACCTTGTTTGCTCATGCGTATTGCTTTCTCGTGTTAATGTTCCACCCCATCGGTCTTCTACTCGCTCGTCTGGTTACATCCGATCAAAGTCCTGAGCATTCAGGGCCGGATCAGTAACCTTACGCATTTTTGCCGCCCCATTTCTCGCTCCACGGCTTTCCCCCTTCGGCGGACCTTGACACTCCTTACCCTCTCTGCACTGAACATACTATCAACCTTGTGAGTGGCCCTGCCAAGATTGCACCTTTACATTATGCTCGGTTGTTCTCAGCAACAAAGTCGTCATTCTGATACAATTTAGCTCGCCGGTCGCCTTGTCGTTCTCTTCACTTTTGCGGGCGCCGTGCGTGACGAGTCCCTTAAAGAGACTGGAGTTTTAATTAGTGCGGTGAAACTGGTCCGCGAAATTTAGAATGATACATTAGCTCAAGAATACAATTTTTGGGGGTAATATAACGTTGGCTATGATGATTAACGTGCACGTTCCTCTAGCTCTAATCAAAATGGAAGGACGTACTATATTGACTATTCTGGCATATCCTACAAACACTGGCAATCAACGCTTCCGGCCTATCATACAAGCTCAATTTCAGTTCAACATGAAGTCATTTGTGCTTTATCCCACACTTAATCACATAAGCTGTTATCACGTATGCTATTCCTGGTGGGTACCTAGAGTACCTTCTACTATTGTCTACCGAATTGAGCAAGAGCGGACCCGAAAAGAATTACCCCATGTACGCGTAGTATGCTACAGTATGTAGTTTTAGAAGATCAGACCACAAACCAGCAAAAGCGAATACATACTCAAATTTCTCGAATCATTTCAATACCAAAATTCGTTTTCATCTGCTTTTCGTGGTCTCTCCTCTCCCCTTCCTTTGCGTGACGAAGATACCACACAATGACCAACAAGAGAAAGGCAACCACTTCAGCATCGAACGCAGGAGGCCCAGCCAAGAAGACTCGCGCCGCCCGAGCAAGCACATTGGAGGTCATACCCAGCAACAAGCTATCGTGGACGAAATGTGCAACGGCGGAAGGGGTCAAAGATACCTCTATCAACGATCTGACAACACTGAATTCCGGGTCCCGAGTTACTGACGCACAGTTTCTCACTTTTCGAGTCATCTGGCCGGGTAGGAAAGGCATGGAGGCTTTGAAAATCCCAAATGAAGAAAAGGCAGATGAAATCATCGAAGCTATGAACCCCTGGTGGCAGCGCTACATTAAGCACATGAAGGATGGCAAGCTAACCTCTCCATCGATCCAATTAGGTACCTTCCAAACGGTCAGAAGTAACCAGCAGAAGGTGGAAAATGCGTTACCGAAGGCGTCGTCAGAGTCTGAATCTCAATCGACGACAAGCGAAACCCCCGCAGAAACGGACTCGCGGTCGACTTCTCCAAGCCAGCTGAGACAGAGAACTCCCGCAGCAGACAGTTTCGATCCTGAGAAACAGTGGATAAAAACGAAGGACGAGCAGATTGTCAACGACGCCATCATATCCTACCTCGACGTCCTCACACTCAATATACCTGGGTTGGGAAGTCTTTGTTCCTCGGAACGCCTCCGCCTCTTATTCGAATTCAAGGCCGCTCAAATGGAGGCTCGAACGGGCGGTTTTTTAGGCATACGCGGCAAAGACGAATCAAAGGAGGCCTTTGCCACTATAGAGGCCAAAGCAGCGATTCGCCAGCGGTCCAACCATCACCACGGTGTTTACAAGGAGGAGTCCGCCCAAACAGTTCTCCTGATCGCACAAGACTCGAAGAACGGGCGATTTACGACATTACCACGTTTACAAAGCGCTCATAAACACCAAAGACTACCCAGATCCCAGGATAGGCACGAGATATTCATCGTAATCGCTTCATATGACGACGACTATGTTCGTTATCTCAAGAAGGAAGACCCGCAAACACCTAGCTTCATGGTGATGCAAGAATATGGTCCGTTTATCATTGGTGAGTATACCAATATGCAATACCTCGCACAGTTCATCGTCGGGTTTTGCCTTGAGGTGAACGAGCGAATTTCGATGGCATGTCCCAAAGTGATCATCGATAACCACCCCTAATTGGGCACTTCTTAATCATCCACCGCTGCTAGCCTTTAGCAAATCATTTCTGCGGAGCTAAAGGCACTGCCACTCGCCATCAGCAAAGCTGTTGTGCAAATCAGAGAGGCCTAGAACTAGAATCCGTGGCAAATCGATCCGCAGTGTGCCACGGACAGAGAATGAGCAGCGCGTACCCGCCTTCAGCAAAGCTGTGGCTTACTTTATCACTAGCCCAAACAGGATCTGCTATACGAAGCGATCGGGCAAACAGGTGACCCTCCAGTGATAGGCTCGCGCCTCAACGTGGCACTGGAGTCTAGTAACCCACTATTAACGGGCGAAGCTAAGACGAGCTTTTTGTGGTCCAATTTGTACATATTTCAAGTACGTGTAAACTACCGCGTGAAGCATGTAACTGTTCACACCTTGTGCATCATCTTCATGGTTGTAGTTATATATGCACCTCATGACCACAAACAATACATGTATCGTCCACCGATAACACTCATGGAACGGATTGTGGGCGGACCGCGAGTGGAGATTTTATGAAGGATGGGGACATCACAGAGCAGGTCCAAAACCTAGAACCAGTCACATTTGACAATGAGTCAACTACGCCTCTCAAAACAAGCAGACGGGCCCAATACACGCGTTGTCAGATGTCGCCGTCTCGATAAGCTGAAGGATATGGGAGAACATCTGGATAACTATAGCTGATAAACCAGGAAGTGCCATGACTAACGCATTCTGGGACATACGCCAGTACGATAAGACTACCGCCAGGGCTAGCACAATCACAAGACAACTTTCTGATGAATTATGATGAATTATGATGAATTATGATGTTTCTTCTCACTTCAGGCAACACTTCCTTTACTATCTGACAACAGTGATCAGAGAAATCTCAGTGGAACACGCGAGGGTGTACCTATACGAAGCGGTCAAACGAAAAGCTAAAATAGCGTAACAGCAATTTCTCCTTTCATAACAACTAGATAGCAGCAATAGTACATCTCATAACAAGTAAATTAAATCACCGAGGACACGAGGCGCACTTGGTGGGGACTTTGGGATAATCGTTATCAGCAATAGGCCGGGTGGTTGCACTCACAGGACTGCTAGCCTGATACCGTACGAAAAGAGGAATAGGAGCAGCTTCCTCCTCTTCATGATCCACCTCAAAACTCATCAACGGCGAGTATTGTACAACCAGGCTCTTCCCATCATGGTGTGCCTGTAGGATTCTGCCACTTCTCGGGCCCACGTACGATAGAATAAGAAGCTAATATCGGATGAGCATTAGATGTCTTAAAATTCGTCTTGAGATAGGCACCTACCGGTAAGATAACATGAGAGCCATAGAGCGAGTCCTGATAGCGAAATCGAAGGGCTCTTACAATCGATTTTAGCTCTCCGATTGTAAAGGTCTGGTTATTTGCGTTGACGTTATGAATGGTGCAAATTATCATGTGAGGACACACAACGCTGTCCCATTCCCTAAGTGACTGCCACCTGTAAGACACCGTTGACAGTAGCTCAAGGTCACCCCCGGGTATTCTTCGCCTTCTGAAAAGCAATGAGTAAAGAAGATCAATCTGGAACGAAAGCAAGGACAGCCTGGTGAACTTACCCGGGACTTTCGTGAATGGGAGTGAGTCCATGCAATCCCCAGCCATGTGGAAGACGAAAGTCTGTAGTACGTCGATCGACATGCTCGCACATCAAGCGGGTTACCTCGAAGATCGAATATTCATAATCAAAAATGGAATCAGCGAAAGGGTAATGTCTCGGAGTTGGGTAATAGAAAGATGCTATTGAGGCAGTGGTCTCTTCTTCCAGTGGAAGATCATCAATGATATCTTGAGAAAGAGGTTTGAAGAAACATGGTGAAAAGTCCACCTCATCTTCATCAAATCCTACGTTTACCGGTCGAAATCCGATACTCGGAAGTTCCTCGATATGGATCAGTTCTTTATCAAGAGAATCAACGGCAGGTGACATTGAACCGAGGTGATCATAGATAGCTTGACGCTTCTGTTTGATATCCCTAGCCATATTGTATGTGGTTGAGATGCACGGAGCTGAATGAGGGTGGTTGTTGAAGTTGTCCTGTTGCCTATTGCAAAGCAGGGTCTTGCTTGAGACGTTTGTCATGCCTACGTCATCGTTGGTCATGTTACTTTACCAGATTTTTTCTACGGTCAAGATGACGTGACGGACACATCGTTCATTCTGTTGGATATTGATATGTTTTGCGCCCATGCCACGGCCACGGCCACCGCGACCACCACGCCCGCCGCCATCTGCCTGGCAGTTGATGTTATGCAACATTGTTCCAATGACGAACGAATTAGTAAATCTTCTGGGCCGATCGCTACTCACCATAGCCTGTCTTATCAACTGGTCATATTTCGTTCACTGCGGTGGTCACATGGCATTGGCGAGAAGTGCATCATTTCAAGTCTTTCACAGAATCCGACACTCGTTATAACCTTCTCATTGTAAGTTTACATTAATCTTCTAGCTTAAGTATTTCTCTACCTCGCTCACCGATACAAGGCGCAAGGAGGAATTTATCGAATGCATCCAACTTTCCGGACACCTGCCCCGTCTCGAAAGCCCTCGAAAAATCCCCGTAAAGCACGGTATCCGAGCCCAAACGATGCGACTCCGCATTCCACGACGCATCTGTGTTGATACTCCAGAACAAAGAACCGAACGTGAAGGGCAGAACGCTCAACTGCCTCACAATTGTACAACTTCCCATCTTCAGCATCGAATAGAGCCCCTCGATCAGCACGGAAACGATGACCGTTCGTCGAACGCTCTCTGCGAAAATCCATTCCCGCCATGTTGACGGATTTCCGAGCTCACCGACGCGAACTTGAAGCTCCATGGTCCATGCGCGCAAGGTATCCATATTCTGCTCCGCCATGGCGCGTTGTCGGACGTCGCCGTCGAAAAGCTGGATGATGTGGAGGAGCATCAAGGCTTGGACCGTGGCGAGAAGTTCTTCTAATGTGGCTTGGTGGCTTCGTCGGACTAGACTTTGCGTTCTGGCTTCGAGAATCTGGAGAACCGTGTCTTCTGTCTCTGGTGTTCTGCTGTAATACGAAGCTGAAACCATGAAAGCATCCTGCATTGCGTCTGGAAGACATACGTCATAGAGGCGATCATGGATGAAGGGAGTTTTGCGAGACCGAGCAAACATTTCCGGGTAGCTTTTCAGGCCTCGAAGGAGCTGCTTTGTAGACCATCTGTCGATCACAGCGACCTCGGGGAAGTAGCCAGCGGGAAGCAATGTGGGGACCGCGAAGAGAGTAGGGCTAAGGGTCAGCCATGAGGCGAGAAGGTCCGCATCATTGAAGAGAGTAGTTTCCTCGGGCGGAAACGCAGACAGGATGTCGTCTATGGACAGCGACAATGACTCTATCGGTGGGAAGTATGGAGACTGTGCCGTGGTTTGTTGTTGGTGTTGCCGAGTGGATCTGGAGTAGCTATTGACGTAGGTGCATTCCAGCCCACGCGCCAAACATCGGGAACACTGTGGAGTTTGGCGATTACATCGTCGTTTGCCGTGGGCGCATGTGACGCATGATTTCTGCCGAGAGCGGGAATCAGTTGATATGCGAGGCATTTTGCGGATTCTTGACAAATGCTAAAGGTGAAGACGAAGAATGACACAGAAGTGCGGCGGGCGGGTCAAAGTCCGCAGGAAACTCCGCCGCCCCCACGCCAAAGTCCGCAGGGCTGGCCCAATCACATGGGCAGGTGTGTGTGTGCATAAATTAGTCATCCATCTATGCACAGCGCCAAGTCCGCAGGCCGCATAATGTATAGATTGCTCTGGCATATAAGAAGACCCGATGATTGCTTCATCTATGATCCTCATCAACAGCATATCCATCAATCTATCCTCACAATGGCCATCACTGAGCTTATCTTCCCATCTATCAAAACCGATCCGGCTTCTCTCATCGAGATTGAGCGAGATTGGCCCACAATCAGCAAACGATTGATCGACCCAAACCCCGGCTTGCTGAATGCTTTCCGTGGATTCATTCTGACTGAGAACGGAGTGGATGTACGAGATGCGTACAGAGAGTTTCTGCTTTTTGGTATCTCCGCCACCCAACATCCGACCGCAAGAACTCGCTAACACTGCCGCCATAGAGTGGGTTAAGGCAGAAGACTTTCAAGCCTTCATCAAGTCGGACCAATTTGCCAACTTCGCCAGCTCAATCAAACACCTAGTTACTGGCCCACCTACGCTACAGCTGTTCGAAACAAACTTCAGCCCCAGGGAGGCGGCTTCGGCGTCCGTTGTTGAGATCGTTCGGTTAAGTGTCTCAAGCCCTGAGCAAGTCGTCGCATCAACGCAAGCATGGGGTCAACTTGCCCGGAGCCTCAACGCCAAACACACACCAATGACATATGGAACTAGCACAAACCTTGAAAACAGTGTTGTCGTCGGAATCATTGGATGGAGTAGTGAAGAGGTATTTCGAAAGCCCTTTCTCTACAGTCCAGCACTTTCTTATGATGAATAGACTCGGTCCCAGATAGTGGAGGAGCCTGTGTGCGTTGAAGCTCTGCGGTCATTACAGCGTTTGGGAACTCTCAATAATATTGTGGTTGCTGTTGATGCAATGGATCTACCTCCCCTGTGAGGTACACTGTGGTGAATGAATTATTGAAAACCCGCCATTTCTCATAATCAGAATCAGAAACATTCTCAGCTCAAGGACATAATAATTGATATTAATGAATAGACCGTACTTCAAGTCCTCCTACAAGTACAATTCCGGCCAATCTTTTGCCATTGAACCATTTATATTAGTAGGTGAACATGTAGACGGGTCTAAGACATCTATTGCCCGTTTGTAGGAATCGGCGAATTTGATCCCAATACTAACACCACCAACATTGCCTCAGTGGATAGTAGTACGCACATTTCCAGGCATAAGTAATCGATTCAAAACTCCTTAGCTCGGCCCGCCTTCAACCAAATCACACGTGCGCTCCTTTGACCTACATACGTCCTTCACAGCAGGCCAGGCTAGTCTAATCACATTGGGGATTGTTCGGGTGCATAGATTAGTCATGCAACAATGCACAGGGCCAGGTCCGCTGGTCACCTTCTTGTTGTTGTCACTCTTCCTCCCTCGAGAAACAATCCCCCCCGTCTTTACCATGCACTGATTGCAATCCCAACCTCAAACAACATGTCGACTGACGAATTTGGACTTGTCACGGACGGCAAAACGACTAAGAAAGGTTTGACCGGTGTAGGAAACCTTAATGCGCATAACCATGATAGTGGTTATTAGTGACCGTGCTATGGTAATGGTTGACGCTGCGAGGGCCGCCCTTGCCACTACCACCCTCTCGCTTGCTGGGGTAGTGATTATTGGGGTGGTGGCGGCACCTCGGACATATGGGCGAGCCGGTTAGTAGCATTGGAATATGGGATGGGCCCGACTATACCTTTTCTCTGACGTCTTGCCGGGGGCGGCATGATGGGGCACGGCAGGAGCAGGCGCAGCCAGAGAACGGGACGCAGCACGAGCGGGAGAAGCAGCGGGGACCCCAGACTGCATATCATGTTAGTTTGTGCTTCTTAATGTGCATTCGATGAGGCTTTCCAACTTACAATATGATGAGGAGCGGAGGAGGCGCGGCTAGAGATAGAGGGGGAGAGCGGGTTCGCTCGCTGTGACATTGACAATCTGCTTTGACTTGAACATAACATCACGAAACTGCTGGGTTGTCAAATCACCTGGGACCCTTTGTGGCCATCCTCAGCAGGAATTGAGCAAAAGCCTCCGAACAAGAAGGTGATTTTCATCTGATTTTACTCACATGCATATTAATGTAGCGCTCTGTTGCTCTGTGAACTTTTGCCCCTTAAAAACAACCATCAAAAACACACTTAAATCTCGTGGCTGGCATTCGGGACATCCTCTATCTCCTTTTGGGAATATCTCGATTGTTAGGGAAGGAAAGAACCTCAAAGATCATTTTCGATTATACCAGCATTCTAAATATTCGATCCGCGGGGAACCCTAACAAGAACAATGAATATTCTTCTGATCGAAAAGCCTCAAAAGATGTTTGATCCCTATTTTTGCCCCGAAAACACCAATTGCATCACCAATGTACTCTGCCGTCGCAATTTTATAGCTGACGTATAGGGTCTCCTCTTGAAACAGGAGAAAGGCTTGCTCTGGTGCCATCACCAGTATTTATATGATTAGCAACGGCAGCGACATCAACACCATAACCACACAGTACTCGCTTTTTGTTGCCCATATTAACAGAGCACTAGTGTACTCCCTCGTACATATAGAACGTATCGGACAGTACAAAGCACAAAAGGCGTGTGGATTCCCAAGATGCGATCTCACCCCAAAGCGGACGAAAAGTCACTAAATAGCGAGAGGGATATTTGTAATCTCTTCCAACAAAGTCAGAGTCCAGCCACAACAAACCGCTATTTGAGAGAAACCTGTTCCTAGAGCCTCACAGAGTTCGAGGTAAAGACGTGTTCGCGGTATGTTAATTCCTCGGCGTTGATAATTATACTATCGTACCAAGAATTAGGGATATAATTGCTAAGTAAGACGCCTGAGATGTCTTTGTATACGGCAGTTAGCATTGTTAATAACGGCAGTCGACCATACAAACAAGAGCCTGCACAAGAATGGGTCGCGTCTTTGAAATCAAGTAGGCGGATGGCATTATTAAAGTTAAAATTAGTCTCAAGATTAGAGTACTCTCAAACATAAATCCTTAAATTGAAATCGCCACAAAGCTCAGTGAGTGAAACCGTAACCCATGATATGCAAGGCATCTACTGATGCACTCAATGAATGCTCACTCGCGTGGAAACAGAAGTCCCATCATCATAGTCACACATAACCAGCAAGCTGTTCCCATCCACCGCGACTTCCCCAGCCCAGTGACAATTCTTGTGCACAAGGGTCTTTTGGCCCCAGCTGGCTCCTCCGTCGGTGCTAACAACTACCTTGACGTTCGGAGGTTTCGAATCCCCAGCTTCTCGATCATCTTCCCAGGTCGAGAAGCTGACCACCAGAGTCTTTTCACCAACGCGGACAATCTGAGGAGCAGCCTCGCTGGGAGGTCCATTGGTGCCCTTATAAACCAGCCTGCGGTTACCCCAGGTCTTCCCGTCGTCGTCGGAAGTGACTGACGTGATGCCCGTATTATCCCACAAGCTCTCGAAGACAGCGATCAACTTCTTAGAGCCCGGAGCCACACGCGCGACGCCGACCATGCCATCGCGTTTCTGGATGTCACCGCCGGAAATCGTCTGCTCCTTGCCCCAAGTCTTGCCTCCATCCGAGGACCGCACGAGGACGTTGTTCTGGTCCTTACCATCCGTACGTGTCTCTCTCGAGAAAAACAGCATCAAATCCCCATTCAGCCCGTCCATCATGAACGGCTCCCATAGCCCCAACCCAGTGGTCTGTGTCGTGGCGACCGTGCTGAGCTTCGCCCACGTCTTTCCGCCATCATCAGACGAATACACGAGAATGATATGGTTGATGTATTTCGTGTCCTTTGCGTCGCGCTCGGGGTTCCGGAACGCCATCAGGATCCGGTCAGAGTCGGGCAGTTGGTGCAGGAAGCAGTTGTTCAGTCCGTGCTTCGTTTTCTCCTCTGTGATCGCTGTGCCCACGGGCTTCCAGGTCTTGCCTCGGTCGGTCGAGCGGACCGTCTCGAGTGCGAGCTTTCCGTTCTTGTAGGACCGGAAGCATCCCAGCAGCGATTTATCTTTGATATAGGTGGCGCGCGGGTAGGTGCCTTCACCCATGATCCCGGCCTTGGTGTCGACGCGAACCTCGCGCTTCACGATCGATGATGGAGAGGCATTAGCTAGCGGGAGGAGGATAAGGGAGATGAGGAGACAAAGGACCGTCAAAGGAAGACGACCCGAAGCCATCTTAAAATCCGAATGGAAGTAGTATTTGTCCCTCTGTGTGAGTACAAGTGGAGTTTTTGTTACTGAATGAAGTCTACATCGTGACATCTGGGGTGATCTTGATGTCTTATATACAGTATACTGATCTGGCTCACTAGCCAATTTTAGTCAAAATTGAGCATCAGCATTGCCTCGAGGCTGAGATGCCTGGGCACGCGGTTTGTCAGTGGCACTAATGGGAGAATACGAGGCCCAACTAGCCCTACGAGCCCCTGCGATCGCCAACAGCCGGGGCTAAACACGGCCCCGTTGATCTTTCCCCATTTACGGAAAGAGGATTACAGACTATGGATTGTGAACCAACTGTTCATACTACGTCATGGAATTTATGCTTTCGGCTGAGAGATTATCCGCTTGTATGTCTCAGGCTGAATGTTAGTCTTAGATTTGGTCAGCTAGAGCGTGGCGGAGTATACAGCCCATCTAACGTGACCATGAACCCCCTTGCTCCGGACTACAGTAACGGGCGGATATGTCGTCCAAGCAAGTCTTGAACCCTTGTGCAAAGATTTATCCACTTTTGGTCGTGAGTCACGGGGAGTTCGTTTTCATCGTTCGTGTCATAATAGGTAATGAGCTCCTATAGCTTGATTGAGCTTTCATGTTGACTTTATTTCCTCGATTCCAATAAGAGAAGTAACATGCTCTTGTATTGCTGATATAACGCATTCTGTTGCTCCATCGCCTTCTATATTTTCTTTTTCCTTTCTCCTGTTTTTGTTTTCGCTTCCCTTTTAGTGGTGGCTTCAGTTTGTATCTCAACTAGGAGCAATCTCGCTTCACATAGTGAATTTTGCAAGGCACTGATTTTTTCTTTCATTCACGCCAACACGCTTGATTCTCTGGGCTGTATTGGTGCGTCTAATACCGTGACATCATCGACATGGTATTGGCCATGAGCGACCAAATTATCTGATTTATCACATCTGCCTACATCCGACGAAGCCAGTTCAGGGATCGATGTGAATGGCCTGTATGCAAAGAACATACGTGGGTTATGCAAGTAATGCAGAGCTAGAACACAAGCGGGAATGATATTCCGAGCCCACCCACCCTTGTAAATGCAAGAATCAAAGCACTGGATAATGGCAGATACACATATTGTCAGGCAGGAATGCTTCTTCGACACCCAAAATGCAGAGATGCGGCCAATCATATAATATTCGCCTTCAAAGCCATTCATAAGACACCACCATGCCCCTCCTCGCAACTACCTCGACTTTTGAAAGTCGCCTTCAATCGTCAGTTTAATCCGACTGGGTTTCATTTCTGGTTCATTGAGTGCCTCCGAATATGTCGTCTACCCAAAGGGCCTTGCTCATTGCAGCTCCCTTTGAGGGCCTGAACGGAACTCTCTACGATGCTCAAAGTATTCTTCGAGTACTGGAAAGCAAAGGGTTCAACACTGACACCTGCTTTGGGGAGAATGCGACCCGAAGTGGCATTTTTGCGGCGTGGGAGCGTCTTATCTCCGAGACCAAGGAGAATGATGCGGTGGTTCTCTACTATTCTGGACACGGGGGGTTAGTTCAGTCGCCCCAAGGCGACAGACCTGTGGAGTCGAACGATGTTGCCACACCTTCCACACCTTGGAGATACCAATTCCTTGTACCGGTTGACTACGATCAGTCGACAGAGAGCGACTTTCGGGGAATTTTGGACGTCGAGATCTCACATGTGCTGCGGCAACTGACTGAAAGAACTCGCAACGTCACCGTCATTCTGGACTGCTGTCATTCCGGGAGGATGTTCCGGGCTCCGATGCTCGAGGGCCAGGCCCGTCAGAAGAGTCTCAAGGATGTTCAGTTCCATCAGGTTGCGCAACATATCACTGCTATGCAGGGACAGGGACAGCTTGAAGGACAGGGTTTCCTGACAGGTAATCCGCACGCCGTACGAATCGTGGCGACCGCTCCGTCCGAATCGGCATGGGAGTATATGAATCCTCGGGGGGAGTGGTGCGGGACATATACTGAAGCTCTGGTGAAGGTGATCGAAGACTGCTGGGGGCACGAAATGTCCTGGAAAACGATCTTCCTCCGCGTACGACAGCTCGTCAACAACCGTTTCCCTGGTCAGCATCCTCAAGTCGAAGGTCCGGAGACTCGCGTCCCTTTCTCCCTCCGACAGGCACCATCTTGCGTGCTGCAAATCAAGATTACCAACGGTCAGCCGATTATCCAGGGAGGAAGCGTGTTGGGGGTCCGAACCGGTAACACATATACTATTGTTCCTTTGAGTATGAACGACCAGCAAGTGTCCGGGGACAACTTTCCCGAAGCGACGGTGACAAACGTTGCCGCATTCAAAGCAAAGGTTAAGCTGTCATCGATGCCTTCCTGGTTATCGCTCAGTAACGTTGGTGCGCTCGCGGTCTTGAAGCGCGAGAGCATTGATAAGCATCCGATCCAAGTACCGGAGTCGCTGTCCTTTTTACGAGACCACGTCGAAGAGTCAACTTTGCTTCGGTGTCACACTTCGGATGAAAGTGAGCCACCACTTATGGAATTTCGTGAGCAGGGCGAATCGTTCATGCTTCTCAACCAGCAAGGCGTGGAGCTTGGATCAAGCCCACTGAATGAAGAGGAGAGCTCACGCAGGGGCAAGAACCTCATCGTCACGGCCGAGAGATTGGTTCGCGCCCAGAGAGTGCTGTCGCTGACATGCGAAAAGCCCGCCGACAAACTCAATCACATGCTGTATCACGAAATCGGCGTCGTCGAGGATGAACAGCCAACACGGTCGTCGCAGGTCGGTGGGGAGGACTATCATGTCTTAGAAAAAGAGTCAGTCTACATCAAGTTGCACAACCGGGGCAGAGACACTGTTTACGTATCTGTTTTTGACATCAACGTTGCCGGAGAAGTCTCTTTCATCACTCAAACCAACCCCGAGGGTATCGAGCTGCCAGAGGAACGATCCACTGTCCTGGGCAGTGACGACTTCGGAGAGCTGGTGGGATTAGAGATCACATGGCCCAAGGATGTCTCAAAAAAACTCCCTATTGACGAGCAGTTCTTGCTAATCATTACCAACACCCCGATGGATGTCCGGTATCTTGCCGACTCTGTGAATATCGAGCACGCGACCGGCCGAGACGCAGCAAGAGCGATCAGTACAGCCAAGATTCAATATGACGTAGTGCATCTGAAATTCAAGCTTCACCCAGCTGGTCAAAAGGACGAGGTAGACAAGATGAATGAGGCACAGCAGGAGCACGGTTTTCCATCCTCATGCATAACCTGCAGCGAGGAGCCGATTCGCGCGGCGAACATACTCGACGTCGAGCACGTTCCTGGGTGGAATGAGCTGCCGTTCAGTCCGCCAACGACAATGGCGAAGGTTAAACAACCGGTCTCTCTTTTGATCCCGTCCATACTTATTCTTTCCTTTGCTGTAGGGCTTGCTTGGCGCAATTGTTAGAACCGCACAACGTATCCCGCCATGTGTCTGGGTCATCAACAAGTACAGCGAAGAGATCACCGTGACCATCTCGAAATACCGTCCAAATCGACTGCTCACTGGTATAGGTGTGAACGCATCTGCGACCGGGGCCGGACTGGACTTTAGTTCGTCGGTGAGTTTGTTTCCTGGCATGATTTGACTGATTAGCAGGATTAGCTGATGTTGATCGGTTTGCAGACCTGGGTTGGTCCGGCAACGAAGAAGACACTTGCGCCCCAAGCCTGTGGGAAAGGGCAATTCATGGCGGTGTTCCCTTTGTGGACACGCAAAGAAGGATTTGGAGTGATCAGTGTTTTCCGAGGGCCTCAAAAGGAGCTGTTCATCGAGAATGACCGGGTGCCCTTGGGGGCTACCGTCTATTTCAATGGCGAGGCAGACTTCGACATCGTGGAATACGGGCAAGCCACTGCAAGCGGACACAACTCGAGGATTGGCTTAATCGTTTAATTCTGTCGCGAGGATTGTCAGAAAGGAAGACATGGATACCTAACTGACTTCGTTGTATGCGAGGAGTTTCCCAGCGGCAGAAAATGAGTTCGCTCACGTCCCTAGATGGTAGATCTTAATCAAGTTAAACAGTTTCGAATTCAAGCTAGAAAGCCTATCTTATAAGAGTCTTATTTTGAGAGTACATTATCGTGAATTCTTTGCCGGAGGCTGCAACGTGCCAAGCATTTTGCCAGAACCTCTTCCTTCCTGGATCACCGTTTTGATCATCATTGAGTTCAATTAATATGTCAGTTCACGGGTTGTTATTCTTTTTCTTGGATGTTGTCTTCATCGAAATAGTTTTGAAAGCTGTGACATAACTTGTGCTATACTACCATCCATGACGACATGATATATGCTTAATAACGCAGACCACATACGCTGGCATGATTGTCGACGCTCTAGGCACCTAGAGGCCACCGCGTAGTTCAAGAACAATGTAACTCATGATTCGAGACAAGTTCTGAGTTATACTAGTGCTTGAATATTGGTGTAGGAAGATCCAGAGTGTTGTAGGCTGTTGTCTACATAAAATGTGTGTTTCGAAGAGCAGATGGCGGAATGCTTGGCAGTATGCCTCAGGCATTAAACCATCTATGATATCCAGTAATCTTATCAATGTATCCCTTCTTTCGACTTTGAGAACTTTCAGAATACAAACTATCATCCCATGGGCTACATGAGAAAAATCTGATTGTTTTGGAAAAAAATTCCTCCTGAAGAAGAAGACTTTCTTGGTGTTAATCTTTCCGTGCTATTTACGCGCTGTATTTTCTACGTTTCTCATATAGAAGTTCGAGAAAACAATGAAGAACAATGAAATGTGGCTCATTTTTCAGTCCGACTCCCATAGCGCACGCGCTTTTGCTGTCCCTTATTTTTTGTCGATAATGACCCACCCCTTCGATGGTACGACAAGAGCGGATATAAGTACAACAGCCTGGAGAACGTGGACCACCGGCGACAAGACGAGTGACATCACTGCATGATATACAATACCAGCCCATGAGACATTGTTCAGGCTAAGATCCTGCAGGATCGCGCCGGCAAGAAAAACATGGATATTGGCTGCGTCGTTGAAAATCATCCAGTCACTATACCAGCTTGGAGCGTAGATTCTGTACCCCAGAACCCCCATCAGAGGTCTGCAAGTATTCATTAGCACGCACGATACCTCTTCGAAGCGGTTAGGGGATGGAGGGGGCTAACGAGATGAAGATTCCTAGACTTCCAATTCCAGTCAAAATTAGAGCGAGGCGAACTGGAAAACTGTCCATCCTATAAATACCGGTATACCAGCGTCTCCTCTGTTTCCAGAAGTCTCCTATCGTGAGGGGAGGTTGCTCCCGGAATATCGCATGGACCCACTCAAACTTGAATCCATGCGCTGCAGCCTAGGGATCTGAGTCAGTGACTATAAATGTGGCGTGAGGTATTGCACTCTCACATGATAACCCAACCAATAATCCTCGCAGATGTTCTCCGTTTCCCAGGTGAGGGTATTCTCTACCTCTCCATTGATCAAAGACCAAGAGCCATGTGTCCAACCTAGAAAAGGGCGCTTGAACAGCAAAAAAGGAAGTTGGAACCGCCCAAAGTCTTCTGCAACCCTTGCAACCTCAATCGCAGATGGGAGTAGATTGGTCCAGTGGTTCTCGGAGGTGTAGTAGATTGTGCCCTGTAAGTTGTTAGTCCATTTTCTTCCCAATTTTGCTGGTACGTACCATTCCAAAATCAGCCGTGCCTCTCTCAATAAACTCCAGCGTCTTCTCGATGACTCGGTCATCTATCTCCGACTCTTCATCAAGATGTAGCACCCAGTCCTCCTTGGAGAATTTGTACTTGAGCCGGAAGAACTCAAATGCCCTGGCCTTGTACTTTGCCTTTCTGAACTTCACATCCACCGGTACCTGATCGAGGGTGACAAAAGAGGGAATGTGTGCGCCAATTTCGGCGCCATTTTCACCATCAACAAGAACATGGAACCGTATAGACCTCCCGCTGTTTCAACCTATACCAGCAGCTCACCTAGTTCAAAGCGGTCTACCAAAATTAGACTCGAATTCAAGCCCTTGGCAGGTTGAACAGAATTATTACCTGCACATTCGTTCCTTTGGTTACAAGGCAGACCCGCAATGTTCCCAGCCGTCTCGTTTGCGGGCCCTTGGAGTGTTTATCCGGTCGCATAGGCAGACATAGTCCTAGAGTATTGGCGTATGGCGGAAGCTGGATCAACAGAAAGAGAATGGTTACAATTCCATGAATAGTAGCGGATTTATGCCAGGCGCCGTCATCTATTATGTCCACATAGTGAAGCCCAGTTGCGTGGACAAACTTTTTAAAGGCTTGTCATCTATTATCAGAATCGTCTATATTACAACTCTAATTTCGGGTCTACATACCATAGAACGTCAAAAGCAGAGTGAAGGGAAAAATGAGGTAGTTGTACCTCAGCGCAGCGTATATTCGGTTTGAATGTTTCCATTGTTGTCGCGTGCTGGTGGCACTGCCATTGGTCAATTCGCCCATTTCGTGTATAGTGGGTAAATTTTCTGCGGTCCAATGGGCAAATGCAGGGGCGTTCTCTTTCTTGGGTCAAGGGTGCAAATTGAAGATCAAGGGCGCCAGACAATAGGTCACGTAAATGGTAGTAAATCCCCGTAGGCCTTATAGAGGAGCCATGCACTCGTACGGAGTACGGAGTATCATGAGCCAAGTAGTTCTAGACTGAACTTATGAAGCAAGGGGGTGTTTATCTTCCTGTTGCTGCAGACCAATTTTGTTTGGCCGTTTCAGCGCTATCACAGACATTTTCATCCCCTTGCGTATGTAATGTGTATATAGTGCAAAGCTTGAAGTAGCGAATTTACCCTAAGAATACGGAGTACTCCGTACACCTGATAACATCCAATTTGGACGGTCAATGTGATATGATACTCAGCGGGTTCCAGGTCAGGATCAAAGGCAGATGACGAATCTCTTGTCAATGTTTCTCAAGTCATTCATGATTTTGGCCTCGCAATTTATGATTGCCTTCACCTAAGATCCAGAACTCTTGTTCTATGGTGATGTGAGGCTTTCCTTACATTGTGGATGGTAGGACCGGTTTGGTCAACACGCAACTCGATACATGAGAAACCAAACTCTAAGCTAGATATGCCAGGAAATGCAGTTCTTTCGGAATCGAATTTCCCGGGTTGAGAATTTTACGGGCGCTGTACTCCGTATGGGGAGCGCGAAATGAAGGACAAGACTTCTATTCTGAGTTTGCAGTGCTCGAAAAAAAATAGTAATAATCATGCAAGCTAGTGGAGAGTACGGAGTACATGCATACACTTATTTAAATCTAGTAACAGTAGTGCGTCGTTACGTGACTGCTCTGTTCACTACCCTAGGTTAGGTCGAATACAATATTCGAAAGAAATAAAGACTTCGTTTTTATACGTATGAAAATCACCAAGTAAGAGACAAATACGGAAAGATATCATACAGTGATCCGTAGATGTGTACGGAGTATATCAACCTACTTGCCTCTTAATCTTGACGCCTCAAAGGGGGAACTGAAGCGGCATGATCTACCCAGTCATGAGCCATCAGATGTGACACTTGGCAGCGGGGGCAAATCCCGATCGAATGCCCCAATAAGTCACAGAACTGTTTTTGAGATCACATTTTCTGCATGGTTCGGGCATATGTATGTGATATCAACCCCGGACAAAACGCGGTGTGGGCTGACAGCCCCTTGAACCTGCATTTCGTCTCTACTGATTCCCGCATTAGGTTACCCAAGCAGAGCTCCATCTATTCTAGGCTTACGAACCGGTCAAATGACTTCTACGGTGGCTTTCGATAATTGGAATAGTGCTACTATTACCAAAAGCCGACATCTGGTGTGTTCAAAATGGAAATGGCAATGGGCTCATGGCTGCCATGGCCTTCGAATCATGGAATATTTAAAGCACGATGTGTCGCCCGAACTTGACTAGAAATCAACACGCTCAAGCCTTCCACTCCAAAGCCCTCAAATTCAAAAGCCTTCAGCAAAGCTTCCTGCTCTAACGCACCCCTCTTTCTTCAACCAAACCATCAAGATGCGCTTCACTTTGCTGTCCTCCGCTGCCTTCTGTGGCCTCTTCCTGAGCGTCGCTGCTGTTCCCTTGAACGGTATAAACTCTTTCTTGCGCTGCCTCTTCGAAGATCTCCGCTAACTAGTAGTCACACAATAGTCCCTCGCGGCCATGGCCCCGGCTACCCTGACGACGTGAGCGATCACGGCGCCGGTGCTCCTGCTCCTGCTCATGCTCATGCTCCCGCTCCCGTCGCTGGAGCTGGTGCCCCCGGCACTGTCAATGAAATCCCCACTGGTGTGGGCGCGGATGGACACCCTTGTGGCGGGCGTGGTGGACATGGACTTGTCTCTGATCTCACCGATGGAGTTAACACCCTTGGCTGTGAAGGGTTGGACGAGGTTTTGAGCCACGGTGTCCCCGGAACTGTGCACGCTGTTGGAGATATCCTGTAAATAGCTCTCAGAACCTTTTGCCTCGTTTTTTCTTGATGTGGAAGCGCGTGTTGCACAGCATATTTGTACATTGAGGCAAAATGCGGGGAGCCTGGCCAAAGGCAAGCGCAGTGATGGTTCTCCCGTGGTGGATATAACTAGTTACATACATAATTCCTAATAAGACACTATCAGTGTTGATTTTAAAGGCTCATGAAATCTCACGGACGTAGAGTACGGAGTACTTTATAACAAGTTTCGTAGATTGGGCAATTTCTAATGTGTCAAAAGAAACTTTATTGACTTCAATTTCCAATCCCATCAAATTGACTTTAAGAACTCTGGAGTCTCCTGGTTCGTATCCTACAGTTTGAGCTTCTTCTTCACGTATCTACAACATGTGACCTGTCAATGCTGCGTGGTGATGCGTACCACTTTGAGACTTTGACCCGCATTCCGCCAAAGCCTCGGTCATCCATAGAGTATAAAGAGCTTACTTACTTCCCGTAAGTCTTCAGTAGTTATCCAATCGTTTGTCTGCACTTGAGAAGATCTGGCCAGGCGTTAACTCTATCTCATTGTATTCAAGCTGAGACATAATGGAAAGGATTCAATGGGTTGACGGGCTCAGGGGACTTGCAGTCTTCTTGGTAGCATTCAATCACTACTTCAATGGAGAGATTACTACCCCTTACCGATCATTCTGGGCCGAACCAGCGGAGTAGAATCGGCACTTGATCCAACTGCTCCCCTTTCGCCTTCTTTGGCAATTCCACGCAATGGTGCCTCTTCTCATGGTCATCTCAGGCTATTCGGTCTCCCTTAACCTCCTTCGGCTGCGAGATTCCGGGTCACTCTTCCGATTCATCGCCAATATTCGGTCTGCAGTGTGTCGCAGACCTTTTCGTCTTTATCTTCCAGCATTTCTATTTGCAGTCTTTTCCTAGATTATATCTTGTTTTTCGACTTCTAATTGCATTGGTATCGCGATGGCAAACTTGCCGCAATCGAACCACGTGCTTCCCCATTCAGCCATGTGCAATACCTCTGTGAATACGTGATTGACAGTCTGAACCTTGTCAAATTTCAGTACAATCATGGTCTCAATCAGCAGTTCTGGACGATGCCACACGAGCTACGAGGCTCGTTGATTGTCTATTTCACCATATTCACCCAGTCCACCTGGCGCCAGAAAACTCGGCACTGGTCGCTGCTGTCGATGTACGTATATAGGCAGTTATTCAGGGTTGCATTTCTCCTGAATTGACGCGGTGATCTTCCGAAAATATGCCGAAAGTTCCCACGTGTGTATGATTAGCCACAGCTCAGGCAGCCTTCCAGGGTCTCATGTGATTGCACCCTACCTCCTGCATCTGACATGTCATCTAGTCGGTCAGTTTGATTTATCGAGTTTTTGGTTACTGTTTGCAGCACTCTAGTGCTCAGGGGTGGCAGCTCCTTTTGTGGACTACCGGTATGTACGGAGTACGGGGTAGAGTTTGCATATCTCATCCAACTCCTTCTGCCCCTTCTCAGGTAAAATACTATGAGAAGCTCAACAACCGTAGGAAGAACCATTTAGATCTTACCCTCGAAGGCCCTTTCTCTAGCTATATTTTCGTTTGCATGGTACACGTCTTTGCCAAGACTATTTCTATATGATATCATATCCGCGCGCACATACCCATGCATAGATCATTTCTAATACGTTAAACTGGAAAAGGGGCTCCCAGCTAAGGGGCCCCCAGCCAGAGTTACAAACTTACAATAATTCTTTCTGTCCGGTATCATCTGTGCCTTTGCCGTCAGGTCAAGATAAAGAAGCCTGGTTACGGAGTACTAAGCCAACGTTGATGTAATGCATTCCAGGCTTGCTGGGTCATAAAGGTAGCGAACAAAATAAGGAACAAATGAAACCAAAGTATTCTTGAATCACCTCCCTTAATAACTTACTCCGTACAATTTATTAACCATCGCCTTGAGCTCACCGTGCAACAAGCTCGACTTCAATGAATAAGAACCCGCACCCCCTTGCTATCCTCCCTCGGGTAGGGCAAGAAAAGGTCATGTGCAATAGTGACATCCTCACGAGTTGTCTCAAACAACTCGAATTCAAACTCGCGCAGGATCTTGGGCAAGAGAAGTAATATTTCCGCTTTGGCGAGACTATGGACTGTAAGCATCGGGATAGACACCTAACGATTGAGAAGGTCCAAATGTGCTACACTCACTTCATACCGAGGCATTGTCGCGATCCTTTGCTGAACGACACCATGTACTTCTCGAGTCGTTTTCGTTCGCAAAGATCTATCCATCTCTCGGGGATAAAGCTATACGAGTCGGGAAATATTTCTTCGTTGTGGTGCATAAGCACGCTGGTCATCTCCACCGGTGTCTATGATCTAGTATCAGTACTTGACTTTAGGAATGGACGGGAGGTGAGCTCTCACCCCGGCAGGAATAGTCCATTCCTTGAACTGAAGAGTGCTATTAGGTGCAATTCGAGGAAGGCGTGAGCTTATGCCGTAGGAGAGCCTGTTTTTCTGGTTATAGTCGAGTTTCTCAAGCGATGTCGAGGTCATACCTCAATCCTTCGAGCATCACTGAAGTCTTCTGCAGTTAGCAGATTGCGCCCACAAGGTGAGTTTGGTAGGTTTACCAGATACGGCATCTGCTCAAAGTCCACCAAAGAAGCCGTGTATTCGGGGTCCAGTCGGTTCAACTCTTCTCGCAATTTGTCCAGCTTTTTCTTATTTTCCAACAGATAAAACGTTGTCCACGCCAACATCTTCGATGTCGACTCCGACCCAGCCCCAATAACCAATCGCACCTCCTGGGAAAGCCGCTCCGGCGATTTCTCCTCCAGGGGCAAGCTGCTACTGAGCACGTCGTGAAAGAACGTCGGATGACTGAATTCACTTCTGGCTCTGTCGTAATTCTTGGAACTCTGTTCATCGATGATCGATTGCATAATGTTCTCGCAACGACGCTTGAACTGCGCCGTCAGGATTGCCTCGGGGAATATCCGCAACAACACCCTCTCGGGGAGCGCGTCTAGTAAACATCGCAGCCACGGAAATGGCCTCATATACACGCTTGCCTTTGCGCTTGTTGTCAATGTTTCGTTCCATTCCGGGACGAACCCGGGCTCGTCGAGGTAATGAAACCCAACGCCCATCGTATAACCAGATACAACATCTGTGGTGAAGCAGATATAGGCGTGGTGGATATTGATGGGCTTTCCAGTGTTTCTATACTCTTTCAACCGGTGGCATAGCTTATTAACGAGATTCTGTATCAAGGGCTCCAGGCTGCGTATCCGGGATGTGGAAAAGTACGGGTTCATGTTGGCGCGGAGGAGACGGTGATGATTATGATCGATTGTAGACACAACCGTCCGTATAAGCCCAAACTGCTTCGTGAAATATTCGTATTTGTTACGTGGACTACTCCGGCAGTAGAGTACTTCGTAAAAGTCCGGGTCGTTGACGTGCAGTTCCCATGGACTGATCCGGACAATAGGGCCTGTATGGTTTTAGCGCTTGCCAAGTTCTTGCTCGATTCCACCACTTGCCGTATTTCTCGTGCATTCGCGCAATAACAAATGTATACTGCCCATGGCAGTACGCGTCATAGTAAGTCTCATACCATCTAGTTAGAGCAGCCAGTTTGGGGCCCGGGAATTTGGCCAACGGAGAGAGGTATAACCGATAAGCAGTGATAGCTAGCAAATAGCATATCCACACGAGTACAACGTATGAGGGCTCTAAGAGTAGTTGAAGCATTTGGCTTTTGATGTACCACAATTTTCGTGAAGAAAAACGCAAGGCACCGAGCCGACCTAAGTACTCGACAAGACCAAACCAAGCCACTACCCCTCCCACCATTGCTCTGCGCGTTATGCTGGTTCAAGTTATATCTCTTCGGAGATGTCTTCAGTGATATATGCACGTAGCCAGCTTCCTGGTAATGCTAGACCAATTCTAGCTTCCTCCATCTTCTTCCTACATGTAGCCCCATAACCATCGTCGTGATTGGGCATCATCCGGCACGCATGTGGCTAGTGATTTGGGCATCTGCAACACTCAACGGTTACAAAAGACCCGCACCAATTAGATATTGGTGCTAGACTAGTGGAAGAAAGAGTCAGGCCGTGTTGGACAGAGCTAAGATGGACAGCAAACAATGAGGGGGGTTAATTGTGTAACCCCGGAGGCTAAACTTGTTCCACGCGAGGGGATTCGCGTGGCCAGGACGAAAGTTGGTCCTGAATATAAGCGATCGGCGGGCGCTCGTCGGGATAAAAGTTACGTAGTCTGTCACATCGATCAGGTCCGGTTATGCTCCTTCTGTCAACTCATCATGGACGAGCACCAGCCACAATCCGACCCGCTTATTGTGTCCGAGGTTTGTGTTTCAGCTAGCTTTGGGCTTGCATTAGTCTCAGCTGGCACTGACTGCTACAAAGGAGGGCCAGGATATGTTTGATGACTGGGATGGCTATGAAAGTGGGTAGGTGGTCTGCGTTCAGGGGCTGAGTTCTGGTCTCTGCATCCCGAGGTAGCATTGACGGTTATTTGCCAGCTCAACCGCCTCTCTTTCATCGACCATTCTTAATTACCAGTGAGTGTTCACTATTCCTACATCTCTACATAAGGCCTAATATGCTAGCTAGGTACGAGGTGAGGCCTGCGGTCTCCGCTTTGGGTTTTGCCATTAACCACTCACAAGAACGGACGAAGATATCACGCATATCGACAAGGAGAATATGTCATTGTAAGCATCACAGCATACAGTTCTAGGCACCCTTGGACAATTGACTCTATTTCTTGTCCAGCCCAACGACGAAAGGGAGCAAGAGCGGCTCGACTTGGTACACTCAATCCTTGTCAGCCACAAATGTTTGACTGACCACCCAAAGCATCATCACATCTGCAGCCTTGCAATGGGGGGCGACCTGTACCGCACTCCCCTTCCACAAGGACTACAACGAGTTCTGGATATTGGGACCGGGACGGGAACGTGGGCAATTGACATGGCGGAGTAGGACAAATCCACCATCACTTTACGCCCATGCTTACAGCTAACGTGCTGATAGTTCCTTTCCCGAGGCCGTGGTAATTGGTAGGTCTTATGATGCTCAAGGCTACCTACCTCCCCAATGCAGTGGTATTCACGTAGGACAGGCACGGATCTAAGCCCCATACAACCCTCATGGTATGATTTCTCCCGCTCTCTCCCAAAACCAGGTCATGATTCGGGTTGCCATGTAACCAATTGCTTCCCAGGGTTCCACCAAATTGTGTTTTCGAAATCGATGACTTCGAGCTCGAGTGGAATTTCTCGCAGTCGTTCGATTACATCCATGCACGGGCTATTGAAGGTTGCGTGCATGACTTCCCGCGCCTTTTCCAGCAGGCATATGACTCGCTTAGTCCCGGAGGATGGTTCGAGATCGTCGACTTCACTGCTGGGATCTTCTCCGATGATGAAAGCACCGAGAAGTCCCCACATCTTCTTGAATGGCGGGATAGACTCATCGAGGCAAGTCGAATGTTCGGGAAACCTCTGGGTGTCTCGGGCCAATACAGCGAGTGGATGGTACAAACGGGATTTACAAATGTCCGTCAGGAAATAATACAGGTCTGTCTGCTGGTGGAACTCATTGTCGCCAACCCCAACTCGCTGACTCGTGCAGGTCCCATTCGGTCCATGGGCGAAGAACACTACGCTGAAACGGCTCGGCATATATCATCAAGCAAATATGCTGGAGGCGCTCGAAGCATACTCGCTGGCCCTGTGTACCCGGTACCTTGGGTGGAGTGTTGAACAGGTACAGCTGCTTTTGATAGGGGTCCGAAACGAGCTGAAGGATCAGACTTTGCATAATTACTCCAAGCTCTACGTGGTATATGGTCAAAAACAGGCATTTTGAATACGTTATACAGAGTGTTTACTTATCTTACTTATGGTCATAATGGGTCGTCTTTGATCACAGCAGGTTGAAGCATGTTACACCGTCCTACTTTTTGTCTTTCTAAAATGTTAACCAGGCTCTCATGAAGATAAAAGATCTGCAAGAGTGCCCGTTTTAGGTTTTCCTTTACATTCATATGTCACATGCATCATCAACAAACAAATGTGTCTATTATTCTTTGTACAATTGACACTGAACGCCAACAACAGCTGACCAGGATCGAGCTTGATCCTAGCAAAGCCCCATGGTAGCATTATAGAAAAAGATATTCATATCACCGTCAGAGAATGATAAGCAAATTGGTCACTGGGTTTCCCAACCCATGACACTGCATCCTACCAAGTCACCGTCAGCCACTGTCTGTACCACTATACGACAAACTCTTAACCTAGCATCCCAATACAGTTCAGGCTACTCCTGCAATATATAGGAATTATCGATTGCTTCATCTTCTTTGGTTATGTTTTTTCATTAGTCGCAGCCGATTTCACAAGTGTCCGAAAGCAATTGGCCAAATACCTCCCAGGTTTCACGAACAGAAGCACCAGGAGTCATGGCTAGTCAACCGGACTGTCATAGATAGAATCCCGGAATAAACAAAAGGCGCCAGAGTTTTCTCGCCGTGCTTCGTGTCGAGGACATATTCTGGCGCCTTCCAAGTCTCTTTTTCCAAAGTAGCCCAGTCACCATAAGTCATCGATCTTTTTGAGTCAAACTACTAATCCCCATAGTTCTCCCTCGGATGAAGAAAATTTCGAATCGAAACGTGCGGCGCAAAACCAATGAGATGCATTGTAATGGGTCTTATCTCCTCTAATTTCAGCTTCTCTCGATATTTTCACGTTAATTTGCATGCACCACCGTAAGCGAGAGTTTAGTGTCTTGATAGAGGCGTTAGGTAGGCTACTAGTACTAGATCGATAATAGTATGTGGCAGGTGTTCCGAGTAACAATCAGTTCAATTGACATGATGATATTTGCTCATCCATGGCCGAGGCCCTAATAGCATTGTAGGTGTAATTAAGATATTGTCTGCTGCATAGAAAGATGGTCTAGTATAAACTGCGTAAGAAGCACCTCCGGGATCGGCAATGTGCCTGAGGCCATCGGCATCCGCGATAACGCCACCTGCCGGGCCCATCGGAGAGTCTCGCCGCCCTGGAATTCTGCCCGCCAATTCTTCCCGGTTTTGGGGTTTCATGGTCCTTCTCTCTTTCCCCTGGCTTGTGTCTCTCTCTCTTATCTCGGACCATTTCTCTGGCTCTTGATGCCCTTTTCTTTTTTCTCCATATCTAATACCTGAGCTGACTCTCCCTTCTCTGCTTCGCTCCTGTTCCACCTCCAAAACTCGACTGGTGGGGTTATCGTCATTCGTTCTTTTTTCCTGCCTTGCGCCGCTGAGCGCGCTCCAAGGGCATCTACATCATGGGTCTCTCAAAAACCCACAGGATTCTGATCCTGCTGGTGATAGATACTGCATTCTTCTTGCTCGAGCTCATAGCTGGTTAGTTGTCTTTCCTTCCGCGGAGATTCAACTTTGTCTAAATCGTCATGCAGGTTATACCGTCCACTCCCTTGCCCTGGTTGCCGATTCGTTTCACATGGTACGTTATCTACGTCTCGACTCACTCGCCAACACATACTCATACACATACGTGTAGCTCAATGATGTTATCTCTTTACTCGTTGGATTATGGGCAGTCAAAGTCGCCAATCGCGAAACGACGTCCAAGATGTACACATACGGGGTAAGACATTCCTCCTTGTTTTCGTTGCCTCCGGATGGAACAAACTCTAATCATTGGCCTTCGACCACGCGCAGTGGCAACGCGCTGAAACTCTCGGTGCTCTCGTCAATGGCGTTTTCCTAGTGGCCTTGTGTCTATCGATTTTCTTGGAGGCCATACAGCGATTGGTGGAGCCTCAGGAGGTCAAGAATCCCAAATTTGTCTGCATTGTTGGCTGTCTGGGACTGTTGTCCAACATCATAGGCCTGGCATTGTTCCATGATCATTCGCACGGTCATGGTGGACACGGTCACAGTCATGGACACGAGGAAATTGATGATGTCAATGCTGCAGAGCAGGGATATAGTTCCCATGATCATAGCCATCCGTCTGCGATTGACAAGCGCAAGGCCGCCGCAAGTGTAAGTCCCTCGCCCCGATATGCGTCCGTGGACTTCATCTAACATGATATAAAAAGAACGAGGACTCACAGACTGCCACCGAACCGTCATCTCCCTATTCTCGCAGACGCCGAACCCTTGACAGTCAGAACCGCAGCTCGCGCCGCTATAGTACCACTACGCGTGGATTTGACCCCGAGGATATACAGGTGCATCCAGCGACTTTGAGACAGGAGATTATTGCGGCTAGTCGCACGCGCTTTGTGGATGATGAACAATCCTCTGGGTCGGAGACTGTCTCCCGTGAGGGAAGTGACCGGGGTGTTGAGCCATCAGAGCGGTCAGCCCTACTCCCTAGAAAAGATGGAAACCGACACTACACCGACGATGACCACACTCACTTCCCAACGGCTGACCATGGGGCCGAAGACGACATTCACGAGTTTCACAACCATGCCCAACCCAAGCCCAAGGAGAACCATAAACACGGCCATCATGATCTTAACATGCGAGGTGTCTTCCTGCATGTCATGGGCGATGCTTTGGGAAATATTGGCGTGATCGTCTCGGCTCTGGTCATCTGGTTGACAGATTACGACTGGCGATTCTATGTGGATCCCGGCATTTCGCTGGTGATTACTATCATCATCCTCGCCTCGGCCATCCCCCTCTGCAAAGCTGCTTCCCGCATCCTTCTCCAGGCCGTCCCGCCCGGTATGAGTATCGACCATATCAAGGAAGATATCGAGCGGCTCCCCGGAGTGATCGGGTCCCATCACCTCCACGTGTGGCAATTGAGCGACACCAAGATTGTCGCTTCGATTCATATTCAGGTGGACACTGAGATCAAGGGAGAGGGATCGGAGAGATACATGCGCCTCGCACGGCAAGTGAGAAAATGTTTGCATGCTTACGGCATCCATTCCTCCACCATCCAGCCTGAATTCGCACCGGACAGTGATGTTGATGAATCGACGGCTGCCCCGTCCTATTCCCGTGCCAGCAGCAGCGACCCGTCAGCCCCCAATCATCCGTCTAACCGACCCGCGAGCATTCGGGATGGCGATCCCCAGGCCTGTCTACTTGAATGTGGCGACGAATGTAATAGGGGAGGTCAATGCTGTCCCACGAAACCCACCTAATCAGTCTTTCCTTTACTCTTTGAGTTGACTGCTACGCGCATCTCGCTCATTCTTGTCGATACCTACCAAAGACGGATTTCATTTTATCGTTCATACCCTCACAGCCTATCTCCATCTCATTCATATTATTGTTATTAATACTGTCCTTCAGGGTGGAGATCTTGGGTGTTCAAGATTTGATGCAAATAGATAAAAATTTCGTTGCAACGAGGGTTTGATTCTTTCAGTTGACGGGTATCAGCTGCACTTGATCATGTCTCATCGTTGGATTGTGTATCCTTAGCAATTTACTGGGTTTTGATTCCTGCGACTCAGGAAGATATATATAGATCGGTCCCACTCGTTTTGTAGATCCACATCTAGCTTCCTCGCTGTGTTTCGACAACAACCCCGCCATTCACCAGCGTAAACAACTATTGTTTTCGTAAATAATCTTCTGTAGTAAAGCATCAGGATCATACTTGTATCAGTGTGACTTCATTCAAGCCGTCGGCCTCGAAAATGGCGGAGGACCCCGAATCTGCCACGTGACCTTGCGGTGTGTCGCCGCCGTCAGCAGATCTCCAACCCCTTGTTCGATCTTGTCTCATCGCCAATGTCAACGATTGTGGATTTCGCTCGTTTTGATTTCCCGCAATAGCACTGTGACCTCGTTTTACTCCCCTTCTTTTCATGTGACATCGGGCTAGCCACCGGGGTCTGTCCGTTGCCGAGTGTCTCTTCACACTCCTGTTTACAACCAAGGCGGCGGAGCGATGCAGCAGACACTGTAGCTTGGCTTCTTCCACACCGTTCAATTGACGCAGAACCATGAGTTATTCGTTTCGACAAGGCACAAGCGCGGACGCTTATCGACCCTCTCGCGGTTCCTTTTACAAGGCCCCGGGTACGCTGGACCGGGTCCAATCTCTCTTGCCGACCGCGGCAAATCGACAGATCGCAGACTTTCAGACACGCGGTGCATCGCTAGCCTCGGGCGGCACAGAGGGCTCTAGAGCCAGGGCAGCGCTAGGGACACAAATATGGCAGATCTTTAAGTCTGTTTTTAGCGTCGCGAATGGCTTGGTTCTCCTGTGGTTTTGGACTCTGTGGTGGGGGGAGCGGACTGTCTTTCGGGAGAGCCTGGAGACATGCGCGTGGGGGAACTGGGAACACTGGGTGAGACCGATTTCATTGACGGATAAATACAATACCAGGTGCTGATTGCATGCTCTTCATATGCAGCCTCGAGATGCGACGCCACACCATGTTGCCTTCATTGCCGATCCTCAGCTCGTTGACCCTCATACGTATCCTGGCCGACCGTGGCCGCTTTCCACTCTGACGGTGCGGTTCACCGATCAATACATGCGACGGTCGTTCTGGTCGATTCAAAACAAACTCGGTCCCGATTCCGTGCTGTTTCTGGGGGACTTGTTCGATGGTGGTAGAGAATGGGGAACGGCCCACAGCTCCAGTCCGGAGGAGCGGTATAAGAAATATAAAGATTCATTCTGGAAGGAGGAGTACCATCGCTTCGTGAAGATCTTCCTGGATCAGTGGAACGAAGGTGATCGGTTCTCGACCAATCCCCGCGGCCGCAGGATGATTGCTAGTCTGCCTGGAAACCACGATCTTGGGTTCGGGTCCGGGGTGCAGGTGCCAGTTCGCGATCGGTTTCAGATGTTCTTCGGAAAAGGCAATCGGGTCGACGTGATTGGGAATCATACCTTTGTTTCGATGGATACGGTCTCCTTGAGCGCTATGGACCAACCCGACCCCGAGACCGGCAGTTCAGGCGCTGGATCTGGGGACGGGCACCGACCGAACGAACACATTTGGAAAGAAGCGGAGGATTTTCTTAACAATATGAGCGTGTATCGGGCGAAAGCAGAGATGGAGGAGCTACGCATGTTGAACAATCAAAGCGAAGGCCATCTTTTCACTCATAAGGCCGTCGATATCTCCGAGCCTTCGGTCGCGCAAAGACCCCAGCCTGAGGTCGTCGGTCTTCCCGCTGTTCTTCTGACTCATGTTCCGTTGTATCGACAACCGGCGACGCCTTGCGGGCCATTGAGAGAGCACTGGCCTCCTTCGTCCGAGGGTGAGCTGGAGAAAGACGAGCGCAATGCCCTCACCATCGCGGGTGGCTACCAGTACCAAAACGTTCTGACCCAGACCATCTCCAAGGATCTTGTCAGTAAGGTCGGGCCAAACCTCATCCAGGTTTACTCGGGAGACGATCATGATTACTGTGAGATTTCCCACCGTGAGTTCAGCGGCTCGCCCAAGGAGATCACGGTGAAGAGTCTGTCCTGGGCCATGGGAGTCCGTCGCCCGGGCTTTGTCCTCACCAGTCTCTGGAATCCCATCGATCCAGCCACGGGGAAACCCACGGCGGAAGGAAACACCGCCACTACGCTTCAAAACCACCTATGTCTTCTCCCCGATCAACTCTCCATCTTTATCCATTACGGCCTTATCCTCGGCCTTACACTTGCCGTGCTGTTGGTCCGCGCTGTCGTGCGCGCGGCATTTTCCCCCAAGTCCACCTCAAGTCCTCTCCTCCCCCTCTCCGAATCCCGCCCCCCTCAATATGAATTCTCCCAAGTACCTTCCTCAGGTACGTCCAGCTCCAAGTTCCCGTCTCCGGGTGGCCTGGCCAGCCGAGCGACGAACTACCCGCCTCGACACAAGTCATCCCCAACCCATCATGATGCTTACCCGAGTGCAGATGCAGACGAGGACAAGCTGGACCGTACGAAGTGGAAACCGAGCCACGCGGATTCCCGAGGGAGATCGGGAAGCCGGGTGCGGTTGATCTGGGTCGAGTTCATCGACTCGGTCCGACACGTCGCTGCGATTGTGTTTGTGTGGTATTTTTTCCTCATTTGGCGGTGGTGAATCGGCCCACTTCCAAGAGATTCTTCCCCGGCCGGGGATTGTATATAAGCATGATAATCTAAGACGCAGGGGGTCTGGTGTGTGGCGTACTGTACAAGTCTGGGTCTGGGTCCGGGGTTTAGAATTCAATTCGAGCTTTCTCCTATTTGGTCTCGGTGTGCATGTCAATGTGTTACCCTGCTGTGTTAATATAACTGGAAGGACTGGGGGATCGACGTCCATCGTGTAGACGATACGAAGACAGACTAGTCGGTCGTGTCCATCCACGGTTCCCTCCCTCTCCTTAGACAAACTCAAGCCCCAGCCCCCAACAATACTCAACAGTCCACACTCAGGGACTCCGGCCAGTTTCAGGCGGGGTCAGACAGTCAGACTCCAGATCTCCAGTCCGGGGATAACTCACCGGGAATATGTCGGAGAATCCTGCCCACGCAGTCCAATTGGAACCATGGCTTCAGGTGATCGGGATGAAGATGGACAGTATGACGGCATCTGACCCCGGGCTAACGAGGTAGTGTAACGTTAATTGAATGGGACGCGGGCTTGAAAGGGATGCCGGTGAGGGAGTGCATTTTCCTCAGGTATTGACTGGTGTCCCTTGCGAACCTGAGAAAAAACAATGAAACAAATGGTGAACGTGCCGGATTCGGGCAGCGGCACGGGGCCAGACTCGGCATCTCCCGTAATCAAACAATGCAATTATTATCTTTTCTGCCTCTTCCATTGTCTTCTCTGCACATTCCACGGAACGCTTTGCCACGCCTATTTTTATGACTGTTTGCAGCGACGCTAGACTGCGCACTACTAACTAGTTTCGTGCCTAGTGACTAGCCTCTAAGCTTAGCGGTTACCGCCAACCCTCGGGATCGCCTCGGAGTTTCCATTTCGGGGCACGAAATGAAGGGTCTGGCCATGTAGGACTCTGCACTCTTGTACCGGCCAGATGCAGTCGCTGGACGAAGGACGGGGAACCACTCCTGAAACTCTCTAGCCTCCACGCTCTCCCTGCCTATTTCCAGAACTTTTCGACGTCGCTGCGCCCGCGTTTGACTCCTTTTGGTCCGACTTCTCCGTGCCCTCGTGCGCAATCGCTCCACTCCCTTACTCCCCAGATCCAAAGTCGGGGATCCCGTGGTGCGGAGATGGGGCGAATCGAGCGACTAGCACGCTTGAGAAAGTCCGAGGGAAGACACAGAGGGAAAAAAAAGCTAATGCCTCATGCGGTCTGGTCGACGTGCACCGATTCCGTGCGGTCGGCTTGATGTCTGATTTCGGCCGTCCGTTTCTCTGGGGGTGCCGGATCTGGAGATGAATCGCCCGTCTTTTCGCATGGCCGCTGCTCGGTTGGCCGAGTATATAATGCTCTTGCCTTTCCCGGGTCGGGTTGAGGAATTGTCTTTCCATTCCTGAGTGCTCATCATACTTTCTTGCCTTGTGTGAACTGAAGCGTTTGCGTCTTTCCATCTACTGTTAGCTACTGCTTGTGCTTGACAACTCTTACCAACCCTACCTCAACATGGGTTTTTCGTTGAGGAAGCCCGACGATGCGGCGGGGTCTGCAGCCCCTGCTATTGCCATTGGCTTCTTTGTGGCCTTTGGTGGTGTGTTGTTTGGGTAGGTCAATCTTTGCTGCGCTTGTTGTTTCCCCATTGGCACGTACTGACCGCTGGTTAGATATGACACCGGTACCATCAGCGGCATCCTGGCCATGAAATACTGGCGACAGCTGTTCTCGACCGGTTATATCAATCCCGACGACAATTTCTCCGACGTGACCTCCTCGCAGTCATCCATGATAGTGTCGCTGCTGTCTGCCGGTACCTTCTTCGGTGCCTTGACCTCTGCCCCCGTTGCCGATTACTTCGGTCGGCGTATTGCCATGATCATAGACTCGTTCGTCTTTTGCTTTGGCGTGATTCTCCAGACAGCTGCTACGTCGATCCCGCTGTTTGTTGCAGGGAGATTCTTCGCTGGGTATGGAGTTGGTTTACTGTCTGCAACTAGTACGTTCATGCTCCGCCTGCGTTAGACTATTACTTCGATGCATATGCTGACGTTGCAAAGTTCCTCTCTACCAATCCGAAACGGCCCCCAAGTGGATTCGTGGTGCCATCGTCGGTGCATACCAATTGGCCATCACCATTGGGCTGCTGCTCGCTGCCATTGTGAACAATTCCACCAAGGATCGCATGGACACCGGCTCCTACCGAATTCCCATTGCCATCCAATTCGCGTGGGCAATCATTCTCGTCCTCGGAATGCTCTTGCTACCTGAGACGCCCCGCTTCCTGATCAAGAAGGACCGTCATGAGGCTGCCTTGAAGGCCCTTGCGAGACTTCGCCGGGTGGACGTCAACGATGCATCCGTCATTCAGGAACTGGCCGAGATCCAGGCGAACCATGAGTACGAAATGAGCGTGGGTAAGGCCGGATATCTGGAAATCCTCCGCGGGTCTATTGGAAAGCGGTTGGCGACCGGCTGTGCTGTTCAGGCATTGCAGCAGTTGGCCGGTGTGAACTTTATCTGTACGTCTCCTCCCTTTACATACTACTGGCATGATACTAACTTGGTATAGTCTACTACGGAACGACCTTCTTCGAACACTCCGGTATCAAGAATGGCTTTATCATCACCTTGATCACCAACATCGTCAACGTCGTGTCCACCTTCCCGGGTCTTTATATTGTTGAGAGATGGGGCCGTCGGCCCCTCCTTTTCTTTGGCGCCATCGGCATGTTTGTCTGCCAGCTCGTCGTCGCCATCGTCGGCATGGTGGCCACGTCTGACGTTGCCAACAAGGTGCTGATCGCCTTCGTGTGCATCTACATCTTCTTCTTCGCCAGCTCCTGGGGCCCCGCGGCGTGGGTGGTGACGGGCGAACTGTTCCCGCTCAAGGCCCGCGCCAAGTGTCTCTCCATCACTACTGCTACTAACTGGCTCCTCAACTGGGCTATCGCCTACGCCACCCCTTACATGGTCAACGCAGGTCCCGGCAACGCTAACCTGCAGTCGAAGGTTTTCTTTATCTGGGGCGGCTTCTGCCTCCTTGCCGCCGTTTTCGTCTACACATGCATCTACGAGACCAAGGGGCTTAGTCTGGAGCAGGTCGACGAGCTCTACTCTAAGGTTTCGGCGGCATGGCGCTCGCCGGGCTTCCGGCCTTCGGTCAATTACACCGATGTGCAGGACATTGCGTCAGGGAGCTCTGGGCCGGGGTCGACCCTGGCCGAGCTGGAGGCTGATGCTCAGGTGAAGCGGGACTTGCAGCACATTGAGAAGGCGTAGTTGGCGTTATTTCTTATCTTTTGTTCTTCACTTGTTTGCGCGTTGAGCTATGGTACGGAGTAATGCTTGACGGGATCGAGACGATAGAGATGCGATATGACTTGACTTCGATTCTTGGTAGATAGAATTCATCATTTGGACTTTATTCTTCCGTGCTTCCGTGTAATAGTGTACATTCAGGCCTCAGGCACTCATAGCATCTTTCGCCTCAGGCACCATAAATCTGGCTACTGATTGGTTCAACCCGATTACGCAGCGGCCCACTTTCACGTGCGCTCCCGTTTTAGAACACTTGCCCAATGCGGCCATCCCGGCTTCTCCCCTTCTACTCTCCCACGGTTGTTGTTGGGTTTGTTGATCTCCCCCTTTTCATTTCCCGTTGGTAGGCTGCGTTGTCACTTCTTGCATAATGCAGCTTTTGGATTTTGCCTTTGCGATCGGTCGCCAGACTTAATTTGCTTAGACCTGCTGGTCACCGCCGCTTGTTGCATTCACATGCCGAGATTCACACTTTCATACCCCTGCAAGGACTACCGAGCGCATCCTTTCCTGCGATAGACTACGATAATTCATGATAAACGATAGCATACGATTTCCCACGATATCCTGCGATATACACCTTCGTCATGGCCATCGAGCCCATCTCCCCTACCTCGCCCTCCCTCCCCGACGGCAAACGACTCGAATATGCTCTGGAGCTGCAGGATCTAGACAGGGTACGCGAAGATGAGAAACTCGGCGTTTCAACCGTCACTGATGCGTTGTTGGGCGACGAGCAGCGTGAACAGCCTTCCGCACATCCCTCGGCCAAGGCGACGACATCGACAGGCCTTCATCCGTCCACTCACCCGCTGTTCCCACCGCTTCCCGTCTACGGCGCTCCATCGTTCCTCTCCTCCCTGCAGTGTCTCGCGATCCGAGGCGTGTCGTTTATCTTGTCGCTGCTCTTCCTGGGCGTTATCGTCGGCGGCGCGCTGATCAACCGGGCCGGAGGGGCGCTACACAATGGGTATCTTCGAGCGCGAGGTCAGGATCCGAACGCGCAGCGGAAATTCTACTCGGAAGAACGGATCCGGAATCGCGACCGAAAGGCCGACCATCGACGGTGGACTCGCCAACAGAAGAAGAAAGACGAGGTCGATGAGGAAGGTCACGGTCCGGTGCCGGACGAGTGTCCGCCGCTTGAAGGCGGTCGGGATCCCATCGTCTCTGACGTGGCTTATTATGCGCGACGCGTGGGCCTGGACGTTGAGACGTTCAAGGTCCAAACGGAAGACGGCTATATCTTGACGCTGTGGCATGTATATAATCCGCAGGAGCAGAACCCCTCGTCGGTCGCCGATCGGCAGTGTCGCGGACCGCAGGTTTTCACGGGCCAGAAGAACCCTCGTGCGGTGCCGCGCGCGGACGGGCGCCGCAAGTACCCTGTCTTGTTGCTTCATGGGTTACTTCAGAGCGCTGGGGCGTATTGTACCAATGACGACGATAGTCTTGCGTTTTACCTCTGCAAGAGCGGGTACGATGTCTGGTTGGCGAATAACCGGTGTGCGTTGAAGCCGGAACACACGACGCTGTCGTCGTCCGATCCGCGCATGTGGGCGTGGAATATTCGGCAGATGGGGGTGTTTGACATAGCGGCTCATATGTCTCGGGTGCTATACGAGACTGGGTTTGAGAAGCTCGGTCTGGTGTGTCATTCTCAAGGGACCACGGAGACGTTGATCGCTTTGGCGAAGGACCAGCGACCGGAGCTGGGTGAACGGATATCTGTCTTCTGCGCCCTCGCGCCCGCCGCGTATGCCGGACCTCTCGTGGATCGGGTCTACTTTCGCATCGTGCGCGCCCTGTCGCCGAGGCTGTTCCGGCTCGTTTTCGGCATCCACTCGTTCATCCCCTTCATGATGACTATGCATGCGCGTCTTCATCCTCGCGTCTATGGCACCCTCGGCTACTATGTCTTCTCGCATCTCTTCGGCTGGAGCGACACACACTGGGACCGCGGTCTTCGCGACCGCATGTTCCAGTTCGCGCCCGTCTATGTCAGCACTGAGACCATCCGGTGGTGGCTCGGACGCGACTCATTTTCCATTCAAAAATGTATCCTCGCCACGCGCGAGACCTGCCTCCTCGAAATGGAAGAGGACTTGCGCGCTGAGCAAGGTCTCGATCCGGATTCCCATGTCCGTACCGACACTGCGTGGTACGGACCGCAGGCTCCCCCGATGGCACTGTGGGTCGGAGGTTCCGATGACCTAGTTGACGGACGACGATTGCTGCGGCGGTTGCAGAACGGTCGCGAGCCCCATGTCCGGGTTGTTCATGCGAAGGTCATCGAGGAATATGAGCATTTGGATGTCCTCTGGGCCATGGATGTTGTGGATCAGGTCGGAAAGGAGATTTGTCAGGTTCTTTGGAATACTATGCCCGAGGATGTGAGGGGGCTGTGTCGGGCTCCGAGAGGTGTGTAGATCGGTTTGGCATGAATGATGTGTAATGACTGCATATTATACTGCATATATATTTGCATGTATATATTAACTAGATTATGTCGTTGGGGTCAATGACTGTATATATTAGTGTATAGTTTGGTTTAATTGAGTACACGAAGTCAAAGATCTCAACCGACTTGGCCTCCGGAGCACAGTGTCTGCGTTAGTTATGCCTAAATGATCTGTCATGTCAGTCTCATCAGATTAGCCAGCCAGTCCATATGCAAATCAAACCAAACAATTCCTATCATCCACTGAGCCCAGGACAGGACTATGTGACCAACCAAGCTAGATAAACAAGAATGGCCATGAAAAGCAGAAAAAATGATCTACGGTGAGTTAAGCACGACTGACATGTTCATCGAGACACCTACCTATACCCAACTTACTAGGTAACATAACTAGTTTTCCCGCATCATGCAAGGGACCGACATAGTAATACTCCACCCAATCCCCAATTCAATAATTTAGTTATTTTGGTCCATCTGACTTCACCTGACCTAATGTGCGGATGCACAATCGAAAAAGATCTAGTTAGCTCCCTTGACTAGGCATGCAAAAGCTCAGCAAGACGCAGTGCGACTCGATAAACTTGCTCTGGTGGCTATCACATTGTGAATCACACGGGCCAGGTTGAGGGTTTATGGGGATGCTTTGGGTGAGTGGACATCTAGGCGTTAGTACTCTTTGTTGTTCTTAAGACAGCCTATCGTGAATGTGGGTACAATGTATTGTGGTGAAATCAACTATCTAACGTATTGCACTTCGATGATATGAAGAAGCATGGAGTAAGCAAAGGAAGTGAAAAGATTGCGAACTGAGCTGTCTATCCAAACCTAACATGTGTTACCTACACACATTGTCCTAGTGATCGATGATAATGTCTACCAGACTCCGTCCTTCGGAAATAGTCTAGAATCTCCTTCTTGCTCACATAACTTTGGTTACCTTTAGAATTAACATTGACCCATCACGTCTGTTTCCAGTCTTCTCCGTCCGTATCCTGCCAAGTACCAATTTGGCTGGCTGACTGGCTTGCCAAGTGGATAGAGTAGCTAGCTGAACACATCAGCTGCATCTGACATGTCCAGGTGACTATCCGTATAGTCTATCTCCGACGCATTACTCCATCCGCATTCTACGCGAGTTCCTTGCAGTAAAAAGTACACTAGACGGGTCTAAACACCACCAATTCTCCACTCTGATAGGAGAGTGCCTACCCATGGATCGATTCGATATCGAGATTCTAGAACTTTTCCCCGTTCGGTTCGGTGATTGAACCTGAACCTTATGGAAATGGGACGTCTGAGGAGTAGGTTCTTGATTCTGCTGCGACTTGGTTATTGCTATAAATGCTCCGATCACCGTCCTGAATCGGTGGCTGGGTTCTGAAGCTGATTGTTTTGTGAGTGCTGCTCGTTGAGGGGATTTTGTGCGTCTTATTACTTTTTCTCTCTTGCTGTGTTCATAGTATTCGGGAACTTACCTCTACCTTTCCTATTCTTCTTCTACGAGCTGTGGTGATTACCACACCAAAATGAAAGACATACAAGAAGAACGAGGTCGTCCTCGCGAACGCGCCGGCGCGCAATGGACACCCCAAACAGGTACCTACCTCCTTCCATCCATCGCCATCCCCTCAATCAACCCCAATAATCAAACAACTCACTAACACCAACCCCTTCGAACAAAAAGTCCTCTCCACCCTCCCGCACCCCCCACCGACAAACACCTCCCCCTCAACGCCCATCCCCTTCTTCCACCTGCTCGAGCGCCTAAAAACAACTCCCCGATCCGGCTGGGTCCAAGTCGGGATCCCGCACGGCGAGTCCATCTCCGACCACATGTACCGCATGGGCGTGATGGCCATGATGCCGCCGGCGAGCGTGGCGCGGGGCCTGAATATCCCGCGGTGTGTGATGATGGCGCTGGTGCATGACATGGCGGAGTGTTTGGTGGGGGATTTCACGCCGAGGGATACGGGGATTTCGAAGGCCGAGAAGGCGAGGAGGGAGGAGAGTGTTATGGGGTATATTCAGGGGGTTTTGTTGGGAGGGGTTTCTGTGGACCGGGATGGGAGGGATTTTGGGTTAGGAGATGGGTTGGGGTTGGGGGAGGGCAGTGCGAGCTCAAGTGATGAGGATGGAGATGCGGAGGAGGTGAAGGGGGAGGAGAATGGGGGAGGACTAAAAGGGTTGTTTGAAGAGTATGAGGAGAATCGGACCCCCGAGGCCCGGTTCGTGCATGATGTCGATAAGTTGGAGATGTTGTTGCAGGTGCTGGAGTATGAGCGGGCGACGGGACGACGGTTGGACGAGTTCTATCATGTGGTGGACGAAATTAGGTTGAATGAGATGAGGGAGTGGGCGGCGGTGGTGGTGCAGGAGAGAGAGGAGTTTTTTGCGGCTTTGGAGAGAAAGGGTAAGGAGAAGGAAGGGAAGGGGAGGGGGATTTGTAGCTGGTTGAGACGATGGAGGAAGAAGGGGAAGACAATGAATTAGGGCTGTTGGACGGAGTTGGGTGCAAGAATACCTACATGTACTGTACGTACTTGCCAGTCTGTAGATTAAGAGGCACTTGTTGTATACATAAATATGCATAAATATTGGCAAATGGCCAACTCACCAATCGTGTTTCCGGCTTATTCTTGTTCGTTGGAGAATGCAACGTCTACTGCAGGAATATTCCGGTCGCTCTCGCAGTCTCGCAGAAGGATGGATTAACCCCTGTCGCATCCAGGACTTCGGTGACCGCTCTTTCTCAGGCAAAAGGACGAATGATTGAGGGAATAATCTCCCTGCTGACGGGTTATATTAAAAGCGCCGCAGCGTCATACAAACCATCGCCACCCGTGTCACTACGCCCTGCCAAGTGCCTGTTATGGCCTCGGAGATACCGTGAGGGGGATTCTCAGACAGAGACACGGGCTGGAAATGAACAATCCTCCTCATTCCTCATTCCTGACACTTCCTTAGAGCCAACTTGCGACCGACCAGTCGTGGTGTTCACCGACTTCTCCGAGCCATCCTCCGGGCTGCTAGTCTGTGCTATTTCTATCTACCCTCCACGGTCCTCTCGTGCGGGGTTGCAGTGAGCTATCTCTGCATCGGTCGAGACTGTCCATTCGGGTAGGTGTAGGATGCAGGATGCTGCCATGTTATACGTCCTGGCCTTGGCCTAGCGGTGACTAGCAGTGATTAGCAGTGATTAGCAGGTGGGGGGGCAAACTTCCTTCCCGACGGTTACGCGGATAGGGCTTAGTAGGACTGGTTGGATTCCTTCAGGCAGGCAGATTCGCAATTTGCTGTGCGGAGATACACAGGAAATGAGAGAAATATGATCTTTTTTTCGAAGGAGTTCTCGTGCTCTTTTTCCGCAGGATCATGACTGACTACTTCATATACTCCGTACATCAAGTCGGGCTCTTTTTCTGGGTCGAGGACGATCTCGGCTTGGCTAAAGCTTAGGAAGGCTTGGGGAATTTAGCGGCCTTGACTTGTCCACTTTTTCTTCCTGGACGAGTAGTAGTCCAACGATTATGCATCGTCTACGTACCGAGTATGTTTGCGTCTGATTCCTTCTGCTTTTTCCTCCGGAGCTATCCTAGGCAGCAGTCATTCCAGCCATTAGCCCTATGGCTGTAATTAAATCCTGCGTCGATCCTGTCCGTTTGGGCCCCCGTTGCCAACTCCGGCTGCCCGGCACCGCGCTTTCGTCTGATATAAGACCTAATTTAGACGAGGCTTTTTACTTCCTACCTCAAAAGGCTCTAATACTAATGAAGCAATTAATAATATCTGCGCTTTCTTGGCATTCTTCTATCTCCGTCCGGTCCGATTCATCCAACATCCTTGCCGATGCGGAACCAGCGGCACCGACACCGTTGTCTCTGCCCGTCTCTGCCCATCTCAGCCCTAATTGCATCGACCTCCCTCTCCCCGCATCGTAGTCTCGCAGTAGGCAAGTGGCGACTGCAATATTTCTCCAATTTTCTGGAGCTCTGGTGAGGGGTCAAAGGAGCTAGGAGGAGCAGAATCGGAGGTTCAGTTGCTGCGCTCAGTACTTTCGAGGGTAGAAATGCATATAAATAGGCCGACGGAACGGGGTGTTATCGCTCTGAATCTTGAAGATCCATCATTCGCTCTGCATTCGATTGAAGCTCTTCGTTCAGCGTTGCCCTAGCATTTCTATCCATACAACTCATACTCTCCTCTCTGAGACCTTGTCTTCATCATGAAGCCCGTCCTCCTCTCCCTCCTCCCCCTCCTCTTACCTGCCATCCAGGCCGCCCCAACTCAAGGCTTCGCCAGAGATGCGGACCCTCCCCTTCGCGGCTCGCCCGACCTCCTCGGCTACTCGTCGTCCAACAAACTGACCGAGCACACCACCGAGGGCGCCAAATACAAGCTCCTTCCCGGCCAGAAGGAAGACCCCAAGATAGGCAGCTACTTGGATTTCTCAAACGTGCCGAATCCGCAACCCATCCGTGGGAACCTCGGCGGAACGGACTCCTCAGGACGTAGGGCATCCCACCCACCCCCCTTGCATTCCCGAACGCGCACGCATCAATCAATCTGTTCCCACTGCACATACATAACTCGCATAGGATATTGACTCTTCGCACAACAGGCCAAGAGGCGTACGATCGCATGAACAGCGATAAATTCGCGCCCCCTGGAACCGACAAGGGACAGACCATCAACGCGCAATGGCCCATGGGTGAGTTTGTTGAATTGCCGGTTTAGTCAATGACGTCACTAACCCTATGTGCCCAGGCCTCAGCCGTAACCGGTACGATCAATCCGACCTGAATTTGGGGCCTTTCTGAGATCTTTACTAACATGATTTGGCACGATAGCTATGGAAAGGATGGGTCCGGGTGGGCCCGTCAGGAGAATACCGTGGTTATGCCCGACGCGACGAGAATGGCGGGCGTGGATATGCGTCTGGAGGCCGGGGCGTATCGTGAGTTGCATTGGCATGTGGCTAGTGAGTGGTCGTTGGTGTTGAATGGGTCGTGTCGGATTCAGGTTTGTTTTCTTTTTCTTGACTTGCTCTGTTATGCTCTTGGGTTGGGAGAGGTTGGTGTTAATGTGCTGTGGTATAGGCTGTCAATGAGGATGGACAGACTTTCGTCGACGATGTGACCGAGGGTGATGTGTGGTTTTTCCCGCGGTACGTATAGTATCTCCGTCTTGCTAAGAGGAGATAGTAGCTAACTCGCAATACAGCGGCGTCCCGCACTCCATCCAGGCTCTTGACGCAGGTGTCGAGTTCCTGCTCGTCTTCGACGACGGAACCTTCTCCGAAGACAACACCTTCCTGGCATCGGAAGTCTTCGCGCATAACCCTGTACGCCTCCCTGCCCTAACCAAGGTTATCCAAACCATCTAACCCTCCCAGAAATCCGTCCTCTCCAAAAACTTCGACCTCCCGATCGCCTCCTTCGACGACATCCCCGAAGACGAACTCTACATCTTCCCCGGCACCCGCGCCCCCGACGACATCGAAGAACAAAACGTCACCGCAGCGGCCGGCATCCTCCCCCGGAAGGACAGCTACAGCTACCACTTCTCCGAGCAGCCCGCGCACGAAGTATCCGGCGGCTCGGTCAAGATCATCGATCCGCAGACCTTCCCTATTGCCGAGAACTTCGCCGCCGCGCTGGTGACGGTGCAGCCTGGCGGACTGCGCGAGATCCACTGGCATCCGAGCAGCGACGAGTGGACGTTTTTCCTGCGGGGCAAGGGCCGCGCGACGTTGTTTGATGCGCCGGATGTGGCGACTACCTTTGATTATCAGGCTGGGGATGTGGCGTATTTCCCGCAGTCGAATAGCCATTATATTGAGAATGTGGGCGATGAGGAGTTGGTGGTTTTGGAGGTGTTGCAGGCGGATAAGTTTACTGGTTTGTTTACCCCGTTGCTTTTGGTTTGTTTTTGTGGGAGGATGATGCTAACAGTGCATAGATATCTCCCTGGGCCAGTGGATTGGGTCTACGCCGAAGCAGATTGTCGCTGATACGCTCAAGTTGCCCGAGAGTGCGCTGAAAAAGCTGAAGACGGAGAAGCAGTTTGTTGTTCCTGGTGGCAACCAGACCTCTAACTAGGTTTCGAGTTGGTAGACTTGAAGAGTATGGTGGGAAGATGAACAGGGGTACATCTGTCTATAATTTGTGATTGAGCTGGCGAAGAATAAGACTGCATTGCATTGAAGTGCTTGTTGACCTGGTTATATTCAGAATAGGTTTGTTAACATCACAAGATAATACTATCAAACTCAGTTCAATCCACAGGTGATGGCAAGAAGGATTCAGACACGACGAGGAACCCTCCCTTAACCATACAACATCCAACATAGGATCCACTATGCACAACTAGGGCAATTCCGAATACGGCGGCGGCGCCTCCTCATGGCGACTCTCTCTCTGTTTGTCTTTCTTCTTTTCCTTGATCTTCTCTCCCGCACCCTTCTCATCATCATCCTCATCCTCCCCGCTCTCCTCACTCTCCGAATCCGCCTCCATCTTCATCCACGCCTCAACACTCCTCTCCTCTAGCTTCTCTCCAGAGAAATCCACCTACAAGTAACGATTAGCCCAACCGAAGCAACTAAACCAGCCAAATCAACGAAAAAAATAACAGACAGAGAGAAATACTTACCGCATCAACGCCCTTCCCCTGAACCACAACCTCCCTCCCAACCATCCTCCCCACCAACCTCCCCCCCTTCCAGACCCCAAACCTAAGAACCATACCCCGATACTCCCCGCCCAGCAAAACACACCCCGTAACCTCGCAATCCCTTACAGTAGCCTTCTTCACATGGCTCTTGACCACGCGACTCGACACCACCTGACTCCGTCGAAGTCGGGTTTCCTCGACCACCGCATCCCGCAGGTTACAGCGCGTCAGGACGGATGAGGAGAGCGTTGCGTTTTGGACATCGCAGCGGCGGAGAGATGTATTTTCGATGCGGGAGGATGTGCTGTGCAGGGATTTGGCGGTTGAGAGGGACATGTGCGAGTTTGTTAGCGTGGAGCGGCGGAGGGAGGTGCGGGTTAGGTGGCTGTGGGTTATTTGCGAGCGGTGGATTCGGGTTGGGGTTGAGTCCCTGTGGGAGTCGGGGTTTGGTGGGTTGGCGAGGGTTGAGTGCGTGATGGTGCTGCGGGTGATGCTGTCGGAGGGGGTTAGGTTGGTGAGGGAGCTGGAGGTGATGGTGGAGCGGGTTATGGCGGGGGAGGAGGAGGGTGGGGGGAGAGCGGTGCTTGTGATGGTGTTGCTGTTGCGGGGGGACATTTTAGCTTCGCTTAGTTGGAGTTTCATTTCTATGGGAAGAGATGGTGGTTTAGACAGCGTTATAGCGGTTGAAGGTCCAGGAAAAGGTAGTCTATTTATGATGGAAATCTTGCTGCCTTGGCGATTCGAGTTTGGGAGATGCCTGGGGGAACCATTGTCAGTGCGTGATCCATACGAACTATACTAAAGGCTGACAGTCGGAGTGGGGTATCATTTGTTTGAGCACGGCCATCTCCAAACTCCAGATGGTTCGGTTATGTTATTTGTCTGGGATTTAAAGGCCTTGTACATGTGTCTAGTCAACATACTAATGCTCTATACTATCCAGTCTTGTTGCCCTCTAGGTAGCCGCCCACAAAGCCAGAAAACCAGAAACAAGATTCTACATACAAATACATTAACAAATCATTACCTCCGCCATCTACCTTTCCTACCATTCTTCCTTCTATATATGGCCGAGGCTTTGCTTCGACCATATCCCTAAGATGGTATTCACCTCAGCCTGTGACCACCATTCACCGCTGTATAACAAGTCAGCAATCTTCACCATGAACCCCAGAGTCCAAAGATCAGTCTCACATGTAGATACGACCCCCTTCACGAACCTGACCCACCTGTCGGTTTCTTTTCCTTTCTCGGGTCCTGGGGTTATTTGGCCTAGCTGTCGCCCCGGGGGAGTCTTGACAATCTTTGAGGTCTTCGATGTCGTTTTGCAAGGTCGGGATCAGCGCTTCCAGGTCTCTATTGGCGATTGTTAACCTGGTTTGCTCTTCTTTGGATTTATCAAGCGCAGCGCATAGGAATTTTTTCTGCTTTCGAGATTTCATAGAATTCGCTCTCTCGCTGGTGAGAAGTCGCTGGGTTGTTCGCAGCCGCACGGAGACTCGGAGGACTTTTCGCTGTAGGAAGATGTTTCGTGCTGTAAGGTCCTGTTTTTCTTTACTCAGTGCTTCGTTTTCGGATTTGAGTGTTGATATCTCTGCTTCAATGTTATCTGTGTGCTCCTGGGCCTGGTTGTATTCGTTCTCGGACATACCATCATCACGAGATTGGATCATTGATAGATCTTCAGTGCGATACCTTTCAAACTTTTGCTCTATCCTGTTGTATTCCCTTTGTTTGGTCGCTATGTCGTTCTCTAGTTTGGTGATTGTCTCATTAGATAAACTGAGCTGGGTGTGTAGGTGTCTGTTTTTGGTTTCGGCTGCACGGCGCTCTTCTGCCGCGTTTTGTCGCATTGTCTCACCTTCGTCTCGCTCATTTCTCATAGCATTTGCTTTTTCCTCGAGTTCGTCCTTTTTATTATTCGCAGCGCTGAGCTGGTCCCGAAGTTTCTGCATTCCTGCCTCAGACCTTTCGCGTGCTCGTGCCATCTCGATATCGAGGTCGGACTTTTCCCTATTTGCAGTGTTGAGCTGTTCCCGAAGGTCCCGTTTTTCTGCCTCGGCCGATTCGCATGCCTTCTGCATCTCGGTGGCCATGTTCTGGAGTTGAGTATTAGTCTTCGTCTCGTCCTTTAGTTGTTCAGAAAGTACCCGGATTTCATCTTCGCGTATTTTGGCTTCCATTTGGAGGTCGTTGTTTCTTTTTTGGGCTTCATCTAGCTCAGCTTTCAACTGTTTGAGCATTTCTTGACTCTGGCTCTGTTGATCGAGAGCGCTTTGCTTTTCCTTCTTGCAGAGATCTAGCTCCTGCTCAAGTCGGTTGGATGCCTCCGTCCGCTCCCTTAGATTCTCGGAGATGGTATCTCGACGGCTTTCGGACGTCTCAAGCTCGTGCTCGAGTTCAGATATCTAATGATGCTAGTCAGGTCAAATCACTTCATCATATTCAACCATATGCTCAGAGTAACGGACCCTTTCTCGAAGTTCTTTGTTCTCCTCTTCTTTCTCCGCAATATGTCCATCAGCCTCTCGGCGTCCTTGTCTCTCGATGCCGATCGCTTCGTGAAACTGTGACATCATACCTAAGGCACTCCCAAGGTGGCGCGTCACATTGCAAATCACTTCGCATGTATCATCATTTGACCCCCTCGCACAGTCCAGGCCGGAGGGAGTGCCATCCGATCGATTCCCAGTCGCACTCTCCGTCGATATTCCATTTCGAGAGCGACCGAAAGATCGAGCGGTGTCGAGGATTTGACCGTCCAAGGCTGAAGAAATGCCGGCTCGTATTTCATTTGAAGCTTGTTCGATGGGAGCGCGTGAGCCCGCGGATGCGTGGAGTGGACGCGATGTGTTTCTGTGCGATACTCTACCGGCCAGTCGAGGGAATCGACTCGGGCCACTTGTATTAGGCGTAGGAGGTGTATTCTGGCTAGGCCCAGTTGCGTGTGATGATCTGGGGACTGGACGTGGTATAGAGCTTTGTGAATGTCTTGTCCGGGAGAGTGGCATGGCCCCGGTGGGTGGTGGGCCGTCAGAGGGCCTTCTAAGCATATTTCAAAGCAGACAATAGTTTTATCCCGGCGAAATCATGCGCACTACCAAAGGATTTGTAAGGGGTAGAGGAGTCGAATTAAATAGACACCATGGTCGACAGGCCAAGGATCCGGGAAACGACCTCCCTCCTCCATTTCCTTCGACTAAACTATTTCCAGTACACCGGACAGGAATATCATAGTCATATTAACATGGTCAAAGGATTGGATTGGATGCACGAGGCCAATAGGACTTGATGGAGGTTCGTTCGGGCAACGGTACAGAGTGATTGGTTTGTACCCATGACTCTCTGGACGCGACAACCAGGAAACATCACTGTGGCTATACGCCTCTCGTTTAGCAGAGGGTTTTAACTGGCTGCGTGCAATTACTTTTACTAGTGATGTGCTTGGCATGATGACATTATGCGTAGTCGGCTGGGAGGTATAAGGCTGTCGTGAAAGTGAGGTTTCACACGGTTTTGGTTCATCTCATTTTCATTTTATCCCTTCTATTTTTTGAGAATTCTAATATGCGGTAGTTGAAACCCCTATATGTTTCCTGCCTATGGATGACACACATTAGCATGTATTTCTTACATCATGGAATGGTTACTACATAACAATAAGTTATTCAAACTTGACATCTTAGAAAATTTCAAATCTATGTAACGCTCTATTTGAAAGAATAAGTTATACGCGGTATATATAAGGACAAATAATAGAGGAAAATTTGATATGTATAAGGTAGAATAAGTGAACATAAAGAAAATGTAATTGAACAAGAAAAACAAAGATAGGAGATTGCAGGTGTTCAAGGAGAAAGAACAACAAAACAAAACCCAAAGACCATTCTATACTTTACTGGTATAACACAAACAATCATAGTGTACTGTTTTGATCAGTACTTGTATATACCATGGACAATCACCTACACAAAGTCTCCGTGGCCGTTGCATTCCAACCAGTGTAAGGTTGAGTGTTGGGGATGGATAACTGCGTTACCTGCAAGAGCTTTTCCGACTTTTCATATGCTTTCTGCAATCCAGTTAAGCGATTCTGGGTTTCAATGACTGCTTTCTGTGCGGTCGATAGCTGACGTTCAATTTCCGTTCTTCTTTTGGTCAATGCAACTCGCTGGAACTGCAGGAAGACGATTCGAGTGCGAAGCATCTGGTTGTCGCTCTCCGTCTCCTGATGCTTGGCTCTTTCGGTATGGAACTGCTCGATCTCATTTTGCAGCTCCATCAGTTTGTCTTCGAACTTCGAGATCTGGATCCTCTGCGTATCGAAGATGTCAGCCCACTGATCGCGTTCCTTCTGATACCGCTCCTCGATATCAGATGTCTTTTTCTCATCCACCATGTCCGCCTGAGATGCTTCTTCGGCATTCTTCTGCATGAGCGCGTTCCGCGCCTCCGACTCAAGCAACATCTGCTGCGTCGCCTGGATGAAAAACGCATCTTCAGCCTTCTCATCCCTCAGGCGGTTTATCACAGTATTGGCCTCCGTCAGCAGCTTTATGAGACTCTCATTCTCCTCCTCCGACGTGCTCAGCTCATCGTAGATCAGATTATTGCTGTTCTCGCTCTCCTGCAGAAGCTCATTGACCAATCGCTTCTCCTCCTCCAGCCGCACAACATTCTGCTTTTCCTTCGTCACGCTCTCCTCAAACTCTGCCCTAGCATCTTCCGCCATCTCCAACTCGGTCTTGAGTAATGCCGCGTTGCTCCGCTCCGTAGCCAACTGGCCCTCTAGCTGCAGGACCTGGATCTCTCGGTTCGCCAAGAGCTCTTTGGCCCGCTTGTGTCGGTTCTCCAGGTTGGCGATGTACGTGTGGAGTGACTCAATCTCCTCTTCCTTTTCGGCCAGCGCGGACGAATTGTGCGCTTCGTGCTGCATCACGTCCATTTTGCTTAGCAGTGCCTGAAGCCCGGTTTTCAACTCGTCGATGTGGTCGCCGGGGGCGCCTGTCGGCTCCTCGGGTATAGGGGTCATGGTGATAGGGACGGGGGCCCGCTGGATAGACACCGTGCGTTTGATGACAGGGAGGGCGAGTGGCGGAACAGTCGCGGTCCCATCGGGAATCGGTGTGGTGGGGCGGTAGTCTCGCTGCGGCGCGGGGATCGGCCTGCCAAGAGGCTCCGCTGGCTGGGCATCAGGAGTGGGAGCGGTAATGGTGCAGGCCGGTACGGGAGCGGGAGCGGGAGGCGGGGCGGAAGTGGGGACCTCTTCCCGCTGACGAGGCGCCGGAGTGGCAGGCGGGGTCGGAGTCGCAGGAATCTCTGCATCATCTTGTCGAAAGGTTTCTGTCTTCCGGGTGGGATCTTGGATCCCTGTTGAAGGCTTCAGGTTTCTGATTTCATAGGACCCGCGGCGGCGAATATGCTTCGAAGGGTAGGTTTCAAAAGTCGATGCAGTTGTTTTAGGCGGTGGATTCACTGAGACTGACGACGAATGCACAAAGGACGAGATCCTCGCTGCGGCGGATGCCTTGTGGCGGGACCCGGACTGGGAAGCTACTTTGGACATGGTGATGATGGGGTGGGATGGACTTTCCTATATAAAAAGAAAGTTCCTGGCCTACCCGTATATACAGCTTTAGTGGAAAGGAGAATCAGTGGGGTAGGTTAACATTGGAAAGACGGATGCGACGGAGGAGGTTTATATAGCTGAACTTATGATGGAAAGTGTCACTAAGTAGTTTAACGGCCGGAAACTTCTGGCTTCATAGCACCGAACAATGGAAGCAAAGTGTGTGAACCAACTCTTGGACATAGTAGTTTTGCGTAATATCAGCGGGGATTACGACCATTCGAATTGACCAAGCCCAGCAAACATGTATCCTGATCATGCCTAGAGTCATAGGATGTGCTCTTTTGTCGCGGTGACCGTATCATATAGACTAGTGCTTGACCAGGCAGAGCTCTTCTTCACCAACGTCAATTTACCAAGTGGGCTAAGCCCACTAAATCCTGATTATGATGTTGTGCTAAGATGGAAAGGTATGACCGTTGACAACACAACCAAGTGCACATTTCTCGTATTGTAATTATGAGACCCAAAGTCCTGTTGTACAATCATGTTAATTACCTGTCATCCAGTAAGTTTGATGCAAACCCCATGAAACAGACTAATCCAACATATATGAAAAGTTCCGGTCGGAAGTTCGCGCTCAGTGAACTGCCAAAGAATTAGGATTACTTTGATATAAAGGCACCTCAGCTGTTGTTTTTATCTCATGTTTCAAACAATGACTTCAGGTTACTCCTCATATCAGGTGTGAACCTCGGTTCTTGGATTAAGTCTTTCTTTCATCAGTCGTCTGGTAGAGTTCTATTCACACGACTATTCCCTAGCTCGGTCCATTCAGTTTCAAAAAAACTCCTGCCCAAAGAAAGATGTCACTCTGCAAGTTACCCAACGAGTTGCTTCTCGACATCATCGAAAGGCTAAATTCCGAAAGAGACCTCAATGCTCTCACCCGAACAAACCGCCGCTTCTACGCTCTGCTAAACCTCCTTCTCTACCAGCACAACCTCCAGCGCTCCAGATGCTCGGCCCTCCGATTTGCTGCCATAAAGGGACGAGTCGGGACGACTAAGATTATGCTGGACATTCTTTGGCCTATTTATCAACACAAACGAGTCCTCGCCTTTACTCAGAGACCATTCTCTCTTGCCGCCGAACATGGCAATGTTGAGGTAGTCGAGCTTCTTCTCGAGACCGGCCGCATTGACATAAATTGGCAGAACAAACTCAAACGTACACCTCTGTTTCTTGCAGCGATGAGAGGCCATACGGCAATCTTCGAGCTTCTTCTCGCTACAGGCAAGGTCAATCCAGATAAACCCGATGTATATTTGGAGACGCCTCTGTTCGTTGCAGCTGAGCGGGGATATGTAGGAGTCGTTAAGGTTCTTCTCGCTACAGAAAAGGTTAACCCGAAGGCTGAGAACTGGGACCGTCATACACCACTGACGGTTGCAGTCAAGGGAGGCCACACGGAAGTCTTCGATCTTCTTCTCGCTATGGGAAAGGGGTATCTGAGTATCCCAGATTCAGAGGAAGACAGAAGTAGGTTTCTTGAAGCAGCGGCTGCGGGGGGTTATACCACAATATTTGAGCTTCTCTTTGCCATAGACAATGTCAGGCTGAGCTTTGATCGCGCTTTGGCTAGACCTTTATTTCTTGCAGCTGTGCGGGGACATACGAGAATAGTCCAGCTTCTCCTGAATTTATGCCCAGTTCTCATATACAACCGTTATAGGCACGGTCGTTCGGCTTTCTTCGTTGCTGCTGTGAAGGGACATGTGCGAATAGTCGAGCTTATGCTTGCTACTGGCAGAGTTGATATAAATAAGCCAGATGATTACGGAGTTACACCTCTATATGCTGCAATCACTAGGGGCCACGAGCAGATCGTCGACCTTTTTCTGAAAACGGGAAGGGTTGGTTCAAGTTCAGAGGCGTCTCCGGCCATGGTGCCCGTGCTGAAGGCAGCCCTAAGTGGACACGAAGGCATCTTGCGAAAGCTTCTAGGAGTGTGTGGTGCGTATGCCAAAGATAGAGCTCCTTGTATGCAGATGATATTCATCGTCTCAGCGGGACGCAGCCACACCGGCATAGTGAGAATACTGATGGAGGACAGGGATGTGAATCCGCTTGCCATTTTTCCTCATGAGCCGGCACGAGGAATCACAGCGCTTCTTATGGCCGTTTTCTCGAAAAGAGTCGAAACTGTGCGGCTACTGTTGACGAGCGTGAAATCCCTAGATGTCAACAAAGCAAATTACGACGCACTACACCTCTTTGCGCAGCCGCAGAAAGCGGCAGTGTGGAGATTATACGGTTGTTGGCAGGTATAGAGCCCCTTGAGGTGGATAAAGTGGATAATAACGATAGTACACCTCTCGCTTTCACCGCCAGATGGGGTCAGAAGATTATGCGGTTGCTGACAGGTATAAAGCCCCTTGACGTGAATAAAGTGGATAACCAGGGCATGACACCTCTCATCTGGGCCGCAAAATGCGGCCAGCTAGAAACTGCGCAATTCTTAACAAGCATGGACTCCCTTGATATAAACAAAGCAGACATGATGGGTGTTACACCTCTCGCCGTGGCCGTAGCATGGGGCCATATAGAGATTGTGCAATTGCTAGCAAACATGAAGTCTGTCGATGTGAACAAACCGGATAATAAGGGTAGAACACCTTTCCTCTTGGCCGCTGAATTCTGTCAGGCAGAGTTTATACGATTCCTGGCGGGTGTAAAGTCCGTTGACAAGAACAAAGGGGATATCAACAGTGATACACCTTTCCTCGTAGCCGTTTATCGCGGCGATTTAGAAGTCGTAAAGTTTCTAGCAGCGGTAGAGACCGTCGATATAAACAAAGCAGATATCCATGGTAACACACCCCTCGGGATTGCCCCAAGCAAGAACCACATAGAAATTGTGCAGTTTCTAGCGGGTATAGAGTCTCTTGACGTGAATAAAGCAGACTGCGACGGCGCTACGCCTCTCGCTATTGCTGCAAAGTATGGAGATTCTAATATAGTAAAGATTCTGCTTTCTATTGATGGGATCGATCCGAGTGCCAGATGCCGAAATGGTTACACTCCCTTAACATATGCTGCGTCATGGGGACGCATGGATGTTGTGAGCCTCATGCTGACGGATGACAGAGTGTGTCTAGATCCTGTTAACAGTATAGGCCGTACGCCGGTGGACTTGGCTAGAATGAACTCCTATGATGAGGTGGCAAACCTGATCCAGTCACGCATCTTGTCTGTAGAGCATAGCTCATAAACATTTTCGAAGTGGAGTAAAGTAGCATTATGTATTGAAGCTGAAAAGGAGCTCTATCTAACTAAGAACAGTATTAACACGTGTGCATATAGTTTTGAGTAGGGCGAAGGACGTCCTGTAGATTATGAAACTTTTCCCAGCCCTCTTCCACAACTCCCCACTTTCTCAATGACTTGATTCTAACTTTGCAAATAGGGCATCTTGATGAACATGATAAACCGGTGGATTGAAGTACGCGAGATCATTGTAATTCCCTAAAGTTTCATGGAAATGGCCATAAGGAGGGGTCCGGCTACAGCGCACTATATTGGACACTAGGCAAATTTAATCCCTATTTGGGAATTTTTGGGGTAGTATCTTCAATTATCCCCGGATATATGATATGCCCACCAGGTCTTCCAAATATTGAACTATTCTAGTAGTTCTCATTAGTTACTTATCTCTACTGCCGTCGGGAAAGACTCCGCTTTTTGCCCCCCATCCAAGTTTTCCTGGCTCTATGTTTCCATTCTGGATAAACCTCTCCGTTTCGATCATGCAGTCTACTGTTTAGTCTACAGTTCAGGCTACGGTGGGGGGGTGCGTAGGTGCAGCAAAGTGCTGCCTCTCGTGAAGAGTGTAAAGACATGGAATTCTGGCGGGTGGCGTGGTACCGGGATTTTGTAAACGGGCAAGTAGTCCACCGCAGTTGATGGCTTGTGTCGCTTGCTGGTATATCACGGGTCTTTGACGCACCTTCGCAGCTTCTTATTCCAACACTCAATGTCCCGCAGCAGTCTGTTCCGTATCCTGATATTTCTCGTCTATGTCAGCCTATCCCACAGGAGTATCTTTCAGCGGACCACCGCAGCTGACTAAATGTATAAGTCGTTAGTTAGCCTAGTTTCCCATTAACTATTCTAGTCCCTGTTCCACCTCGGCTTGGGATCTATATTTAGTGTCTATAATAGATTTGCTGCGGCCTTCTTAATGGTTTTTGTAAGAACCATCAAATAAGCAGAGACTTCCGGACAGTGCCTTTCAAATTATTGACGCAATTGGGAGTTGCCGGTTCCTTGCCCAGTCCAGCCATTCTGAGTCTCTGGAGACTTCTGGTCCGTTGTTTCGGAGCACCCAACAATGAAACCATAGGGAAAGCTTGATTGTGAACAAAGGCTAGAATATAGAAGTCCTGGAAAATAACAGCGGGGACTTGGAATGGGCCCGAGCGAGAAAACAAAGAAAAACAGGTAAATTAAAGCCCCTTTCAAAGAGAGAAAGGACACAATGATCTTAATTTGAGAAAAACGAGTTACGTAGACTATGGCTTGGCTAGCCGGAAGTTTTCGTCACTATCCCACAATGAGAAAGGAGTCAGATCCATAAAATCTAGAAATATAAAGATGTATTGAAATTAAAAGGAAGCGAGGGATCTTAATTTGCGCAATAAATGGCATAGTTGTTATACTGAACGGTTTAAGACTTGATATCCCTTTATACACTCTCCTCATCTCCATTTCATTGATCTAGCTTTATTCAACTTTATAACAATCGAGTGCTCAAGCTCACCTATACCGAAGAAAGTCCAGTCGGAAACTTGCGCTTAGTTCTTTGCTTAAGTGGTGGAGTGGTGGAGTGAAATTTATCACTATATAAGGACAGTGTATCCATTCGTTTTACCTCATGTGGAGCATAACCCATCTAGTCATCTTGGATCAGATTACACACGGACTTCGGTCTTTCAATCTTTGGTAGATGGTATCTTTGGAAGATTAATCAGCTTACTTCCATCTACACAATCAACCTATATCTCAGTCTGTTTAATCTGGAAAGTGCAATCATCACTATCTGTCAAACTCGAACAAAAGATCAGGAGGGAAAAACGGGTAAATTGCCGTCTTACACGCCATCCAATGAGCTGCTTCTCAGCGTCGCTGGGAAGTTAGCGTCAGGAAGCAAGGTAGACGTTCTCAGCAAGGAAAACCCCGGATTCGATACCTTCCTGGGCCCTGCAGCCGAATGGGGCAATGTTGGGGTCTTCGAGGCTCTGCTCAAATCCAAAGTCATGCATCTAAATTGGCGGAACGAGCACAAAAGGACTCCTCTTCTTCTTGCAACCATGTCAGGACATGCACGAATCGTTGAGCTTCTGCTTGCCACTGGCAAGGTCTATCCAGATATCCATGATAAAGACTGGCAGACGCCTCTTCTGGTTGCTCTTGAGAGAGGTTATACAAGGATTGTTGAGCTTCTTCTCGCGACGGGCAAGGTATATCCGCTCATGAAGGTTTCACGGGAATATGGACGAAGGCTTTTGGTGGATGCAATGATCCGGGATGATACTAAGGCGCAAGATGCTATTCTCTCTACGATTAAGTCCTCGAGCGTGTTAGACGAAGCATACCAAAAGAGACTTCTCAGGGCTGCAGCCAATGCAGGTCATACAGGGATCGTCCAGCGTTTAATCGAGTTGGGTGAGATCACTGTGAACACGCGCGATAAACTGTTACAGACACCGCTCTATGGTGCTGCTGCCGGGGGCCACAAGGAGGTCGTCGAGCTTCTCCTGACTACAAAAGGTATCATCGAAAGTACCCGCAGTATGGGGACTGGAGGACCTGTGTTGGTAGCAGCCCGCAATGGACACGCAGATATCGTACAAAGGTTGCTAGAAGTAAACAGTGAGTGCAGCTTCGACCGCGACGGACACTACGGCCGGAGGCCGCTTCATGAAGCAGTGATTAATGGCCATGTTGGTGTAGTGAAAACTCTCTTGGAGCATGGGATTGTGGAAGCTCACTGTCGAGGTGCAATTGGATGCCCTTTTTGCTGTGATAGTTATGGAATGACACCACTGTCATATGCAGCAAAAATGGGCAATATAGAGATTGTCCGGTTGCTGGTGTCGGCGGAGCGCGTTTACGTGAACCGAGCGGACCGCGCTGGTAATACACCTCTCTCCTTAGCTGCAAGATGGGGACGTGCTGAGGTGGTACAGTTTCTACTTTCGATTGACGGGATTGATATAAATGTAAAAGATAGTGACGGTAACACCCCTTTGGCGCATGCTGCAATGTGGGGGTGTATAGAAGTTGCGCGTCTCTTACTAATGGATGATAGGATTTGCGTAGATCCAGTTGACAGTTATGGTTACACGCCACTGGCCTGGGCTAAAGCAAACTCCCATAATGAAGTGGCAGACTTGATTCAGTCACGTATTCCCGGGTAGTAGAACGGGACATGTCTCAGATAACGGGTTGAGTCTCTGTTGAGGGCTCTGATCCTCACTTTGGCCTCACTTTGGCCTCACTTTGGCCTCACTTTGGCCTCACACTTGCCTATTCTAGTTACCTAGTTTACATGCCCGCTGACCCACAGTGGAGCTCTCGCTGCAGCAACAGCGCTTTCATACATTGCAGGCATCCCATACATCCTTCTCTACAGTAGCTCTGTCAGCGTCTCAGAGATGTAACAAGTATGTATTTTTCAGAAGCAAATTGTAGAATCCCTAGATAGGCTTTGCCTACCAGAGACTGATACAGTAATATAAGCGAGAGAGCTGCTCAAGTAACCCTGCCCCTCAATAGATCAGAACATGTATTCATTCTGTAGTCCTCCCAGGAAAACACTCTATGATATCGCTCAATTCATCAAAAGAAATCCTCCTTCACTTTCTTATCTTTTACCTTGTTGCTGTATAACTTTGAAATGGACAGGTATCATGACATATCCATGACTCATTGATAGGCATTCAAAACATCCATGAACACCGATGTTGCCATGATCCAACACACAAAAAAAAAAAAAAAAAAAAGGCTTGGCTATGAATGAAGAAGGATATCAACAGGGGAATCTCAGGTATGTATCCTTGATCGGCTCAAACACGGTATAGAAGAATTCCTTCTGGAAATCCTGGTTGTTAAAGCTCCGAGACCGAACAGAAACCTCAAATGACAACTTTATACATCGCTCCGCTGCACGTCTACAAGGGGCAAAACCGGTATCTTCAATCTGTTGCAGGAAATTCAACACTGACTCGTGAATCTCGAACCACGAGCCCTGTTGAAGCTCCTCTGAAATGGGTCTTTCGATACTGAGTTCAATGAGAAGTACTCCGACAGCATAGACAGTTCTCCTTGGAATCGATTGTGGAACTCCTTCCCCGACTGGCTCTTCCGGTGACGGTGTGGGAAAGATGTACGAGACATAGGGGTGCTGTGAAGGCACCGCCACATCAGATTCCGGGTTGTTCTCATAAAATATCTGGGCTTGCTCATCGGCCCACTGATCATTCAACCAACGACTCCCGCCTAAGTGCAGCACCGCCCAGGCAAGGGAGGCGGCGACACCAAGGCGCTGTTTGAGGGTCAAGTGATAAGAGTTCCTTGGGTCGAAGGGCTGCTGAAGTGATATGACCTGCTTCAATGGAACCGCTTCCTGTATTTCTCGGGGATTTCCCGGGCTCCAATTGAGAATGAACTGTCGGTGTTCGTCTTCCGGGTCTTGGAGATTGTCTGATGGAGCGGAGGAGTCAAGGCTCGAGCTCAGCTTCTGGCAGAGTTTTGCCGGAGCCTTGGGAGAAGAATTCACGGGTTCCGATGGATCGACAATACGGATCTTGGTCTCTCGCCAAGAATCAAGTTTCTTCTGAGGGCCTTTCGCGTAGGACACCATCAGGTTGAAAGCTTCTGCAGCAGCATTCTCATCCGTTTCCCAGTCGAGATCGATGGCAGCTCGGTGGGAGATCGAACAATCACAGCTAAATTCTGATCCCAATGCTCTGTGCAAAGACTTGAAGCTCGCACGGGCGGAGTTGCATTGAGATGGGTTGAATCGGCTAGCTGTGAGCTGCACTTCAGGATCCCTATTGTTTTGAGCAGGTACCTTGCGCAAATCATCGATCATATCGATTATGCGTATGAGATCCGCCTTTGTCCTTTCCCGCTCCTTCGCATCGAAGCTATATTTCACCCTCCTCCACCCTCGTCGAACCTTCGCAGCGAACTTTGGGTCTTTCTAGATGAAAACAGAAGAGTTAGCATGGTTTCGGTTCCTCATGTTGGGGCTCACGTAGGCTTCTGACACTTTCCGCAGGGTCTACCTCCATCTGTTTCAAAATCTCACTCGTGATCATGCCCATGCGGCTGATGAAGTGCATGTACGCTTCAGCAGCTTGTGGATGCTCTCTCTGCAGGTATTCGAGCAACTCATCATCTGTGGGATTCGGGCCCAGAACTTGCCCAACAATACACCGCAGACGTTCCTGCTGCAGCTGGATTTCGAAACGATAATTTTTAAGTGACTCGGGATGTTCTTTGAATTCCTTCAAGGGCGCCTTGTAATATCTCACTAGCTCGATAAGTATAGGAAATGCCCCAAGCGCTACACCCAGGGCCTCCATCGTTGAATCACGACGTGAGTAAATAGTGCAAGGGGATCAGTGGAAGAAACAGGTCAAGGAAGGCAGACACGAGTTGTTGACAACTGGGAAGATTGGCTGAAGTATATGAAACATTGCTACACAAGCGGTCAAGGGGGCAGGGGTCGCTTGTACGACCGACAAACGGCCATGTCCGCGCCCCAAGCAGTGTCTTTTACCATGCATTCCGGCTTGAGAACTCGAAATCAACGCACTGGCTGTGAATTCACATCTCTTAAATACATTCACAACACCTTTTGACCGGGTGGAATGCTGTGCTGGAGCTATTCACTGTGCCTTGATCCCGAGTTCCGTCGTCGTACGCCTGCACACTCGCGGTGGGTCTTCGCCACTATCCTCAGCAAACCGTTGCTCGGCCTTCCTTTTCTTCTTTTTGATTTCCTTCATCACTTCGCTGTTCAATTTCTCCCGGAACAATCGTTCGATAACGTCTCTCTTCCGCGTGCGGCGATCCCCGATCATGATGGCAGCCGATGCAAGCTTTCCACCTTTCTGCGATTCATTCGAAAAATGTCTTCACGAGTTCGAAACGCTTGTGGGGGTCTTGTCTGAGAAAGACTGTCGTGTAGTAAACCTGAAGCTAATTGGCCTCCACGAGATCAAAGATGAGTACGGGAGATTCGTGGTTTGGGGAAACCAGATCAAAGCCCGACTCCTTGCCAGGGCTGAGGGATCCCTGGAGGATACTCTCCGGCACAACGAAGTGCTCAAAAGGTTGGTCTGCGAGTGTGTCAACCGTCTCGAGACCATCATTTGTCAAGGTACCAAGTCTCGTTCCTGTTGTTACGGTGAGAATGGGAAGGTGTGTGGGCGATCATCCGGCTGATCCTGCTCTAGTAACGGCAGTCGCCAAACCAAAACACAACCCTGCCGTTGAAACGGAGCCAGATTCTGTCAGCAGTGTCAGCACCGAATCAGATTCTGATTCTGAGGACAATGAGCATCAACGACAGAAGGTGCCAAAAATCCGAGTCCTTGTGGATTTGATAGTGCAACACATCCGAAGCCTCTACGAATTCGCCTCTCTGCCCCGTGGACCCCAGCTCGCGCGCACACCTGCGGGTCAGAACACGGATGAAGATCTTATAGTAAATACAATGCAGCTCTGGCCCATCTCAGCCAATCACAGGCGGGGTACTGGGCTGCAGAGCGAGGCCATGGCAAGAGATCCGGTGGATGATATTCAGTGGTTTTGTAAACGGCTTGCAAGAGCAAGCTCAATACGAAAGGACCAGCTTCGTTATTGGGTTGACCGTCCGTTGATTCGTCCGTTTGGCACGTCCAACCAAACGGGAGCTTTGGGACAAGACTCTGTTGGCCCGGCCTTCGTACCCAGTTCTCTCTCGGCTCCTCAAGTCGCAGCCAAGGGTAGTAACATGTTCCCGTGTGGGTTTTGTGGAAGAGAATTCGAATTCTTGGACTGGCAGTCATGGTGGTAAGCCAAATCCGTGTTCTGTCAAATGTTCAATTCAAACTCTAATGACCCTGTGACTCCACAGTTTCCATATTTCTCGCGATGTCAGCCCATACATCTGTACCTTCGAAAATTGTCAGAATCCGGAGAAGCTATACAGTTGTCGCAGTGACTGGATTCACCACGAACAACAGGTCCATCGCCTTGAGTATGTCTGCCAGGGTTGCAATGGCATAGTCCCTACCAAAGAAGAGATGATAAGACATCTCCAAGACCAGTGTGCCAACTCCATAACCCCAAGCCAGCTGAGCGCTGCCTTGTACTTCTGTGCCCGGCCTGTCAATGAGCCTAACGACACGAAGGAATTCTGTCTCATCTGCAGAGAGGAGTTCTTCTTGCCGGATTTACGTGATCATCTCGCAGGCCACATGGAGTATATTGCGCTACTGTCCTTGGCAGATTCAGATAACTATCACGAGACCCAACTATCAAAGGCCTGGATGGATACAAATCCACATATTCAGCCTACGGAGAACAACAAAGCAATGCGAGAACTTCGATGGGCTCGACAGGACACCACTAGGCCACCTCCTATCCTTTTTGGATAACAGGGAATCTTTTTCCCATTTCCCGTACACTAGCTGTATCTCTAAGGACAGAGTGCGGTCGCGGGAGCCCTCGAGAGTTGATTATTTCTCACGAATTGTGGAAGGAAGATCTTTCAGTTTACAAGACACGACCATCAGACCGGTTTTCAAGATAGATATGTATGGCTGTTTCTTCAGAGTTGCCGGGTATGATGTACAGTATCGACAGGATGAATTCTCTCTCACATGCAGTTTCTCGCTGCAACCATGGACCGATGGTCCCTTGCTTCTCGACGTCTGGGGCTACCGTGGTGGGTATAGAACCTGCATTCGAACATTCTCCATTGGCATCGCATGCATCGGGAGTGGCTGGGGTACAAAGACCTGCAAGTTACTTCAATGTGAATCGGAAACTGGGGGAGACTCGGCGAAAGAGCCAGGGAGGTCCGTTCTACAGCCATGCCCACCATATCAACCAGGAAGCAAACCGCCGCCTTTCTTTGTTGCTCCGATGACACATACATTCAAACATATCCGGTTTGCAGAGGCCACAACGGATATCACTGATACTAGTAGGTATTGCCGCCTAGCAATTGAGCTTTATGCAGATATTGCAGAAGGTGATAATTATCCTCAATGGGTGAAGGTTGCTCGAAAGCTTTCCGACCTGATTGTTGTTCAGGCTCTTTCTCCTGAGAATTACTGTCATCGCGGGGAACCCGAAGCTCACTAAGTGGGCAATGTTCTTCTTTTGCTCCTTTTCTATTCTTTTTTTACCCTTTTTTTTTTTTGTTTTTGTTTTTCATTGCTTTTTTCTCTCTTCAGTAACGATTAAGCTGTAGTCAGCGGGGCTCCAAAAGGAGAGATTATAAGATAGAAAAAAGGCGAGTCAAAAAGAAAAGATGGGAGGAAAGGGGGGAAAGAAAGGGACGGAGCGAAGTCATTCATTGTTATCCGAAAAGTTTCAATAAGTTTTTTGCTTGAATATCAGATAGTTGAGCCTTATGCCAAACAAATGGATTTGCGGGAAAAGGAAACCGACACAGAAAAAAGAAGTAAAAAGCGAGATTAACCACCAGGGTTGAATTGCCTGTTATTCCACTATTCATACATGTTCCATCCATCAATATTATTTGTAGCAGAGTCAGAAACGAACAAAAAGAACCAAAAACCAAAAGCACCCGGTAGAAAATACGCCCTCCTCGTTATACTCCGTCGCCCGGACCGGGACCTTCAGAGCAGGGTGCCTGAGGCAGCGAGGCTGTGAGACAGTCAGGCAGCTGGGCATCCACCAACGACACCGACACCTTCTTTGCCCCTCCATGCTTCGCTCAGAGTCCTCGAGTGTCAATTGGAGGCTATCACAGCATTCACGTGCGTTGCATTCGCCAATCAATATCATCTCGGGACTTAGGAACTTTGGGTTTCCTGCCAAACCACACCCCCATGCACGCCCGCTCTTTATAGATCCGATCAAATCAATACCCACCCCGGTCACTCTTAACCTCGATCCTCGTCTGGATGCGAATATCCCCATCATCCTTGACCAGATTCCGGATCTCGTCGTCCTCGAACCCGCTTCCGCGCGGCGATATCACCGTGCTCGTCATCACGCCGTTCATCGACTTGAGCTGCGTCGCTTCGCCCGGAGTGGTGTCGGTGCCCGTGCCGTTCCGTCCGCTCGAGAGGTTCAGGTACGGCCGGTGGCCGAGACCGTGGCCGTGGTGGGATCGTTTGAAGCTGAGAGCCGTCCCGGTTCCGGAGCGCGCTTCGAGGGTCGAGTTTCCGCGGTCAGAGGGGTGGAGGATGCGGTCGCGGAGCCAGCGGGGGAGTTTTGAGAATAGAGGGCGCATGCCAATGAGGCAGGCTGCGCTAAAGTACATTCCGCATTCGACGGCCGTCCAGGAGAAGGCTTCTGTGGCCCCTGTTTGGTTGAGATGGGAGGTTAGATTAAGGACAAGGTTGGGGAAGGTAGGTGGGTAAGTAGGTATATAGGATAGAACAAGGACATACAGGTAGCGTCTGTTCTGAACATTTCGGAATCGCGGAAGAAGACACCGGTTCGCATGCAAGAGGCGAAAAGACCACTGGTGATCGGGAATAGTTAGTACACGGCTCCATTGCTCGGATGGGATAGACGTAGGGACAAGTCTTACATGCTTCCCATAAAGAATACCATCGCAATACCTAGCTTCCTCCCCGTCGATGCCTTCAACCCCCACACCGTCGGAATGGGCAAAACGAGAATCATAAGATCACCAACAACGTTAGGAATATTGCTGATTTCGTACCACAGGATTTGGTCGAAGCATGTTCCGCCACCCGGAAGCGCCTTGTTCCAGGTGTATTCTAGCGGGACGCACTCAAGCTGCGCAGCGATAATGGTAGACAGCATATTACCGATTAGAAAGGCGATAACGAACCAGCAAATGCCGCGATAGAACTTGCTGGTGAAGATGCGTAGGTAAAGAGCGACAACAGAGATCCGAGACATGCAATTAGAGGGTACGTAGAACCAATCAAGCACATAGAGGAGCTTCGCAAAAACGACCATCTGATTAGGATCTTCGGCCACGACGGCGGCGGTATGTCGGCCGAGGCCGCCGTATATGACATCCACTGACGCTCATGTTAGGGATAATGAGGAAAAGAGAGAACGGGGAAGCCCTACGGTATAGACAGATAAGCAACCCGATCAAGCACATATACGAAGGCACAAGCAAGAACTCGTCCCAGCCTCTGGCAGCCTTGGTCAGGCTACGTGCGTACAGCCGCATGGCTAACAGAATGGTGGTCAACACCAGAATGAAGCTGGACGCCGCAATGACTTGACTGCCTCTGTCAGCCTCCATGTACCCCGGAGGAAATTGAGGCTCGGCGGGCGAATCCGACATGGCGAAAGTGACGGCCCTGCGATCTGAACAAAAGCGACGACAATAGTTGACAAGAAGGAGGAGGGGATGACAGTGACGATGACCAGATGAAGGAGGGAAATGCAGCGCAAAAGTCTAAATTCATTTTGCCCGTCAGGCTGACAGCCGGCTCTTTGGCCAGAAGATGACCATCTAGGGCCATTTCACACAGGGATGGCTGCAACTTGAGGGGGGGTCGCTTGGATTGGGGTCCGGACGAGGATCATCGCCTAAGAAAGTCAGTGTCAGACCAGCTGCATGTCAGATTTTCAGACCGACAAGGATTCCCACTTGATCGCACGGGAAAACTGGCGCCACGTTGGCGCTACTGAACACTTATGCATGGGCCGGTTATAGCGTTAAATTAGGTCTTGTTTGCTCAATTTTCTGTGAGTTATCGTGAAACTAACTAGGGTTTATCGTACATGGATTGTTGCATTTTCCTACGCCCCTGTTATCGTCATGTCCATTTCCGTCTGTTTCGTCACCCAACTGCCCATTACTTTCCACGGTCGCTGATGGGTCAGCTCGATATTAAATCGGTAGAAGAACTCCGCCACGATTTTGACGGTTTGGATCATGGCAATGTTCTGGCCAATGCAGGTGTGGGTGCCGGCGCCGAACTAAAGGGACCTTGTCAGCTTCATGCACGTGGGATGACAAACAAGTAAGGCATCCAATAGACAACGAATAGAAGACATAGAAAGAAGAGAAAATAACCCAAGGAAAGAAAAAGGGAACGTACCGTAAACAATAGCTTTTTCATCTCAGTCCTCTCCTGTGCAGTCGCTTCAATCCACCGCTCCGGTCTATAGACATCGGCATCCGCGCCGAAGATTGGATCGCGATGAAGCACCCAGGCGTTTACTCCCACTGTAGTGTTAGCGGGAAGATAGTACCCGTCAATTGTGACACCGTCTTTTGGGACTTTGCGCTCGAGAATCGTCCCCGTGTTGGGGTGAACGCGGAAGGTCTCGTGAATTACGGCGTCCCTGGTAGACGGCCTGCATTAGCGGTTTGGATTCAAACAGACGGTTGTGAACTGAATAGACTGAACTGGGAACTCACAGATAAGGTAGCGACGAGGCCTTCGAATATGGTAACTGAGAATTCTCATCGTCTGATAGACCTTCTTCTCTCCGTGCGGTCGTGATTTCCTCGCGCAGGATTCTCACGACACGCGGGTTCTGCGCAAGATAGTACCAAATGGCGCGCAGGGTGATGGCGAGGACGTCATGGCCGGCCATTCTACAATCCCGAACAATCAGTTTGACTCTCGTTGCAAGCAGGGCAAGGAAGATATGCCAGGGGCCATACAGGTTAATGTAGATAGCGGCGTGGATTTCACGCGCAGAGACTTTCTCGGGGTGCGACTCTTGGAGCGTCAGGAATTTATTCAGCATGTCGGTCTTTTTCTCGGAAGACTTTTGACGCTCTTCCAACTTTTCATTCGTGAACTATGATAAATCAGTGTCCTGTCCTTGTGAATATGAGGGCTTAGGGGGTAGCAGCTCACCAGGAGAAGAGGCTCGCTCTTTTCAGTCAGCAGAACAGACGACAGCATCCGGAATATCGATTGCAGAATCGGAGCTTGGGTGAACTAAAACAGGTTAACGTCAGCCCAACAGAGGGAAGTAATAAAAGGTAAATCTATCAAGACAGAACACAACGCACCAATCCAACGGCCAGGAACACCCGGTCAGCGGCCTCTATCCAACCGTTCATATCATGTCCGTGCTCCAGAAATCCTATCTTCTGCGACACATTCACCTCGCTCAGACAGTCATAGGCGTAGAAATGCAACCATGACGACATATCCAAGGACTTAGCCTGTTCCTCTTTCATGCGTCGCAGGAACAGCGCCACGCAGTCGCCGATCTTCGGCTCAAATTCCTTCACGGCGGATTTAGTGTACAGCCCGGCAATATTCTTGCGCAGAGACGCATGGTAGTGAGGGTCTCGGATCGAGAAAAGGTTCTCAAGCGGACCGTTCCGGAAGTTAGGCGCACCCACTTCGTAGAAATCGGTCTAGATAGAGGTCAGATGAGAGGACGAAGGATCGTGCAGAGCTGATGAAGGATTGCGGATGGCTGATAGACAGCTGACGGGGTTCCTTACCTTAGGGAAAGCGCTCCGGGAGGCGTGAACCTGCGAAAAGGCCTCGGGGCTGGACACGGAGACATGATGCGGACCGATACGAACGACGGATCCATAGCGTTGATGGGCCGCCACATTGTCTAGGTGCATGTTTTGCCGGTAAACGGAGGCGACTTTCCAGATATTACTGAAACTGGCCAAGAAAGGGCCCGGGATGGGCCTCAGCGCATTATAGCGTGTCCGGAGCAGCTGAAGCAGGAGCAGAACAACACTGCAGATGATTGTAGCGAGTATGAACATTGTGGTCTGTGTAGAATGAAAGCAGTTGTGATCAAGCACTCTCGGTTGAACGGGACACCGCATTAATATAACACTCTGTCTGCGCAGCTTTTGCACCGGCACTGGGGCTGAGTTTCTAATTTCGAGTTCCTACTCCGTGCCAACGAACCGCTCTTGCTCAATACATGTGAGCTGATTTGCTCAGCTAGGAGCCCTCGGCGTCATCGATCATCAGGCCGCCGATACCGTGCATCACCGGAAAATTTGGAAACGGGGCCGTTGAAACGAGCTGGAGCGGCTTAGCTGTCCGTTTTCCGATGTATCCATTACAAGGTCTAGGAGTACGCTGAGGAATGCCCTCGAGATTACTATAAAAACCCCTATCGGGTCTGACTTGTGGACAGTCATAGCCATATATGAGGCCATCTGCTATAGAGCTATTCTGGGTACTCCGTTTCTCTCTGTCTCCCGGGCATTTCAAATTAGTCCGCAGACGATATACAGCATGGCTTCCACCCTGCTACATTCGTGCTTTTCAGCGCTCCATACTTCTCTCCTCAACCCTCTTTCCCTACTGCTTCTCTCCACCACACCTCAGAAGCACCAACCTAAGATTTATCCCTTACAGTCTCCCGTCTTCCAACAGGTCACGGCCGAGCTACAACTCGACTCTCACAGCGCGTACTGGTGGCACACGTCGGGATTGCTCGTCAGCGCCTTGCTTGAAGAGGCCGGCTATTCATCTGCTGCACAGTATCGCATCCTTATCTTCTTCGGCCGTACCATCGCTCCGTACCTGGGGCCAGTTTACCTTCCTGATCCGCAATGGCACAGTTTCATGACCGACGATCACCATCCCATCGAACTCAGCTGGGACTGGCACACAGGCCACCACCAACCTCCTACCGTCCGCTTCTCCATCGAACCTGTAGGCATCCATGCCGGCACCCCCACCGATCCTGAGAACCAACAAGCCGACCTCTCCTTTCGCAAGGCTCTCACCGCAGCCCTACCCCTACCAGATACCCACATGGCCTGGTTCCAACACTTTGACCATTTTCTGACACCCAAGACCCCAACGGGCACGAGGCTTATGGAAGGCCACCCATCCAAGATCTTTTACGCTTTCGACCTTTCGGCCGACGCCGCCATCACCAGCAAAGCCTACTTCTTCCCGGGTTTCCAAGCCCGCGCGACCCACCAGTCCAATCTCGACGTGATCAGCGCCGCCATTGCCAGTGCCCCCGGTTGTACCTCCCTCGAGGCCCTACACACCTTCCAAGACTTTGCGCGCGACCCCCTGACCCCACCTTTGGAGATGGACATGTTAGCAATCGACAATGACCCGCCGGCCCAATCGCGGCTGAAAATCTACTTTCGTAACCGCGCTACGAGCTTCGCCTCCGTCCGTCAAATGATGACTCTAGGCGGCCGGCTATCAGACATGGAGGACGAAGACATGGCCCGCGGGCTTCAGAACCTGCGGACCCTCTGGGACGCTCTTTTCGATCAGGCTGGCGCGCCGGAGACCCAGTCTCTCGGCAGCAAGGGCCATCGTACCACCGGCCTTCTCTACAACGTGGAATTTCGCCCCGGACGATCAGCGCTCAAGGTCAAGATCTACATCCCTGTTCGCCATTACGCCCGCAGCGATGAACATACCATGAATACAGTGCACGACTATATGGTCACCCAGGGAGGAGGAAGTCCTTTGCGACGAGATTACGGGACGGTTCTGCGGAAGATGGTGTAAGTTCTTTTCCCTCCGTTTCTTTTTTTATTTCTTTTTTTTTTCGTCATGACGTGATGTTCGCCATCGATTCTCACTTCCCTGCCCTTGTCCATGTCCTTGTAACCATCCCTGTCCTTGTCATCCTTGGCCTTCCCCTCACTCACTCCTTACCTCTTCACTGATTCGCCCTCCCCCTCGTCTGAACATTCCCAACTCCAAATCTAACAAATCCATTGTCTCGCCCCCAGCCACGCGGACGCCCTGCACGAACGAGGCCTGCACACGTACATTGGATGCTCAATCCAACCAGGTGGAGACCTGCGCGTGGTATCCTATATAAACGGCCAAGGGCCGAAGCTGGTTAGTAGCGGCTGCGGCAGGGCCTGCTAAAATCTGACCGACATGGGTGCAAAGTGCCGATTATTGCAGAAACGGGTGAAGAAGGTGCCAACTACTGACTGACAATCTGACAACTCGGTGATTATTTTGATTTTCTACGTGCAGAATTGTTTCCGTCAGACAGACAAGGATGTTTGGATGTGGGTTCCCGTCGAATTGGGTGCACTGCACGACGGAGTACTGCTGTACATGATACATGTGGAACATGGCCCCCATGGCCATGGCCATGTGAGAGGAGGAATAGATTGTATTTATTTTTGTTACGTGTATTGTTCATAGCGGTCCTGGGCGGAGTTTTGGGTTGGTTAGATTTTTTTTTTTTCTCATGTGAATTCGGGGCTTATTCTTAGAATGCGTGATTTCGTTGATCATTTTTATTGTATTTGCTTGCGGTCTTTTCTTCTACTCGGAATCAATTAGAAAGTCAAATCTAACAATAGTAACGAGCAGGGTACGCTGAGTAGGACAGAGAACCTGGAATTAGAAACACATCATGCAAAGCAAGGATGCGCCATATGGGAAAAGACGCCTATAATCAGCAGGAAACCATACAGATATTCAAGAAAAAATAGAATATAATAGAATAAATAAAAAATAAAAACAAGCGAAAAAAGGAAAAAACCAAAAATCCTCATCACCTTCCTCATCCTTCGCCTCATCCTTCTTGAGAACGAGCGGAGGTCCGACTCCTCCCTTGATCCAGAACGGCAACTCTGCAGCAGTTAGAGCAGACCCCAAAAGTCTTGTGCCGCAGTTGGATCACCAACATACCCAATTTCCCATTCCTTCCAGGCTTATCGGTTTCGGCCCCCAGCAGCGTGAAGAATGGCTAAAAGCACGAATAACGTGGCTTTCGCTGCTAATTGCCCCACGGGCTGGATGATTAATTGTTACCTAGTTACCGAGTAGGTATTCTTCAGGCACGGCAATGCTTATCATCGCTGCTGTCCGTGTCTGCGGGTTTGGGGGCTGTTATGTTAAACTTGAACGTGACTTATCTTGAGTGTAACCCTACTATGTGATTTTGTGTCAAGGAACCTGTTTCGGAGTACCGGTACCCCTGCACCTCTTTCACTGGAACGTGGATGTGAGTAGCCTTGGATCAGTCGAGGCGGTTTTTAGGTATTGTTGGTGTTTGAGGAAATGATCCGTTTCGAAACGGATGCAACCATTATTGACCTGATACTTGCATACTATTGACTACATCCCTACAGCGTAGTATTCACTACTCCAAAACTACTGTACCTACTAGGTACTAAGAGAACGCCCAAGCGACTCGCTCGGCCGACCTGATCCGGCATGGGCATATGGATCATGTACCCGTAAATAGCTCAAAGTAAGCGTGTCCGAGCGAGCCTATCAGCCTCGGGTGCAGACCTGTACAAGAGAGGGGAACCCTGTCAACCACGCCAGAGACAGGCCAAATTGACTCGTGCGGTGCAGCCAAGGCGCTGCAAGGGAGGCCAGGCCGAAATGGGCGATTCAGCTGCGGCGGGGGTTACTGATTCCTGTTTAGCGTTGCTACGTCGAGGTTAGTGGAAGTCAAAAATAAATTAGAAAGTGGGGAGTTTTCGCCGGGGCTTTTGCATGCTTCACCTATTATTCGTTGGTTTCGTTGAGTACAATGTACACGGTGTACAGTTTACTATCTTTCGCTATCCATCTCTAGATTTAGGATTTAACTGAACTGAATGGAATCAAATTATAGTAACCAACCCATTCACGCTACTACTACACCGTTTCCTACCTAATTGACAATCTCCACCGAGTCTACCCAGTTTAGTCTGCAAATCTCTAAATCCTCCGAGTCGGTGATCGTCCGACAAAACCCCACTACTTATGCAGTCAGATTGTAGTAAAAGCACAAGCAAAAGCAAAACTACTGGCCCCCTGCGTCCAATTCTACATGCCTTCACACTTACAGTAGTTTTTCCATCACACCGTTACACAGTACTGTGCTGTATTAATGTCTGAGTATGTCTCGGCCCCCAAATGATCAGTCAACTCAAGTTGCATTGCCTGGATTCTGGATGCTGCACAGTGCACAGCCGAATTAGTGCTGACAACGGGTGTTTCCAACCCGCCGTTTGATTTTAAAGAAGCATTTCGACTTGGTGGAGCTTATTGATCCAGGATTTCTGGCCTTGTTGTGGAGTACTGGAGGTGGATTATGATGGATTCTGATAATCCTGGAAATGTGAATAAGACGAAATTATTTCATAATCGCGTTGCTTGGATGACTGCATGGTGCATACAGACTACGGAGTGATTTTACAGGCACACGGAGTTGGCTCGGGGTTGCGGACGCGTTCATGAGGGATTTTCATCGTCGGGGTTACAGGTTATGGCATTGGGATCAGGCCGTCTGGTTATGTCTAGACTTGCGTTGAGCTGAGCGTGTTCTCGATCGCGTGGTGGCCGATTGGATAGGATAGGTATGATTACGTCCCAGTCCAGTTCAATTTTATTTTCTTCATTTTTTTACCATGGAATTCGTTTCAATCTAGTAACATGTGAGACTCGAGAAGAAGAAAAAAGGCCCCAGCCAGGCAAAAAAAAAAAACCAGACAGATAGCCAAACAAGCGGGAAAAGAAAATCACGCCTTCTCCTTCCCAAGATTCTCCAAAAACTGCCCCGCCGCATCTACCACCGCCGTCTCGAACGACCGGAACTGAAAGCCTAGCACCCGCTCCGTCTCGCTGGAATCATACGGCGCCGGCAGCGTGGGGATCGAGCCCCGCGAGAACACCCCCTCAGCCGTAGCTTTGGGGTAGGCCTTCGCGACGTAGTCATACGCCAGGGCATAGTCGGCGGGGTTACAGGCACCAAACGCCCGCGGGGAGCCCTCGGTCGGCGCGTACTCCAGGACCTGGAGATGCAGGGTTGCGAGGTCCTTGATGTGCACGAAGCCCTTGTGGACGGGGTTCGGGACCTCGTTGCCCGTGACGCTGGCGATGAGGATGCCGTTGGAGCTGTTGGTGAGGAAGGCGGCGTTGTCGCCGGGGTAGAGGTCGTTGCGCCCGAAGATGTAGCCCGGGATGACGTGCGCGACCGAGAAATGGGGTTTTTGGTTAGCCACAAAGGCGTCGGTGTTGTTGATCTCGTTGATCTTGCCGAAGATGTAGGCTTCGAAGACGTTGTTTAGAGTCTCTGGTGCGGGGAGGGGCACGCGCGAGGCCGCCGTGACGGTGACGTTGGGGTCGGGCATGGGCGACAGGTTGGCGACGATGGAGGAGGTGATGACGATGCGGGTGATGCTGGGGAAGCGCAGCGCGGAGGTCAAGAGATTGGAAATGCCCTTGACTGTGGGCTGGTAGACGTCTGTCAGGGGATCCGCGCCCGGCATGGGCAGCGGTGACCCGACGTGGATCACGGAGGTGATGTCCTGGAGGGCCTCGTCGAAGGCGCCCTCGACTGTGATGTCGGGGACGACGACGGAGGTGAGTCGCGAGCCGGGGTTTAGCGACTGCACGACGGGGTTGGAGAGCACTTTTTGCGCCTTCTCGGCGGAGCGCGCAGTGATGCGGACATTGTAGCCGTTGCGCAGGGCGTCCAGCAGGACGTGCGAGCCGACGTAGCCGGTAGCGCCGGTCAGAAGTACAAGAGGTGCCATGACGATGTCAGAGGAAGAGTGGCCTGATGTGGGAGAGAAGATGAGGTAAGAAGAAAAGAGAAAAGAGAGAGCTGATCGGAAAGAGATTCAAGAGATCAAGGCGATAACTAGGATGGGGTCCAAGGCCGTTTCAGCGGTCGGATCAAATGATTAATATAAGATTGACTTTCTTTGTTTGAGACTGGCGATGCAATTATGAATTAGTAATTCACCTGTTGGGCATTTGGGAACATCCCCTGGTTCAGGTGAGAATTTAGCGTCAATTACGGGGTATAGAAATTGGGGCTGAAATGCGGAACTCGCCGCCACTTTTAGTTCGTTTTATCTTTTCTCTGTCGATCGCATCAGCCGTCGGGGCCACTGTCTGCTCAGTGGCCAGTCTGCCTTGCCTAGTACTGCGTAGTGCATACCCTATCAATCCTTCCTTGGAAGCATGGAATCATGGAATCAGGGCACTGCCTGCCGAGGGACTCCGATGGTCATGTCAGCTTCTGGGCCTTCGTAGGCTTGGTCGAGGGAGGTAACTGGAAATGACTGCGCCTGTATTGCTGATCAATATATCCCACGTAATTCCCTCCTTGTCCGTGGAGTGTAAAATATCTGCATCGCTTGTGCTCCAAGTTTTTGCGCCCATTCAACTGATCCACAATGGATCCCTCTCGCGAAGATGCCATTCACCACGAGCGCCATGTAAAGATCATTTGCATTGGTGCTGGTGCCTCGGGACTCTGTCTCGCATACAAACTGCAGCGGTCCTTTAGCAACTATTCTCTCACAGTATGCGCTCCTCGATCCTGCCCCTTATACGTGATTCAAGTTTCTCATAGATGTTTTTGTCTACAGATTTACGAAAAGAACCCCGACGTCTCCGGCACATGGTACGAAAACCGCTATCCCGGCTGTGCCTGCGACGTGCCCTCGCACAACTACGTCTACTCGTTCGAGCCCAAGGCCGACTGGTCCTCCGTGTACGCCGGCTCGCGCGAGATCCGCAGCTACTTCGCGGACTTTGCTAAGAAGTACAATCTAGCCCCGTACATCCGGCTCTCGCATCTCGTCACCCACACTCAATGGGACGCCGAGAAAGGCCAATGGAACGTACAGACTCGGGACCTTGAATCCGGCGAGACAGTGTCCGACTGGTGTCATATCCTCGTGCATGCCACGGGGTATCTGAACAACCCAGCCTGGCCGGATGTGCCGGGGCTGGATGACTATCGGGGCACTAAGCTGCACAGCGCGGATTACGACGATAGTGTGTCTCTAGCAGGTCGTGATGTGCTTCTCATCGGGGGCGGTTCGTCCGCAGTGCAGATTCTTCCGGCGATTCAGCCGATCGCGAAGAGCGTGAAGATCTTCATCCGGTCGCCGGTGTGGGTGTTGCCGGATATTAGCACCGAGGCGGGAACGTTCTCAAAGGAGCAGATTGAGCAGTTTGTGAAGGACCCGGCGAGCGTGTTGAAGTTGAGGCAGGATAATGAGCGCACGATGAATAGTATCTTCAGTATGTTGTCTGCGAACTGATCTGGATAATGGGAAGCTAACAAAATATTAGCGGTCTATCTCAAAAACACGATCCTGCAACAACAGTGCAAGGACCTCCTAGAATCGGAAATGAAGAAGCTCTTCAAAGACAAGGAGCTAGAGGAGAAACTCATCCCCGACTTTGCCGTGGGTTGCAAACGAGTTGTCCCCTCCGGGTTCCGATATCTGAAGGTATATCCTCATTCCCATCAGCTCTCTCTTCTCTCCAATGGTCATCTACTAATACCACATAGACCCTCCAAAAGGACAACGTCACCATCGTCCACGGCAGCGTCACCTCCTTCACCGAATCCGGCTGCACCAGCACCAGCAACACCAACGACGAAGAGCAGCAGCACGAGGGAGACGTGATCATCTGCGCCACGGGATTCAACACATCCTACGTCCCTCGTTATCCCGTAGTCGGCCCCTCTGCCCGCAACCTACAGACCGAACAAGCAGCCTCGATCTCCGGCTACATGGGTGTCGGCATCCCAGAGTACCCCAACACCTTCACGATGCTCGGACCCTGGACGCCCGTATCCAACGGCCCCACGCTGATCGCCATCGAAGCCCAAGCAGATTACATCTGCTCATTCATAGACCGGTTCCAAACGGAGCCGATCCACAGCATGGCGCCCAAGAAGCGCGCAGGCGAGGACTTCAAAGCCCACGTGGCCTCCTTCATGGAGAAAGCCGTATGGACAGATCGGTGCCGCAACTCACACAACGGCCACAAAATTGGAGGACGAGTCCCCACGACGTGGCCCGGCAGTACATTGCATTACCTGGAGGCGCTGAGAGAGCCAAGGGCCGATGATTGGGACATCGAGTATACGGGGAATCGGTTCTCGTGGCTGGGGATCGGGGTTTCGCAGACGGAGTGGGATCCGACGGCGGATCTGGGGTATTACATTCGAGAGAAGGATGACGGGGCGTGGGGGAGTCGGAGGAAACGTACCCTGCAGATGGCGAAGACGGGGAGTTTGCCGCCGAGACAATTGCATAGACAGGCGAAGTTAGCGGCGGCCGGGGGTCAGACTCGGAGTAATGGGGCTGCGGAGGGGACAGCGAAGGTGGAATCCACAGTGGAGGTAGCGGAGCTTGTTGAAGAAGAGGGCAGTCCGAGGAAGAAGCCACGGATTGTTGAGACTATGGTCCCTGTGCAGGATTCTTTGTGAGATCACTGATCTTAGTATGTATGTAGTAGACTTTTCCATTGATGTGAAACGGCGTTCATAAACATGGCCATTTGGACGGTATGAAGTGTGTCCCCAGTTGTTGTTATTCAAATGCGACTTTACGCGTTTGCACTGAAGGGCTGTATGTAGGTAGGCTGGCCAAATTAGTCAAGTTTGTTGAAGGCCAATTTTGATCAAGTCGATCCGACGAGTTGGGCTGTATGAAGCGACCACAATGATTCCAAAAAGAGAAGGCAAGACACACCAGAACAACAAAAAGAAGAAAAGCAACTAGAATCGACAACTGCAGGATTCGAACCTGCGACCCCGAAGGGATAAGATATCAATATTTGAGGTACGAGACCGCTAAATTCGAGTCTTACGCCTTGACCACTCGGCCAAATTGCCCGATTGCCCGATTGTTGAAGAGAGTGCCACACATGACTCCTTTCATCGTAATTATCATGATAATGCAGACATCCACAACACTGGCCATTTTTTCTACTGCAGATGATCCATAGCTGCACCTTAGCTATCTGCTCGATATTTAAGACCGCCGGTTTTCAGCGACCTTTTGGGCTCCAATTGGGACCAACTCCGCGAGTACATCCCCATTGTTTTGTCGATTTTATCCCACAGCGGTATATATTTTTGACTTATGCCCTAACCCACCAGGAGTGTAAAGCGAGATACGCACCGCAGTGATCAAGAACAACTTGTAGAATAAGTAAGCAATTTACATATTCAACTAAACCAACGCTAACTCTCTAAGTTATTCTTCATGAACTGATGTTGCAAGAAATAAACCTCTAATAGTGATCGACAGCGAAATGCTTGGCACAGGGCGCCTCAGGCATTCACAACACCTCTAGCAACTAAATCAATGTCCATCTATTATGCTGTTCGTAAAGCCCGCAGAGACGTTCTACAGCTCTGTCTTTTTGTCATGGTCTTTATTTCTTGGTTCTTAATTTTTTATCTTTTCGGTTTTCATTCGCCTTGTTCAGCGTGTATGGGTGGTCTGAAATGACCCGATAGACAATAGAGACTAACTAGGTGTACTATGGAAGGAGATGAATTATATATAGAATGACTTTCGGAGCGGATGATTCGCAGAAGATCGGTTAGGTAATTGCTAGGAGGATTCTATTGGGAAGGGAATGAAGTGGGTTTAACTCTATCCGACCTGGCTAGTGGTCTTGGATTAATCTCTATTAGAGCGTGATATTTTGACGAATGGTTAGCTCCTCGGAATACAGTAGCACAGTACAGTACATATACACTTTCCTCTCCTGTCTCTCTCTCGCAGCTATAATACAACCCACAGTCCAGACCACCTAGTAAACAGGCACCTTGAACGCCGAGAACTCATAAGTCCAGCTCTCGATCGACTTCTCATCATCCACACATTTAAACACCGAGCTATTACCACTCCACAGGGGCCGAGTAGGCCACTGGCACAGCATCTGCGTCTCGCCCGCATGATCACCCGACGAGACCGTCGCGTTCAACCGACTCGGTTTCTTGCCGTTCTCCACCCAGTCAATCATCGTCTCCATGTTGTTCTGCGGGTACGGGCCGGGCTGCAGGGAGTTCGAGCCGCAGTGCGCCGCGCCAGGGACGAGGTAGAACTGGTACCAGTCCTCGAGGGCTTTCAGGCTCTCCTGGTCTGAGAGATGAGGGTACATGATGGCGCGCACGGATTGCCAGTAGTGCACCGATGAGGCGGCGGGGATGCTGGGGTCGGATTCGCCGTGGTAGTGGAGCAGCTTGCCGCCGGAGGACTGGAAGGGGGTGAGGTCCGGCAGGGTGGTCTGGAGACTGTCCATGTACCGCACCATGCCGGTCGTCATCCAGTCGACGAGCGTGTCGTAGGTCACGTTGTTCAAGTCGCTTAGGTTGTCGAGGTCAAGGAGCTGCACGAACTTGGTGACGTATTCGCCCCCAGTGGAGGGGATGCTGAGCTCCCAGGCGCTGGTGTTGCTGTTGTAGGTGGGTGCTGCGTCGCTAAGGTCGGAACCGATTTGCCAGGAGAGGTAGGCGCGCTGGCCCTTGCTGTTGTGGAGTCCATCGTAAACGGCCTGGGCGACGGCCACTCCTTCGGCGGTCACCGTGCCGTTCTGCTCGGGTTGGTAGCTAGTCGTGCTGCCCGGGGCTTGGCGCTTGCTGAAGCCGAAGCCCAGCGAGGTGCTGGTCTGCGCGGCGCAGTGGTAGGGCTCGCCGATGATGGAGGTGAGGTTGAAGTTGAGCTTGCAAAGGTCGGTACGGGAGATGACGCCGTCAGTGCGGCCGTCGAGAGGGTCGCAAGCGGCGATGGTGGCGTTGACGATCTTGTCCAGCTCGCAGGGCGGAGGGTAGTAGTCCATCGTGTGCTCGATGGTGGCCGGGTAGACGTGGTGGACTTGCTGCTGCGCGAACCGGAAGGCGGGCGCGCCGGCGATCACGCCGTCGTACTCCTCGCCCCAGCGCTGCACTTGGCTCATGCCTTCGCGGCCGCCGTCCGAGCAGCCTTCGTAGTAGGTGTAGACCTTGGAGTCGGTGGAGAGGCCGTAGAAACCGCGCGTGAGGACCTTGCCGAGGGAGGTCATCTCGCCGAGGGCCTGGTAGCCGAACATGTGAGTGGCATCCCAGTTGATCGAACCGTTGCCGTACAGCACCACGTCGTCGTAGCTGTTGTCGAAGGCGTCGTAGCCGGCCGAGGTGGCACCGCCGACGGCACCGTAGGAGAGACCACCGGTGGCGTCGCTGGAGAGCGAGAATCCGCCTCCACCGGCGACATAGAAGCGCTTCTTGAAGTCAGACGGCTTGGGGAAGGCGTACTTGATGACCACTTCGTCGTCCTTGCCGGTGTGGGTGTAGGTGACGGTCACGTTGCAGTAGGTGTAGGTCTCGGTACTGCCCATGCCAGCGGAGGCGTTGTAGACGGGGCTGGCGGTGACGGCGGAGGGGATGAGATCAATTCCCAGCAAGGTGCCGTTAGAAGGAAGGGCGTTCTGCACGTTGGACTTGGTGCAGATATCGGTCAGAGACGCGGCGTTAGCCGTTGCTGCCAGGGCAGCGATAGCTGCGCTGGACTGGGGGCGCATAATGGAAAGTTAGAAGAAACGAGTGTGAGAAATGAATGATCTTGCTTAACAGGGAACCCATAATTCATCGGCGAATCGGGCCTATTTATACTTCGATCAATCTGCGATGATCAGCCTCGTAGACTTCAGGCTTCCGTTTCAACGTGCCAGACTGAAGCCAAATATTGCGTGGCAACGAAGCCAAGAAATTTCTAGCCAGGAATAGACTGATATGCCGCGTCATTTCACGGTCCTCATCATTTGCAACAGCCATTCCAGGGCTGACGCGGCATATGGGTGGAACCGAGTAAAAAGATCTTGATAAGATTGATTGAAACGCGCTGATTGCTGCTGGTTGGGGGTAAGCTTAATTGGTCTCCACAAGCTTTTCGTCAGGAATCAGAGTGCCGAATGTCACGCTATCTGCCTTGGTGCGGAAGAGATTGACCCGTCCGGAGAAGTGCCGCAGAAGTGATGTCGCCAGGTCCTAAGCTTTCCCATGTCCATCTTCATGTTCAGCCTGACAGGGCGGGTTCCCGGTCTGTTTACTTCCTCCGCTCGAGGGTTCCCGACCATGCAATGAAGTCATGGATCACGGATCACACAGTCAGGACTCAATTGACTCTTCTCTCGTCTTGTTTCAACTCAATTATAAATTATAAGAAAGTCTTCCTGCCGGACAAAATCCGCCAACTTCCGAAGATTTTCGAGGGTGCCTGAGGTTGTGGGACAGGTCTAGCCGCATTCGGAAGATAGCGCCGACCTTTCCTCGGAGATTCGGGAATAAGCAAAACCATCAATACCTTTGTTCTCTGGTGAATATGCAAGGAGTGTTCTCTTCGTGCTGACATTGTTAGTATCTGATTAGAAGGATATCAGCCTTGAGAGAAACCGGCACAGATATACAAATGGCGATTAACTCCCATTTTGCAACGTCCTCGGACATGCTCAGTCACCGCTGAAATTCCTCTCTATCTGCTCGGAGCTGAGCTCTTCAACCGGTCCCTATGGAGTATAGCGCAAGATGTGGGTATTGTGGGAGTGTGGGAGGTTTGTGGGAGGTTGACTCCAGCGTTACTTCAGATGATTATTCATTAGTCGAGTGGACTAGATCCGGTCAGGAGTAGACTTCTTACGCATACGTTTGCCTGGTGCGTTGCAGGTTCCATCGAGGGGTGTACCAGGCTTTGACTTCTGTCTCGTAAACTCTCAACAAGTGGAGTGAGTCGTTTTCAGAATTCACCATCGGGGTCTATCTGTCAGAGTGAATTGCTCGGCGAGGGTTTTGATGAATGAAGCTACCAATGTGACACTCCACTGCAAAGTTGACTGGGTACTTTGCTTTCAATGCATTGAATCTGGAAGGATCAATACCTTCTGACTAGCCTGATCCTGCCCCAAAGTCTCTGATGCCCGAAATTGCCGAAAGGAATGCTTCATCCAGTCAAAAACACCACGGGTCTTGGCGAGGGTACCTTTAATGTTATGACCCGGCAGCCATAAACAATGAAGGGCCTTACTCGACGCATCGGATATTTGATTCTTTGTGAAGATATTGAGTGAAGGAGCAGATGTGAAATACAATGCGCGATAAGCTAATGCAGGAGAAATAGTAGCGGCGCTCGTTTCGCCCACAACCATATCAAGACGGTCACCATTAGACTTGGCATTTGTAAACACACGGAACAAGAACTTCAACTGTAGCTTGGAATTGACAGGAAGTAAAGAAGTGTTCTGCTCCCTGGTTTGTCCCCGTGTTTATTACCAACTAGAGTGGTATGCCAACCCAGGAGACCAAACGAGTAAAGGCAGATTTTCAACAGTTCATCCACGAGGAAGACCGATGTAATGTGGTTGTTGTAGCCCTAAGAAATACGGATATGATCTTGCAATGTCTCAATGCATAGAGCATGCTACATAGCTAACTGCAATTTCACACTTCCTGACCTAGTAGTTACTCCATATGGACTCTCATAACTCATGGTGCAGTCTAGACTGCCCAGACTCTTTCCATGCTACTTAATATAAGTTAATCTGAATTAATCTATCAGAACCCACCTGCCAAGACGGACCTACGTCCACCCAAGAGGAAAAAAGGTACACAGGTGCCCGCCCTGGCAGATCGCCGTGCCCTCTAGGCGGAGGTGGGCGGACCACCGGCTCTTATTTGGGTTTCACAACTGAGGTAGATTATCGCTTTCTTGCCCTGTTGTGTATCTATTATACTTAAGCGGGTGCCCTTGTCTGAGAATTTACCCGGGTCTGTATACCCGACGGACTGCGGGTTGTTGGAGATATCTATCTACAAAACATGGCCAACAGATGATATCATCGAAACCGTCCCGCCTACAAACGAAGAAAATAGAAAGAAGAGAGAACGAAATAGAGTATAATATCATTAGCAAGTCCAAAAATCGTATGATTACACACCGACAGACAGACGGAGATTACCAACCAGGGACCCTTGACTCTTCTCTCTTGGCATCGGACATTGAGGCGGAGGCAGGGTGCATCAGCTCCGGTAGAATTGCTGCTATGACCACACCCCGGTTTTATTTTTATCTTTGGGGGCAATTCGCTGACTCTTGTCTTCCTTTTCTTTTCATGTTGAACAGATCAAGATTCCCAGTTTCTGCTCGTGAACATATACCGTATATGTCTCGTTCGGTATTCGGTGTTAGTATGACATTTTCTCGGTCGTCTCGGAGGATAGCTTGAGTTAGAACTGTTTAGGCAGTTCGGGGCTCGGCATCAAGGTAGAGACATTGTTAAAGACAGGACAATAGACGGAAATAAAGCACGGAGTACGAAGGATTATTGCTGCAAGTCAACGATCGACACGAGAGTTGCTCTTCCAGGATTGGGGTGACCAAATACCCCCGAGTGCCGAGCGACTCTATTCAAGGCAGTGTATTACATGCATCACATTGTCTTGGACTTCGCCTCGACGAGGCAAGTGCACTCCGGGTATAAAGTAGACCGTTGATCCTGGGTACTACACTGATTTCTCTACTCAATTTAATTCTCTCCATCATTCTGTATTATTATCATCTATGCGAAGGGGTTGGTGAACAAGTATGTATACAAACAACCACCTCCCAGGGCTCTTGCTCCTCTCCCTAGCCCTAACGGGCGCGGCCTCCTCCTCCCACAAAACCACCATCGACGCCGACGTCGACGTCGCCATCATCGGCGGCGGCCTTTCCGGCCTCAGCGCCGCCAAAGACCTCTCCGCGGCAGGTAAATCCTTCGTGGTGCTCGAAGCGCGCGATCGCGTCGGCGGTCGCGTCTACAACGTCCCCGTGCAAGGCGGGGGATTCACCGAAGCCGGTGCCGAATTCGTCGGACCGACACAAGACCGCGTGATCGCGCTCGCAGACGAACTCGGGCTCGCCCAATTCCCGACCTACAATCTCGGCAATAACACGCTGTACCGCAATGGCACGGCCTCGCATTATGATCCGAATACCTCCACGGGCCTCCCGCCGGGGATTAGCACCGATGCGCTCCTCCAGGCCGTTGCGCTGATCGGCGAGTTGGATCGTATGGCGGAGAGTATTAATGTCGGGGCGCCGTGGAAGCATGCAAATGCGACGCGGTGGGATGAGGTGACGTTGCAGACGTTTGCGGATGGGATGTTGACGCATTCGGATGCGCGGTTTCTCCTGGAATTAGGGGTTGGGGCGATCTGGTCGACGAGCATGGCGGAGCCGTCGCTGCTCTACATCGCGGCTTATATTGCGGCGGCGGGGAACGAGACCTCCGTGGGCACCTTGGAGAGGTTGACGGGCGTGACGGGCGCCGCGCAGGATAGTCGGATCCGCGGCGGGACGGGGCTGCTGGCGACGAGGCTGGCGTCGAAGCTGGGGGATGAGAAGATCCTGTTGAATTCGCCGGTGCGCGCGGTCCGGAAGGCAGAGGAGGGGAAGTACACGGTACAGTCGGATGGGCATACGGTCACGGCGAAGCATGTTGTTGTTGCGATGTCGCCGCCTCTGGCTGCGAGGATCTCCTACGATCCGCTGCTACCGCCGGGGAGGGACCAACTGACGCAGCGCATGCCGATGGGAGCGCTGGGCAAGGCGATCGCAATCTATGACTCGCCGTGGTGGCGCGAGAAGGGCCTCAACGCGCAGGTGCTAAGCGATTCGGGGGCGGTGCGCTCGACGTTCGACAGTTCGCCGCCGGACGGGAGCTTTGGCGCCATTATGGGATTCATGGAGGCGGACCAGATGAGGTGGTTGGATCGGTTGACGGAGAAGGAGATCCAGGACGAGGTGGTCAAGGACTACGTGCGGTATTTTGGACCGCAGGCGGCGAATGTCAGCTCGTGGGTTATTCAGCGCTGGGACCATGAGGAGTTCTCCAGAGGTGGACCGGTAGCGTATGCGCCGCCAGGGGTATTAACGAGATATGGCGAGGACTATCTCAGGAAGCCAGTGGGTGGAATCCATTTCGCGGGCACCGAGACGGCGGAGTACTGGACGGGTTATATGGATGGGGCCGTGAGGTCGGGGGAGAGGGTTGCAAAGGAGATTCTGGATGCTTTCTAGACTACATGGTTGTTCTTGTCTAACTGTCTACAATGGCTATTGATAAACTCAACATTGAGCATTGAACAGGGAAACATTTACTCAATCTCGTTCAACAAGTCCTCTTGCGATCCGGTGTTACTCTAAAAATGCTACCCTAGCCATCCTGTGTATCTAGGCCATGCTGTCCACCTTACAGCACATTCTCTCTTCTTACTACTGGCATGAGCTAATCGAATACCGAAGTTGATGGGCCTCGCATTTGCCACAACGTTCTTACACGCTCTGACCGCGACGCCAAGCGATGTATCTGACGTGGTCCTTATATAGGATGGGTTTCCCATCCGAAGACTTGCGTCCTGCGATACATAATCTTGAGCGAGAAAGAAGAACTCAGTAGAAGACAATAAACAGTGGCAATCAATGAGTCAATGAAGTAGAAGGAGAGAGGAGAATCAATTGGCTTTGATCCAACTCAGAGTAATCTACCTGGTCAGTGGCTCGATCTGAACAGGGTTCACCTCTTACCATGTTCATCATTCCTTGTTTCGCTTTGCTATCGATGCTTTAAACTGGTTTTACTCGCAGACTAAGTATTTGTTTCCTTTTTTTTATAGTTATTTTTTAAATTCATGTAGCGACTGCGACTGCGCCACGTCATTAAAACGCATGGCTGAGTTGTTTGTTGGTTAACATTAAAAGAAAGAACTATTAAGCCTAAGTTTGCCCTTGATCGGTCATAACCCATCTCATCCCATGCCGTGCAATCATAAACCTATCTAGATATTAAAGCCCCTATACACCTACCTATTCTTGTAAATCTCATGATCATCGCTCACGTCAACGTATACTCTACATCTCTCGTCTCAAGTTACATAAACAACCCCGTTCACATCGACCACAACCAGGTGCAAAAGATAACAGGCGGGGTGGAGGAGAAAAGAAAAGCAAACAATGTGTGTTACAGTGGGTATACAGATGGATGCAGAATGGTTGGGTGAGTCACGGTCGTGGTACAAAATAAAGACCTTATAAGGTCAGGTTGAATCTGAGAAATACTCATCCAGCAACGGCCGATCCGCTGGCACGGGCATAGGCTTCAGCAGGTACTCTCGATTCTTCTCGGCAGTACTGAAAATTTCGGTCAGTTTCTGCCAGACGCTTTGCGACGAACTGCGCAACTGAGGTTCCAGAACGATCATGTCTCTCATGATCAAGTCCAATAAATCGTGAATGACTGCGGAGCATCTCTCTTGGCTCCTTAGGTGATCAACCCATTCGAAGACCGAGGACCGGATTCCCTGATAGTCAGTCGTGTAGAAGCAGTCGGAGCTGAATTCCGGGTTGTCATCGTCGTTGCCTCTCCAGTTGGCAAAATCCTCGATGGCTTCATAGCCGAGTACGAACCATGTGACGAACTCGAGGTACATGCAACCCAGGCTCCAGATGTCCCACGCTCGAGATATCCGTCTCCCTCGGAATGCATCGGGCGGAGCATATGTGGAGGGAACGGTGATAGATGCTGGGTTCACGTTGGATCGGGATCCCAGGCGATGGACACTAGCCAGACCCATGTCGGCGATTTGCAAGATGCCATCCTGGTCATCATAGCCATGCAGACGCGCAAACCAAAGGATGTTGTCGGCCTTTATGTCGCCATGCCGCCCGAAAAGTGTACCGTCGTTGAACTGGTGGATTAAAGAGAGCCCGCTGGCAATCCCTACCATCTGCTTCAAAGACCACAACAGTGTTCGCACGTCGAATGGAGGCGTCGGTCTCGCTTGCCAGTATCTTCGGAGGCTCCCGTCCGCCCACGGAAACACTAGGTGATATTTGCCTCCTTTCTTATAGGTGAAGAGCAGGTCGATGACATGCACATGGGGGTAATTAGTGCCCAAAACTTCGTGGAATTGTCTCTCGGCCTTGAAGGAGGACTCCTGGGAGGAGTAGAGCCTTTTGACCGCGACCAGCAGTCCTTGGTCCTAAGGAGGAGACACCGAGTAAGCCACAGACATATAACGTGCAGGCAAAGCTCAATTATGCGACGGTCACCACTCCCAGTTTACTAACCTTGTATGTAGGGTACTCCCAGAAATTGTGGTGATCGGGATGGATACATGCCTGAAAGACTTCGCCATAGCCGCCCTCGGCACTGGTGCCCTCCTGAGGATCCGCCGCGCTCAATGCAATATAAGGAAGGGTCTGAAGCTCGGTAAACTCGTGGTGTGTCTTAACCTCCAGTAGTGGCGCCAACATGCGGTATTGCTCGTCTTCAAACGTCTTGAGAGACTCACGGTCCCAGCTTTCGAGAGTCTTTATGCGCCGTCGTTGACTGGTCTCCAACGTCAAGGTCTGTTCCCCGACGCTGGACCTTCTTATAAAAGGCAGGTCTTCATCATCTATTCCTTCGTCCAAGAAATCACTTATGAACCAAGCCTTATCGCGATCAACCAAGATAGCGAAGAGTTTTCGAGAGCGTTGGAGAATGTGCCGGGTTGTTTCCTCTATTTGATCCAGTGCCACCAGCTTGCCTTCTTTGAGAATTGAGCGCACCGTGTCCTCGTCTATGAGTCGCTTGAGAGTTGACGTTGGTATGAACAGTTTGTATCCATCAACGGGACACTCGAGGACTGCTTCTCGGAGGCATTTTCGCAGATGCGCCAATGCGGGGTTCAGTTGTTTATAGTCAGGCTCGGTTTGCACGGATCTGGAGCTGGCCGTTGATGCTTCTCGACACATACTCGGAGGACATAGTCCTTTGCTATCGCTTATTGCCACGGGGTCAGCAAGCAAAGGTCGTTCATCTCCGGGGATGTGCTCGGGCTCGGTGATGGGAGCCTGAATTCGCTGCTGCGGTTTCCGACGACGAAAGCATACAAACAAGCACTGCAGGGGAAAGAGGACCAGCGATAGGAGCTTCATCATGTCACGCCGGAATAGGGTATATATCCGAAGCTGTGGCACGGGCTATTGTTCTCGTGGCGATTTGACGCATGGAAGACGGATTGGTTGACGGAGGCGAGCGACGATGTAGGAGACCACTCCACACCGAAGGTGGACACGCCTAGTCGGATTTGAAAGAAAAAACTTCTAATTGATAGGAAAGCTAATGAGAAGACAAAGAGTGATGGGGAAGGCAAAAGATGGCGAAATTAGAAAGGAGTGTCGAGTTAGGGGTGTATATGATGGGTGGTAGATGGGTAAGAGCCGGAAGAGTGGTTGAGTAGGCGGACGGATGACGGAGGGAGGCAATGCGAAGAAGGGAACGGACGGCCACAATCGACCATTGCACTCCACGGACTCACTAGTTAACCTCGCAAATTACTAACCACCGGAACCACTGGCGAGCCTCAGTTACTCGTCTCACAGCCACTGTTACCGGCGAAGGGGCCAATTAAAAGCTGACCGAGGGAGGCAGTGAGAGGCGTGAGACCGGGGGGTTCTTCCTTGTGGTCACGATGTTTTGCAGTTGCTGCTGTGCTTACTCCTCCACCATGTCTACGTTGTCGAGAAGTCCCGATTCAGCTGTCTGCTATTTCCGAGGGAATGAAAGCATATACTGTTGCTAACCTGATCATAATGCCACTGTCCCCGCACTGCTCGAGGCCGGGGTACGAGTGGACGGGCTGCCGAGGACAAAGTCCGGTCGAGGCTGGGGCGCAAATTACCCTGTCGTTCACCTGCTTAGCTAACTGGGCTTTCTCGTATTCTGTGGAGGGAGCCAGAAGATTCCTGTTCTTTCTCTTTCAGTCACGTTGCAGAGAGATTTCGCCTGGGCCGATCCTCGTTCGTTAGGGCTTATTCGGTCAGTGACCCGCTCCCAGAGATGATGTATATCCAAACGTACGTACTGGCGAGGAAAACGAAAAAAGGTAAAAACGGACACAGAAAAACGATTTCATTTCTATTAAGTGTCATGAATCTGGCTTCTTGGGAGATGGCCAGCGATCCGTAAACGAACTCATCAAGCTGAACATGGTGGACTCCTTCCTGATAAGTACATGCTGGATGCCTCCTTCCAAATCTCCCTCTTCCTTCTTCTTCCTTCGCAGACAGAGATCAATGAAGTGCTTCATTTTCTGTCTTGAATCAATCCATGGCTCATATCGCACGCAGAACCACCATACTCCGATCGTGATGAAGGTCAAAGGAATGGCACAAACGGCCATGATCCAAACGTCTCTCGAAACATTCATATCTCCTTGGTCATTGACCTTCACAAACTCGGTTGAGAAGAAATTCTGACAGAATGCAATCAGTCTTCTTTCGAGGGTAGCAAGCAGAACCCAACGTACCGCTACAATGGTGGTAGGCAAATACACAAGGCCGACGATTGTCAGCATTTTCACTGCCGCAGCGTCTTGAACGCTTCGCTTCTATATCAGACATCATGGTCAGCGGCGCTTTGTGTCAAGCATGTGGCCTCACGCACTGTAAGCTCGGTGATGTTGTGACTTTCTTCATGGGATATCTGCGCTAATCGCTTCAACGCTCTGGTTTCCTCATAGCCAAGTAAATCAGATAACTGCCGTCATTGATTAGCACTCCTTTCGATCGGATACTCGATGGAAGCCTACCAGTTGTTCTGTCGATCGCACTCGAGCTTTGAGAACCTCCGCGCGCTGCAAATACACTCGAGTCTCTGCCGCATACGCTTCGAATTCTTCAACCATGTAGCAGCACGAACATGTATTCCTATCCTGACAACCGATCTCGCAGTATTGCCGGCAGCTTTTCGCAAGGCGGGATATGGTGTCGCTCATGGTCTGGAGTATTACAATCAGGTCCGTGATGTAGTCCTCTAGTTGCTTTAATCGCTGGCGATCGTCGGCGCTGAAGTAAATCTTTTTGCTGTCAATATCCGAGACGAGGACGCGATTCGACTAAGACATTGATTGAGTCAGCCCCTCTGACATTTCATATTCTACATTGCTTCAACGAGAAAAAGGGATCATACCTTTTGCTTGGACTCTTCCTCCAACCATGCCATATATTCCATCCAGCCCCTCAAACTGTCCACGACGAGCCGTTCGTGTACTGCAAACGCTGGGTTCATGGTGTCTTTCTCGAGAGAGGTCTCTCGAAAGCACGCTGCAATATCATCTTCGGCTGCTCGCGACGGCGCCACCAATATAAACACCGATTTATCTTGGGAGGCACTGCCTGGGTATCGCAATTTGTGATATACCCCCGTTTGGCGGATGGACCAAGGGCACTCGCCCTGTTCAACGGGGCGATTGTTTCTCTCCACTCGCCGAATCACGTATGTCAATTCTGTGCTATCAGTCAGCTTCGATATCATCGAACACCTTTCGCAGGAATCGAACCTTCATATTTCCCATGCTCGCCACACGAGCCCTTCGCCCGAAACGTCGGAAAAGCATATTCATTTTCTTCCGTCTTTCGTCCGAACGTTAGGACGGTTTTCCAGAAATGGGGAAACACGTTGTAGGTTGTTAGCAAGCGTTCAAACAGTTCGCGGGATATATTCAGCGTTGTCCACGACCGTAGATGTCGGATTGTATAAATTTGGGCACAGGCCTCGGTATCAACCTGGGCTCACAGCAATCCATTAATCAGCTTTTGCCGGATATAGGGCACGGGTTACCTTACCGTCAGTGAGTGCAACTGTGAAGATTCATCGATGCTTAGATGCTGTTTGATTTGTAGTAACCATTTTTCGGCACTGCTCCTTGTCCGATCAAAAGTGGTAACTTCTAGCTGCGGGCGATCGTTTCGCGCTTTGAACAGGTCGTGCGACCGAGACTCGATCTTCTCGGCTAGATGATGATCCATATAGGATGGAGCGGAAAATGGACCCATAGTGAAATTATCTGAATTTATTGTGGCTGACACCACCTAGCATTCATTCGAGTTGTGGAACGCATTCTTTTATATTACTATCGTGATATCGCGATTCTCGTCCTGCCGTTCTACGGCGTACGGCCTCTATTGCTTCCCCAGTCTACAGGCAGAATGCCATCGCCACAGTCGCCTAGTCTTCATCACGTGGAACGTTCTTGAGGCTCGACTATGAGTAAAGAAGATGACTGCGATGGCACAGCGAGGCGTTTTCACAGTGAACGTCGCTGCTCCGCCCCGACGACTGGACCCAGGACTCTGAATTACCGAGAGGCAAACCATCTGCGGCTGACGCGTGAGGCTAGACAAACGTAGCGTCTCGCCGACCTTACTCCGTACAGCCTTTGAAGATAAAGGCCAATCGGACCGAGCAAAGTCGCCGATAGTGTGGTTACATTTTTCCTGCTGACGCAATCTTCTGGCTCTCACTGGACCGGTCATCTACGCTACTGCTGGGCGGCAAGGATGCATATACGAGTGCTGAGCAATACCCAAAACGATCAAGTCTATGCTAGGCATGGATATAGTACATGTCAATCAGCTCATCCCTGTCCCCATTACTGCCTCTGCCGTCACACCAAATGCAAGTTCCCCTCGCACTGCTTGGTACTGTACACCGTCGGGTCATTTCCCCAACCGGTTTTTCAGACTCGCTGTGCGGACGTTTAGGACCAAAGGCCAAAGAATTCATATGAGTGTCACCATTGCCAGAATGATGTTGAAAAAACATTCAAAAAACAAGATAAGGTCGTGAAGTCATCAGGGTGGGTCGTGTGTTATAGGAAGACCCGGCAGCTGTTAATTTGTTCCTGGTCACCTGCCCGTCAGCCCTAAGTCACCCGGGCAAAGAAATCAACACAGGGGGCAAAGAACGCACTTCGGTAAGACCGGCGGACTTGGCTGTTGTATTATCCGACACATAGATCTTATACGTGTCCAGTCGTAACTATCGAAACCTCATCAACCAAGGAGGCCTCCTCTGAGGTCGTTCAACCAGTTCAGAAGGACGCAATTTACCTCGACGCGGAAGTTGTACTGCCCGTACTCATCCCGCAGTAGACTCACGAGCCGTTTGGGATCCATGTATTTTCCCTCGATGACATGATGAGGTCTCCTCGCATAGACGCGGGTCCTACTCATAGCGACCGCGACGGTCTGCGTGGTTGAGTAAGAAGCTAGAAATACAAGTCGGAAAAGGGGTATCAAAGGTGAAAAACGGGTAAGAGGGGAGCAAAAAGCCCTCGTGGCATCACTTTCAATTTACTTAATGAAGCTCTCCACCGGCGCGGGCACGCCTGGGGCAAGGGGTTATATATTCGGGATCAGAGTACATTGTCTTTCGCCCCTCAAAAATTGGGAAAAAGTTGCCTCGAAGGAAGGTTCGGAGGTCCTGTGGAATGCTCATGCCTTGTTCCCTAACCTGGAATCGTCGGGTTTCAAAGGCCAATAAGAAAGACTGCTGTGAATACACATGGGCGCGTATCTGCGGCCGAACTCGCCTTCAGACCCATCAGTTATCGCTGGACACCGAATCGAGTTGCGCCTAGGCCGCCGTCAGAATTCATTACTGTCAGTTCATCGCAGCGTCTGATTGTTTCCAAAAATAACCACAAATCATCGGTCTTGCCTTTCCGACAGGAAAGGGTGCATCGCGTCATTTGACATATATCACTCAGCCCTTGCCCATCAAGAACAGGGCAGAGTAGGACGGGACAGGGATGGAAGGCTGAGAGATACAGATAATAATGACCGACCAACGTACCTGTGTCAACGCTTTGGGTAAAGTTGCATAACAAACACCCATGCGGATCTGCTCATATCAGCAAAAGTAAAAAGACAACTTCGTATTAGCAAGGACTGCGCTAGAGCTTTATAGGAATAGGGCATGTATGGGAACACGGAGTATCCGGTGGTGAATCCTGCATCCATGCCGACACAGCCACCACCATTTTCCATCTGCCAATAAGTTTGGGCCAAGCAACATCGGTGTTGACAGGGGTGTGCCGGGAAAATGTGGGGGAACACAGAAAGGAAAGGGAAATGGCCTGTGATGTGATTCAGAGCAAGGGCGAGCACTGGGCACAGGGTTATGCGCCGTTGGTTCCAGTTGCCTTTGTTCAGCAAACCCCAGCCAGCCAGCCAGCCAGCCTTCGCCTAGCCTAGTCTACCCAGGGTTGTGCTCACGCAACTGTTCGGGGAACGGCCGAGACGGGCTGTTGATTGCTGATCTGTTGTTTGCTTTTTCCTTCTTCTTCCAAGGCGCCCTTAGTAGGGCAGGAAACCAGGGTAGGGTAGGTGACTCTGGCCCCTTCTTCCTAAGCCCTTCGTGGTTACCCGAGTCTGCCTTGTCTGTCTGACAGTGCCAGTCTGACTGTCTGACCCTGTCATCCCGACTGCGACTGGCTGACCGGCTGACCAACACATGATTGTGCTCCCGGGCTTACCATCCAACGTGATAAAAGGGGAAAAAAAGAAAAGCCAAAAAGAAGAAAGGTACTTTGTACTCACACTCACGGAGTACCCTCCGTTCGGGTACAGACTTTTCAACAGTGCCAATAGGCTGTCTTCTCGGATGTAGCGCATGACGATGGTTTGGTCGGCCATATTGTCTTGCTTTGCTTCGCTGTGCCTTGTGATATGGGCAGATTGACATTCAGTCAGTCCCAGCCAGGAACGATAAGGCTTCGTTTGCACAGAGGTAAGGTACATACAGGACGTCGTATGTCTGTCAGCCTTGGGGGAAGAAACGATCGAGAGAAAAACAAAAGATGAAGCAAGGCAGGAAGGAGGCGATAATGTCGTCAACTGTTATCAAAATCGATCTTAAGAACAAGTCGCAGATATATGGTCTCGACGCATGATATTGCAAGCCAGTCCAGCCTGCATGGAGTGGTCGTGGAGTTTCATACAGCGTGAGTTCAAGATAAGCAAGGCTCCTGATATAAGTAACTATCCTACTGCTCCATGATCTTGTAGAGCCGCATGTATGTGTTGCAGCTTGCGTTCGAGCAAGCGCATCACAATTAATCCTTCCATCGCAACGGAGCCAGAAATGAACAATGTGTTTACGAATAGAAAATTCTGCCCGCAACTACCAGAAGACTAAGGTTACTACCGCTGGTGCCCAAGGCAAAGCAATCTCGGCAGTTGATCGATTTATGGAAAGGAGGGAAGCGTAGAGTAACTATAGTAGGGCAAATTGAATGGAATGGAATGGGACGGACGGACGGACGGGACGGGACGGGAAAAAATGATTTGATTAGTGGTTACTCTACCCACTACAGTACATCTTACAGTAGTAAGGTAGCTAGACTAGCTGGCAAATACTAGCTTTGGTGACGTGGTTGATGAGCTTTCCGTCTCTCATCCTGGTGGAATGCTTGTAACACATCATTCAGTTCGGATCGGGTTAGCTGTTTTTTGGTGTGAAGGGTCATGGGAATGGGATGAAACCTCGTGTTTAGCCTGGTATTATTGGCTATCGATAGACAGAGGAGTGATTAAGAAAGAGGTATACGTTTCAGGTGGTTTATGTAGGGTTTGTAACGGGAATGTTAATACTACGCACTTATCGGATTAATATCGATTTAGTTACTTAGTACTCTTAGATTTATGAGATTGTATTCTGGGTATGTTTGGAAACCACGGTAGTATTTCAAATGCTATGAATTGCTAGGATGGGGTGTAAAGATATTCTAATGACAAGAAGTGCTTCGGGGTAGTTACAGAAGCACTACGATTGTTGACTCACCTTGATAATTAGGTTGCGTGAGATAGGTTCTTGCCTTAACCTTCGTGATTTTTCATGCTCGAAGAATGCTCATCTGGAGAGTTTGCTACGACCTTTGTGGCTAGTAAACCGAATCAGGTACCAGTATAATTCAAATCATTAATGGGTACATCAAGTCATATTAAGAGAGCATAGACAGACATCTCCATGTCCCACGAAAGTAACCATACCCTTGTCCATTAAACTTGACTTACTCAGTCTCTGCCCATTCTTATACCCCAAACAAACCTGACACAAACCATATCAATTCACAGGCACCGTACTGATGCATCCCGCTGATTAGCGCTGATTCTGGCAGCCAAGAGCAACGGTACCTGACTATATCATATCATTAGCATCATGGATACTCCTTGATCTCGAGAGAGAGAGAAGACTCACCAAGACGTTGACCTGATCGCAGCACTGAGCCGGGCGGGCGCAGGAAGCATCGTAAGGGTGGCCTGTGTTACCCCCTTTGGTTAGCACACATTCGTTCTAGCTCAACAGGTCATACCAGAAGCGAATGAAGAACATGAACATACAGAGAAGACCGACCGAGCCGACAATGTTAGAAGCACTGACACCGACGGGGTTCAAGACAGAATCTAAGAGGGGATCGACAGGGGTGGTCAAGCTGGGGCAGCATAAGGTAGGCTGGAGGCAGTCGCCAGGAGCTCTCTTGTTGTGCTCGACATTCTCGACACCCTGGAGTTTGCCGGAGGCGACAATCTCCCTCACTCTGTCCTGCAGTTCCTCTTCGCTTGGGGTGGAAGGGTACGCAGAGACCATGACGCCGCTGGCGGCGAGGAAGGAGATGACGGTGATGAGCTTCATTGTGGGAGATTGAGAGTTTGAATATGAGATTCTGGTAAAGAAAGGAAAGAGATTTGGAAGAATAGAAGGGCAATGAAGATTGAGTCTGAGAGGAACAAGTTGATTGAGTTGTTTCCAATTGAGAGGATTCAGGATGTATTTGTGCCCTCTATATACCCTCAAGGACAGCCAACATGTGACCATATGGGATGTCTATCCTCTGGCCTGCTCCTCCCCTTAGGATTGGGTGCTCCAATGGCATCCCACGTCGCGTTATCTCGACCACGACATACTCAGAAAAAGAAAATTGCCAGCCTTCGAGATTCGGTAAGAGATCGAAGAGAAGCTCCCGTCCGTATCGAGAGGGACTAGATGATTAGTTCCAGACCGAGGCAATGATCCGTACACTATGCTTTAATTCCCTGATAGGGAACAGTGAACTCCCATGGAATCGATAGGCGGGTGGGTGGGAAGAAAATAGGCAAGTGCATCATTATCAGACATCAAGCATCAAGCCATGAGGTTTACCTCATCGAAGTTTAATTCAAAGACATCGACTGGGCAATGGGTCGATCTGGACGCAGGAACCATGCCGGGGAGATTGTAGGCTGATGGATTGATTTCCGACTGGCTGCTTGTAACCACCGAGGATCCGGTTGAAGAGCGGCATTTTCCAGGGTGGTCTAGTCCAAGTACCGAGAGGAGGAGAGAAGAAGAATAGAGTGGTAAGTGGTAGAGTAAGTGGTAGAGTAAGTGGTAGAGTAAGTGGTAGAGTAAGTGGTAGAGTAAGTGGTAGAGTAAGTGGTAGACGAGGGAAACATGGAAGCGATCGATCCGCTCTCAGTGGGGCGGTGGCATCCAGTCACGTCGTTCCCGGCGCGGATGATCGACACCAGCGCGAACAGGAGTAAACAGACCATATTTGAGTTGACAAGATAAGAATCCGTGGGGGCAGATGAGAACAGATTGGGTAATAGAAGGAAATTGAGAGTGCTCTAGAGGGATTGCATTGCTGTATGGGAAATACAGCATTTGTATTTCGAGACTTCCCTCCCATTCAGGCATTGAATCTTGTTGTTCCAAACTCCAGGGCGTGTCGATTACCTCCCAAACCGAAAGCAGGTCTTGCACGTCCAAGAACTCAATTGCAAAAGGTGTGTCTGCCCGTCGAGCATCGAACCAGTAAAAAATAAGCAATAATGATGCCCTGATAAGCTGCCACCGCGTAACATATTAGTCACTTCAACTCCCGACATCGCGGTACACCATGGGTCTCGCAGGTTAGTCTAGAGCTATTCATTCCCGAAATGCTTTAGGATCTTCGCGAGACCAAGAATTATTGATCCTTTGGTGGATTCAATCGTAAATGTCTCCGGGCCTGTTGGGGTGCAGCGATAACACATATCACCTCACATATCGCCTATGATGGTTGATCTCTCTGGCCACTGGTGCCTACTAGACTACGATTCAGTGTGATTATTATCTATATTGATGCTGATCAATTGTTCAGACTCTGTCAGGATAGCAGTGACAATTTCAGCTGCCAGGTCAATGCATGCATGTATCTGACATAATCAAAGGTAATGCACTGTATAAGTATTGCGCACCACATGTGGCGGTGCATATGTGGCCGAGTGCCAAGCCCGTCACCAGCCACAGCTCGCGACACAAAAAACTGCCCGCAAGAATAATCCACCGCGATTATCGTCCGTCCGATCCTGATCTCCATCCCATTCCCACCCCCATCCTTTTGGAGATTGAGCCAAGTAACTCATCTCCTCTTCAGTCCATTTCGTCTCGTCATGGCTCCTCTTTCCATTGCCGACATTGTCGCGGCCCTTCCGGCCGACGACACCTGGGGCCCCGCGACCGCCGCCGACAACATGCTGGACGGTGTCCCCTATGCTCCTTTCTCCAAGGGTGACAAGCTGGGTCGCATGGCCGACTGGACTGCCGAGTCCAAGGACCGTGAGAGGGCCGGTCGCCAGGCCTACAACCGTAACTACAGAGGTATGTTCAATTGTGTTCGAAAGATCGGTGCAGTGGTGGCTAACGAAATCTTCAAACACAACAGATCAGCAAGTCTACGGTGCCGGTTCCTCCAGCCTCTTCAACGTCCAGGTCGCCGAGGACGAGTCCTCTTTCTCCGTTGTCGACAACACCCGTACCTCTGCCAAGCGCACTTTTGGCCGTGGTGGTGGTACTGTCTTCCGTGGTCGCGGTCAGCGTGGCGGGGCTCAGCGCGGTGGCCGCGCTGGCTTCCAGCGTGTGGGCGCCGGCCGTGGTGGTCAGGGTGGTGACCGCTACTACGACAACCGGGGTGGTCGCGGCAACCGTGGCCGTCGCTTCGGATGGAAGGACTACGACAAGCCCCAGCGCACCCGTGAGCCCTCGGTCAACGTTCGCCCCGAGTGGAGCATGCTGGAGGAGGTGGACTTCTCCCGTCTGTCCAAGCTGAACCTCGAGACTCCCGAGGGCGAGGACCTCGACTCGTACGGTTTCCTCCACTACTACGACCGGTCCTACGACAAGGCGCCCGTCAAGAACGCCGAGCGCCGCCTGCAGTCGCTCGACCGGGCCGCCTACAACGTCACGACCTCGCAAGATCCCGTCATCCAGGAACTCTCCGACAAGAACGAGGCTACCGTCTTTGCCAGCTCGGACATCCTGTCCATGCTCATGTGCGCTACTCGCAGTGTTTACTCCTGGGACCTGGTCATCGTGCACCAGGGCAACAAGATCTACTTCGACAAGCGTGATGGCGCTTCTCTCGACCTGGTGACCGTCAACGAGAACGCCGCCGACGCGCCTCTCGAGGTGGCCGACTCCTCCAACAAGCAGGACGCCATCAACACCCCCAGCGCCCTCGCCATGGAGGCCACCTTCATCAACCACAACTTCGCCCTGCAGACCGTGGCCGAGTCCGAGGACGCCAAGGTGACCTTCAACCACCCCAACCCCTTCTACAACGCCGCCGAGGAGACCGAGCCCCTCGCCTCCAAGGGCTACAAGTACCGCCGCTTCGACCTGTCGCTTGAGCGCGACGAGGAGCCCCTCAACATGATCGTCCGTACCGAGGTCGACGCCGTCATGAAGAACCCCACCCCCGGTGGTGAGGACCAGCAGCTGGTCGTCAAGGCCCTGAACGAGTTCGACAGCAAGGCGCAGGGTTCCGGCGGTGCGCTTGACTGGCGCAGCAAGCTGTGGTCGCAGCGCGGTGCCGTCGTTGCCACCGAGATGAAGAACAACAGCTGCAAGCTGGCCCGCTGGACCACCCAGGCCATCCTGGCCAAGGCCGACGGCATGAAGCTCGGTTTTGTGTCGCGTGCCAACGCCCGCTCTGCTGCCGCTCACGTCATCCTGGGCGTTGTGAACTACAAGCCCCGCGACCTGGCCTCGCAGATGAACCTGAACCTGGGTAACGGATGGGGTATTGTGCGCACGATCGTCGACCGTATCCGCGCCCTGGACGCCGAGGAGGACTCCGAGAAGGTCAAGAAGTACGTCCTCATCAAGGACCCCAACCGCTCGGTCATCCGTCTCTACAGCGTGCCGGCCACCACCTTCGAGGAGGATGAGGAGGCCGAGGCTGCTGAGGAGGAGAAGGCCGAGGAGGATGATGAGTAAACCGATCGAAAGAGGGGAGGATGTTCTCTGATGTCGTAATGTCATTTGGAATTTCTTTTTTTCACTCGTGTGCATACGTTCAAAAGTTGCTTAGAATATGAGCATGCCTGATGTTTTTTGTATTATCTCTTTCAATCCCACAGCGTATCAATATGTTAAAGTGGACTGTCTGCTCTGTACTTGTCGTATTCCAAGACCATTGGGCAGCCGCAATCAATTCACTGTCTAATTTTGACTCTTAACAACCCGCGAGGATTTGATCCATGGTCCCTTCTGTTTCAGTTATATGATTACCCTTGAGCTTTGGATAGCTCTCCCCTAGATGATCACACCGCCATGAGTCCTGGAGCACGGATGGCGATGGATCAATGTCTGAAACGAAATCGTCTCCAAAGTAAAACAACACAATCTATAAATAGCACCTCATTCCATTACTTACAGAACTCCTGTGGCTATTTGCCCATTGGAGCAACAGTACGGAGTAAACATATTCAAGTCCATTCTTATTGAGACCAAGGGTAAAAGATCTTCGAACTCTCATTCCGGCTCAGATCTCATAAAACAACACCGCCCGAAGGTTCCATGGTTTAAAGACACGTCTAGTTTGTTAGTTTACATCAAACACGAGGACACGGACACACCAAATCCCACTCATCAGCGTAGTCCAATCCAATCTAGAACTCAAAGTGCCGAATTTCGACGTCATAACCGGCATATAAACCAGGTAGAGGAATTTCTTCGTGAAGAAGATTTTCTTGTATTGCTTACCTGCAAGCCACATACCTCGGCATATCTATTGGGCTAGTGGTGGTCTGTATACTCCGTATGGTAGTCCGGATTCTGCGGTCTGAGCAACTAGAGGAAGAAGGGGAGGGACCTGAACAAGAGCAATTGGGGTCAGCAGATTAACTGGGTCACTATATCTCGGGAAAAAGTCCGACTTACTCTGTAGATGCTAGACTACCTTATAGTTAATTTATTATTATGGGTCAGGGAGTGGGCACGTCCTCGGGGTTTGATCATCTGCCTTTTGGGGCTGTCTACTGACTTGAATCAGATTTGTATCTCCCTGTGCACTGTCTATTACTGTACCTCGATTGATTGACAGGATCGTCCTTTTCTTGGGTATTATGGTTTGTACGAAATAGATCTATTGGTTGGCGTGAATTGCGGATTTTCATGTATATGATATCCTATGCTAACCACCTCATTATCATAGTATTCTATGGAATAAGTATTGAGTCAGCCCCTGAGACAAATCTTTGTATCGATTGTATTTCAAAAAGAATCAAACCGATCCTACGCTCAATTCATCATGCCACGCTCTTCAACACTCCCTAAAAATGTGACCATGTTACATGTCGCCCGCCAAGCACCACCGCCGCTTGGCTTGCATCCTTCATCTGAAACTACATGACTCGGCCACTGTCTATTCTTGTCTCTGTTTGTCTGCCGAGGCCTCATCTATCCAGTTCCTGTTCTCTATTCTCACTACATATCCATCAAACGATTTAATGTAGGGTATCTTACAAATCCCGACTCATCAACACACCGCATCCTCGGCTCATCAAACCAAATGAGTCAAACCAACACGGACACCCCTCCGCCGTCGAACATTTAATATACATACCCCGTAAAACTCCTCAGATCCAACAGAAGATCGACAGCCAAGAACCGCCGTTGAACTTATTCTTGATTCCCGTTGGGTTCCCTCGCACGCTCTCCTCAGCGGAGAAGACATCCTTCGTGTTTTGAAGGGAATCGACAGATTGCCCATACTCGTCGTTCGCCCTGCGCTGGATACCTAAGGTCTTGGCTGCTTGGTTGAAACAACCCACCTCTTACTCTCCAGGGATAGTGCCATCCGTCTTTGGGATCTGTTTCGCTCGGAACCTCTGCGACTGGGTCTTTCTTGATCCTGAGCCTGAGTCCGAGTCTTCTGCCTCTTCGCATCGGGGACTGTGCCATGAGGGGTTCAGACCTAGCCTTGTTGCGGGGAATGCAGGAGGAATGAAACGCAACGAACTCATTTCGGCATTGAATGCGTTTCGTTCCCTTTCTGACCGATCCAGTCTTGTAGAGAAGGACAGTTTGACCGAGGTATACGGCACTTCTTTTACTATTTGCTGATCTGAATAGGAAGTGATCGGTGTCTAGTATGGCGACTGAGCTCCGAGGGTCAATGAGCCAAGCATAGCCCTCTAGTTGTCGTGAAGATGGTCTTGTCTAGGACTCCTCAGTCCCTTGGTCCAAGAGTGGAAGGTATTGCAAATGCCGTTATGAGAAACGACTCAAGTACCGAGCGATGAAGGTTATAAAGACTCGTTGAGGGACGGTGGATTTGTCTCGCATCTCGTTTTTCATCTCAGCACGAGCACAGCACAGTACAGCGCGGCGCAGCATTGAGTTGATTGAGCAATTCTTTCCATTCCCTCAGTCCCTTCCACCCATCTTCATTTGATTTCAAAGTCCAAGAAGAAGAAATCAAAGACAGCAAAGATGAAGCTCCAACTCCTCTCCGCTGCCCTGGCCGGTCTGGCCGCCGCTAGCCCTATGGCCCTGGAAGAACGTCAATGTATGTCCATTCCCTTCCTTCCTCAACCATACACAGACAGCAAAGAGAATGCTCACATCGTATCCAGCCAGCTCCGGCAACGAACTCCGCAACGGCGACTGCCAGCCCGTCACCTTCATCTTCGCCCGTGCCTCCACGGAAATCGGACTCCTGGGCGCCTCCACCGGCCCATCTGTCTGCAGCAAGCTGAAGGCGGCGAACAGCGACGGCGTCGCGTGCCAGGGCGTGGGCCCTAAGTACCGCTCTACACTGGGCGATAATGCCCTGCCGAAGGGAACCTCGCAGGTGGCCATCGACGAAGCCAAGGAGTTGTTTGAGCTCGCGGCCGAGAAGTGCCCCGATACGCAGATTGTGGCGGGAGGTTATAGGTATACTTCACCCTCTATCATTCTCTCTATAGAACAGCCTGGTGGCTGACAGATTATCAATGTGAAAACAGTCAAGGAACAGCCGTCATGCACGGCGCAATCCCCGAGCTCTCCGACGCCCTGAAAGACCAGATCAAAGGCGTCGTGCTGTTCGGCGATACCCGCAACAAGCAGGATAACGAGCAAATCCCGGACTTCCCCAAGGACAAGATCAAGATCTACTGTGCCACGGGCGACCTGGTCTGCGAGGGCACGCTGATCGTCGCGCCGCCGCATTTCTCGTACCTGGGGGATACGACTGATGCGACGGAGTTCTTGACTGGGAAGTTGGAGTAAATTTAGGGTTTCCATGTACTTGGACATCGTGATCTTGCTTCTTGAGTTGGGTAAGGATGGAGAGAGGGAGTGGTGGAGGGAAAGAACTGATGGAATTGAGGATACCGGAGATAGGGTGGAAGGAAAAAGTAGTGCAGGACATTGCTGCTTTCTTCATGCAGTCGCTCATTTGTTCGATTGATGGATATCATTCTTGGATTGAACTGAGTATATATCAGGCATTTAGTTTTGCATGCATTATGATTTCGCCGGCATCTCTCTCCCTCCCTCTCTCTTCATAAATCAAATCTATTTAGATCACACAACTACCCATAAAATCAATCAGTAGTACGCTTGGTACGGAGTAGAAACCAACATTATGCAGTATTTATGCAGTCTATTCCCCGCTGAGTCATCCATGCACCCTCCCCATGGAATTCTATCCACCATCGACATCGAACATCTACGATCTACCCCATCAAAAACCAAACTCCCTCCGTCAACCAACCCAATAAACCATAAACAGAAGAACAAATAGAACAAAAACCATGAACCCCCTCCCCATCCACAAACCAAAGCCCAGACCAGCCGCATCCTGCGCCCCCTGCAGGAACCGAAAAGTAAAGGTACGTTATCGCTTATCGTCATGAATCACCGAACCCCCATCAACCTCATACCAATATTCAATTTCCCCTGTGAAATTTACGTTAAGCGGTGCTAACCACGAGAGGGGGGGGAAAGTGCGATCGCCTCTCTCCCTGCGAAGCATGCATCGCGCGCGGCATCGTGCACGAATGCAAGTACTCGTCTACAGACGAGGACCGGGAGGCGATCGCCCAGGCGGAGGTGATAGCGACGCTGCGGGCGCGGGTGCGACGGCTCCGGAATGAGCTGGCGGAGGCGGAGGCGGAGGGCCATGAGATCATGGAGTTGAGGGAGGGGATGATGACGTCTAGTTCGAGTCAAGGGAGCTCAGGGGCTGCGGCGAGGAAGGCGGAGAATCAGGCGATGGAGATCCTGTATTCGGCGATTCGATTGGGGTCCGCGGATTTGGTGGGGAGGATTGTCAGTGGCGTGAGAGAGGGGAGGGAGTTGGTGGATGTGGTGAGGATGGTGCAGGTGTAGACATCTATCTGAAGATCTCGGGGTTGATTTATGTATTAGTCAAAATGGTATATGCCAATGCCAAACGTTAATGCGTACAATGTCGATGGGATAATCTCCATGTCAAGGTCAATCGAATCATCCGCTCTTCTCCATACCTGAACCAATGCGTGCTATCAGTTTATTTACATATTCAACACAGCCCATCTTATGTCAGATCCAAAACACCACCAACTCCGTCCGTCCGTCCGTCCCGTTGAGATCATGAATATAACATATCGTCGTGGACCTGCGAAATTCCCAGGTCCACCTTGGTGCCTACCACGCTGCTCAGGCAATCTTTCAGTTCAAAGTCCTCCACCACAGCCCCGAACCCGTAACACCGCACTTTTGTATTCAATGTCTCCATGATGATTTTGATATCGTCGCGTGTCAAGCTGCGATAGAGCTCGTGGCTTTTGAGGCACTGCAGCGCCATGATCGGCGTGATCTGTCCCTCAGTTACAAGCTGTCGGCTGAGGTTCAGCAAGGTGGAGAGATTGGCGTGTGGTAGGTCGTATGTCTGGTGGGGATAGGTCTGTTCGGGCGTGGTGTTGGAGATGTAGCTAGGAGGTGGACAGGTCGCCATTAGAGCGTGTCCTGAGAACGGCATGTCTTCATCATCGGCTTCCGTCACAGATCGTCGACATAGATAATCGGTATGCTCGCGACATGGTCCTTCCAATCTGCTCACAGTTAGACTTCAATTTCAAACACGGGAGGAGGCAACTTACTTTAGGATAAAGTCAATTTGCAATTGGGGATCTGTTTCAAAGATTCCATTAGGATGTGCCGGTTGCCGACTGGCCGGAGCTATCCGATCCAGAGTGGCCAACGCGTCGCATGGCGCGTTGTAATGTGAGTGATTGTGCGGCGTCAGTTCCTGCGTGGGTGAGACATCCACATGCGATACTCCGTTCATACCAGGGCTAACGCTCGACGAGACCGAAACGGTAGTCGGGGGAGTGACCGTGGCAGGAGGGGTAGTATACAAATTGCTGCCAGGCTGTGCAACGTTGGGCGGCTGCGAGCTGACACTACTACTGGCAAAGGGGCTCGTCAACGGTTGCTGGTGATGCTGCGGGAATGTCGGGCTGGCGCGTTCGGCCTTGCGTCGCTCGACCTCGGCTTCGACGTTGATGCCCTGGCTGGCGAGGATGTCTTTTAAGATGTTGTTTTCCTCCGACAAAGATCGCACCATCTCCCGATGCTGATGAACCGTTAAGTTGGCCGCCGAGATTTCCTGCGTGTAGGCCTCTCGTAGTCGCGACACCTCCGTCTCTAATGATCGCATATACTGTTCCTTTCGCTCACGATGCGTCCTGATTCACCCATCACTTGGTCAGAACATTGACCTGAACAGCCAGCATTCATGATTCCTTTCGACATACCTTTGTGCCTGGCGATTTAACTCTTGCCGTCTAGTGAGGGCAGGTCGGCTGTCGGGTTTCGGGCCTCGTCGTTTCGCCGGTTGACCATCTATTCGCCATTATTATATAAACTGCGAATGGTCCAGCAAGGGGATCGCTAACCTCGAGTGACTTTCTTCTGTCCACCACCTCCTCCTGAAAAGAATTTCAACCAATCTGTTCCGGAAGAAGTTTTGCCTTGGGGTTGGTTAAATGTCAGCAGTCTGTCCAAGAGATGCAACCAGGAAGCAGCGAGTGGCAATAAGAAAACAAAAGAAAGTAATCGCTGAAGCAGATAAACATTGGTCACTGTCACCAGGCGCAGGGGACCGACGTTTGTCGTTCATAGCCGGCGCAAGGCGCGTTGTTTCCTTTGGAAAGCCAATTGCGCCACAACCCGACGAAGCTTTGAAGGAATCCAAGCCCATAGTAAAAGTATTGAATACAGCGATGCGACGGTTTTCGACGAACACAAAAGAAAGAAACAAGCTCCCGCAACTTACCGGGAGAATCTTGTTGCATACTATGTCGATAGATCGTGCCTTGATCCACCGGCATGATCCCGTCATTCATGGCTTCCATGGTTGGTTGCTGGCAGTCGTCTGCAAGGAGAGGATGGATGGAAGAAAAGGTAGGGAAGATGCGACCGGCGCGATTACAGGTCCGAGATAGGAGAGACGACGGGGGAAGCAGGGAGAGAAACGGTAACGATGGATACGAGCCGGACCGGCGCTGACGACAGACGAAGATCTAAATGGGTCCGGAAGGGAAAGATGATGGTGGCAAAAGGCTCATATGAGAGCAAACGAGAGAAAGCTTCCTGCAACCGTTGTCAGCCTTAGGATGAAACTACGAATGATAGAGTGGATATATTCCCGCTTTGTCCAAGCGCCCTCACCGTTGGAATTAATAAAAAAGAAGGAAGATACGATATACTTCTGGGCCGACTTTTGATATTTTGTTTGATTTTTCTTTGGTTTAATAACACGCACGGAAGGCAGATCGGATGCGTGTTCCCCCCGATGCGCGCCCGAAGGGGAATTGAGTTGGACACCACACGAGGGGGAGGAAAGGGAGTAAATGGGAAGGAGAGAGAGAGGTCAATTATTCAAGATCCAGGTGCAATGGAGAACCAACAAGGCTCGAGCAGGGGACGGGATTGATAGATCCAAACCGGGGATGACGAGGGATGGAAAGAGGCCAAAAGGAAAGGACAAAAGATGAGGGATCCAGGGCGTGTGGGAGGAGAGCGTCCGAAACGGAGGAAAAGAGTGGAACGACGAAGAGGTCGGAGGATAAAGTGGGACACGGCGACAAGACATTCGACAAGACCGGAGATGATGCTAAGCAGATGGACCTGGAGACCCTGTCAAAGCGACCTCGTCTTGTTACATCCACCATGCAAGTCGGAACTGGCGATTAATTGGCTCGCGTCCCCGTTCTTCACGGGCCCCAGGTGGCCTTGGTCTTTGCGCAATCAAGATAGTCTAGTCTGCCGGTCACTGAATTAATGAAATGAATAATTAACGACGGGCTGGAATGGAGTCGTTCCGCAGATGCCACTAGAGTCCGTTAGTTCGAGTGACGGGTCCTTGACAGGAATGCACACGGTCGATGCGGTTACAGTATGTAGTACTGGAAGAAGATAGAATAATCATGAAAACCATCATCATAATCATCATCTTCTTCTCTCCCAAGACCGAAGATCAGCAAAAAAAAGAAAAGGAATTACCTCTGGCCTTGGTCCTAGCCTCGATGCACTCAGATCTGACCTCGGCTGAGAGAACAACCGGAATGGATTCCATCCGTCAATGGGAATCCACCCTCATCTCCCCTTTTTCCATCCGATCGCCAATAATTCATTGGCAGTCTGGGTCCGTAGGAAAAAGCAAGAATGCACCCACCCGGGCAATCTGTATGGGTATGTCGACGGTGGAAAGTTGAAACTGGCCTGCGATCGACCAGACAAAGTTTGATTTTTCGCCTCGCTCTGTCTTATTTGATTTTTCTTCTGGTAGTGACTTAATCCTGCTGATTACGGCGATGATGATAATCCCTCTCTCGAAAAAGAATCGTCATGGCAATAGTTCGGTCTAGCTCCATAGGATGATTCCCCGAAGGAACTCCGTTCGTCTGTTCCTACTGTGGTTCCCGGAATCTGCTCCGTAGCTTCCAGGTCCAGATCCCAGATCCGAGAGCTCCTACGGAGGAAGTACTGGAGTGGGAAAGTTGCACCAGAATGGTTTGGTCGGCTTTCCTGAACTTGACTGGCCAGCCGGGGACCATCCAACACAATCCGAGGGTGCTCAACTCGGTCGATATCTCATATGTAAGGCAGGATGAACCGTAGGGAACCTGGTCTTCGTGTAACGTCTAGCGTCCAGGGTCTTTATTCTAATTTCCTGGGTGAATTTGGGACACCAACGGTTGTACGTATGCAGACGGGTTGGCATTTGGACTGATCTCTTTTCCTTCTGTCGTCCTTTTCTTTTTTTTCTTCTTCTTTTTCACTTGAAACGATCAAAGAAAATTTTCTTGAGTTTCCCTTTCACGGGTCTCTGATTGACGAGTCCCACTGACCATTGAGAGTTCGGCCTTTTATCCTGGACCGGGATGGTGCTCGTAGAGAGACTGGAGACCTGGGTTGTGATTCCCAACGCTTTTACCCACCGAGCTAGCCAGCCTGCAACCTGTCGTAACACTAAATCGGTATGCACACGCAGTAGTACCGCACCGCACGGCGCCAATCTGCCGAGCTTTCAGGTACGAGGGCGATGGTAGGGGCCTAAGGGGGGAATTTCCTAAATGCCACTCGGGGAGCTCCCATGACCGTGTCGTTCGATTGTTCGGGGTTTAATGATCACCGGGATTGCAGGGGGAGAACCAAATAGCATAGTTTGATTTTCAATGGATTCTCCCAGCCAGGAGGCGAGGCGTTGATCTGATCGTTCAGACTTAATCCGTACTCTTGATTCATCAACATTGGCATCTACCGAGAGATTTTGACTTATCTGGTGACTGGTCTGCCATTTTGCTCTCGCTCTTTTGTTCTATGAGGATCCTTATTTCACTAAGGAAGTAAAAATAAATAAAAATAAAATAAGAAAAATGGAACTAAAAGTTCCATCCTTTCCCAGGATGGCTGGGTCCCCAAAACGTACTCCGTAAAATGTACGGAATAGCCTTGTAATAGAACACCCAGCCACTCTCAATAACTCAGTAACTCGGCCAAGTCGATGCCGTTGGGTTCGGTGGTGAGGGGGGAAGGGAAGAGTGAAAGGGAAGACGAACGCCTGGGAAGATCGGCTTCCCAAAGAAGAAGGCACCTCCATCGAGACCGATCTGCGGCCTAAGGCCAGCCAGCCAGCCCGATCGGGACGCCTCTCCACTTCCGCATGACTCGCCTTTTCCGTTTCTTTTTGTTCTCCTCTTCTCTCGCTTTCATCGGACAGCGATGAGGCGACGATTCCGCCTTTATTGATTCAAGCCACTGGTTTGCAATTTGCGTAATACCTCCCTCTCCGCTATGTCATGGAAACATCGGAAGTCCTCGTCCACGTCTCCGCTCCCAGCACCGCCGCGGACGATGCCCGCTATCGTGCTCAGGTCCAGGCCATCCTCGGCTTCCAGCCTGCCTCGTGCCAAGTAATCACTCTCAGATCGGACGAGGGCTCCTATGATCAAGCCCAGGATCGGAGTCAAGATCAAGACGAAGGTCAAAGTCTCGATCGCCTGCACCCCAATGACGCCCGTCATCGTGATGCCGATGCTCATGCTCCCCAACCCGTCGGCCCACCTCTCCCTTGCACGTCCGAGTCTGCCTCCGATCTCGAACCCCACGTGATCCCTCATAATAACAATGCCGTCTCTTCGACGGAGTTCACCCTCGCCGTTGACGATCCACCACCCCGTGGTGGCGCCGCGCAGGATTCGCTAGGTAGTCCGGTCAGCGTCATACCAGACTCTCAACCCGAGATATTGGTATCGGGAAATGCCACCGGCTTCGAATCCTTGGATCAGTATCAAAGGACATCGGCGCCGGATCTCTCGTCGCCACCTCAATCAAAGCGGTGTCGAATAGAATCAGATCCAACTCCAGATGAACACTCAAAAGTGCTCCCGGACAAACAGCTTCCTCCCGCAGCGCGCGACGGAAAACAAGAACCAGAGCTGGAATTGAAAGGAAAACACTCTCCACACCAGAGCGATCATGAACCTCGTCCTCCCCATTCTACCCCCGCTCCCATGCCTACATCCAAACCCAAGCTTCCGGCTAAGGGCAAAGACAAAGACAGCAACAAAGCATCTCACCCTCCCGCTCCCGCCCTCGAAGTGACAATTGCTCCTCCCATGCAAATCAGACCCCCTCCGCCTCCAATCTCCAACAAGAGATTCACCACACACATCACACCCACCCTATCCATGCTCTTCAAACGTCTTCACTCCCCACGAATCTACACACCTATCCAGCAGTCCCGACCCCTGGATATCCTCGAACGCGGGTACTGGTATCTTCGTATTGACATCCTGCACGCAGACGCCGACGCGAACAAATCCAAAACCCACCCAAACACATGGGACCGGTTCCTCTTCAACCGCTTCTGGTCTTTCCTAAGCGAGCTTGTAGGCAAAGAAGGGCGAGCGGGATGGGGTGTTTGGTGCTACCTCGAAGATGTTTCTTCGAGCGTTAGTACGGACCCCGGCTCTGGCTCTGAAACACGTTCCGGCTCCCGAACCGATTCTAACTCAACTTCTCCGCACAACCAGCGCATTCCACCAGCTCACGAACTAGGTCTCAAGGTATACGCGTGGGGCGAGATCGCCGTGCATATATACCTACTTCTATTCCTGGCCAGCGAGCGCCGCATCCGCAAGATGGGCGCGCAGTGGTACGATGGTAGCGAAGAGGTCGTGATTCGCATGCCGACGTCTACTTCTCCTTCTACTTCCACGTCCACTTCTACTACTAACAGAGACCTGCCTGGGAACCTAGCTGGCTAGTATACCGCAGGCAGGCTACACTTTCGTATATACCTTCATCTTTCTCTATCTATAAATTATATCGAGCCATTACACAATAACACTTACAAATTTGCTATCTGGATAATATACCCTCCCACACCAAAATCCAAATCCACAAAAAAAGAACTCGAAAAGAAAAAGAAACCGTAACACAAACCCCGCCTCCCTCCCATCTCCCTCCCTTCCCCGGATGCAGTGACACAAAAGAAATCAAATCAAATCAAGTCGTCAAACCTATTAGTTCGTACGAGGTCACCCATCCTGGTTCTGTTTCTTCAGGTTGAAGTCGTCACGGGCTGTGAAGAATATGAGACATGGATTAGGACCATGGTTCACGGTCGGACAAGAAGGGAAGATTAGGAACTCTAATCTTACCTATGATTTTGGAGCGCAGCCTAGAGTAGCTAGCTGCCTTGGTGTGTGGTTTTTACCCCCAACGATGATACAGTATTAAACGCGATAGAACAGTTAACTAAATAGCTAGATGGCCAAATGGATTGATCAATGCGTTGATGTATTCCAGTAAACACAAAAGTATGGTACACACAAAGAAGGAGGTGGCAGGAGGAAGAGAGGAAGGAAACTTCAAGAAGCACCGCTTTTATTATGTTTCCGTGTTTCCTTCTTTTTCTCCTGCTTTGAAGCTTTCATCCTTCGGTCGGAAGAATTCCACGATAAAAGGAAATCCGAGAGAGACCTGGTGAGCAAGGTACATGTGACAGGTTGAGATAATTGCGGTAAGACGAGCAAAAGAAAAAGAACTCCTGTTCCCAAGTAGGGACCCTCCGCTCTGAAAACATGGTTTTAACTGGCATGTAGAATGGACGAATGAAGAAACGGTGATGAAAGGACCGGACGATCTGGTAGCGCGTATTAAAAACCAAAAACATAGAATGGAAGACGTGCGATAGATCAAGCTGAGGTTATGATAGGATTGAAAACGAAAAGAAATGACAGAAAGATGGAGTGACCATTGGACGCCACGGGTTGGAAAATCTTTTTTCTTCTCAAAATGCAAGCAACAACTAAAACTGTTCGAGCTTTAGTAGTTCAATTCACCACTGCCGGCACCGCCCACCGCATCAAGATCCTCGTAGCTCTTGAGACTGCGGCCTTGAACGGCTTCGCGGGGTCCCATACCCTGAGGACCGGCACCGCCACCCATGGCATCAGGAAAGCCTCCGGCACCAGCAAATGCGGCAGCTGCCGGGTGTCCAGGAGGGATGTATGGCGCCCCCGAGTTGGTCGGAAGGCGACCACCAGATCCATACATGTTTGACATGCCACGAACCGGGCTCAATCGACCGCTACCGGCGACGGAATTGCCATAGCGGTTATTACCTCCTCGCCGGTCGTAAGGCCCGGAGCGATTGTTAAAGCGGCCACCTCGACGCATCACGCCGGGCTGATGTAATCCAGGATGGTCACCACCGACCATACCGCCACTCCAGGCACCTGCCGGATTGTTCACGCCCATGAAGCCAGGCAAGGATGCTGCCCCGGCCATAGGGGGAAAGCCAGCGGGAACGTTGCCGTTCGGTCCCATGTATGCGGGCATCGATGACGACAGACTGAAACCACGAGGCGTGCCGGCTTGGTTCTGGCCGGAGCTGAGAGGGAAATGGCCGTTGCTATTGGCATCAGACCGCGAAGGTGCAATCCGAGCAGGATCGAGGACATATGCGTTGACCAAAGACAGCTGTGTGTCAACATGTTAGCTTTCTTCTCGTCTTTCTCTCGACTGGCAGAGGGGGGGGGGAATATTGTCACTCACATCGCTTCGGATAGATTCATACCACTCCGTGTGACGCTTCTCGATGTGCTTGCGCCAGAAATATTCGGCCTTGAACAACTTAGTGCACTCGGGAACCTTGCAGCGATACTTGGATTCGTCCTCTTGCTTCATGAATTTCGATAGTTCCTCCTCAAGTGCGTCGTCCACCGGTTTACCACCCAGCTTTCTGATATCCACATTCTCGGGCTCGAGGATCTGCAAGAGCTTGTCCTCGAAAGTCTTCACCCAGTTGAACGCACGCTGGAGCTGCTGTTCCGATTTGGAAGCAAACCGTTGCGGTCGCTTTTCCTCCGCAGGCGCTGGCTGCTCCTCGCCCTCCTCGCTGGGCTCCTTCTTCTTCACCGGGAACGGCTGTCCTAAAGCGCTAGCTCTAGCGACAGCCTTCGACTGCGAGCTGAGACCCGCCCGCGGCCGGCGAAGGTGACCACCTGGGCATTTCCGCGCAAGCTCATGAACCGAATCGCTTTCGAATACACAGAAGAAGCAAAAGTTGTAGACCCTGCGGACATACTCCACAAGCAAGTCCAGCTTCTTCTTCTTGGCCAAAAGCTCCTCGTCATCGATCTCATCATCTTCCCATCCTTCCTGCTCCTCCCCTTCTTCGGCTTCCCCCTCGTCCATATCATCCGTGTCAAAATCAGGTTTTCTCTTCTTGACACTGACGGGGCCTGTAACGGGTGGCTGCAGCCAGCCCTTACCACGCAATTCTTCCACTCGCTCTTCAATCTTGACATATCCATCTACACCGCCGCCCATTTCCGAATCCAGTTTCGCCACGAGTCGTCTGGCTAGCTCCAAGTCGCGCTCGATACGCTCTGGGGTGGAGAACAAATCCCACAGCGCCTTCTTGCGTGGCTGTGCGGGCGGAACGTGGACCCCAACGTGGCATACGAAGTCTCCGTGAACCGGGTCATGGATGGTTTTGTCATTGACAGCTTCGAGGGCCTTCTCTGCGGCGGAAGTACTAGAGCTGCCGTTGGCATAGTCATCTTGCTCGATTTCCTCGCCCTCTTCCTCTCTGCCGTCCCCTCTCTCGACAACGGCATTTTCCGCCGCGGGGTGCAACATGATCCATCCCATACGGTGGTACTTCTTGGATGGGTTTGGATCACTGAGACTCAGCCACTTAAAGCCACCATCTTGTTCCCCTAGGTGTTCCTTGCAAAACTCCTCGATTTTCTCCCGGCTCACGTTCGGGGCCAGGGTCTTGATAAGCAATGCGGGTTGGGACAAGGCCTCGTCACGCAGCTCGCCTCCTCGGGCTGGTAGCAAGTCCAAGACGCTTAAAGTCTCTCCCACCGCGGTCGTTTCACCTTCCTCTTTCTCCACGACACCGCCCGCACCATCGCTCTCACTTTTGTAAATTCCTTCGAGGGTGAAATCATCAAACAACCCGCCATCAATGTCGCTCTCCCATTGCTGATAAGCGCCCACTCGGAAGTCCATCACACGGCGGCGCAGAGGATCCCGAACCTCGGGAACATAACGTTCCTTGAACCATTCTTCATTTCGATGATGTTGGACGAATGTCCTTGCCATCTTGATCTGAAGGTCCACCTTGTACGCATCATACGCAGCCTGGATCTGCGCCCGCTCGCGGTCACGATCTTCCCGCGCCTCGCGCTCTCCCTTCACACGGTCCGACGGGCGGCGTCCTCCATGCTTAGCACGTTCTTTCTCCTCCTTGATAGATTGTTCGGCGCGCCACCATTCGGCAAACCAGTTGAATCCAACCTGGAAATCAAGGCTGAGAGGGTTCGGCAGGGGATTTGTCGGAATCGGTCGCTTTCCCGAGTCCTGTCCAGGGACATATCGATCAATGTTGGCGACGTTGGGAGAAGGAGCACGGCGACGATCTTCACGCTCCCTCATGGTATGTTCGCGAGCCGTGGCGTAATAATCATCTCGGGAAGTCCGTCGATCTGTAGGTTCATAACGATCGATCATTGCTGGCGAGCGAGAACGACCACGTCCACGGCGACGGTCCTGGGACACTGTAGAAAATACAATTAGTAAATGGTCCTTTCACTTTCTCTCTCTCACCAATTCCAAGGTGTCAAGCTTGGAAAGGTCTTACCGGGAGACCGACGTCGGTAGGAATCCACCGGTGCCCTGTTCGAGTACGGGTCTCCGTCCCGGCTCCTGCCGGGAGATCCATACGTATCATAGGAATCCATGTCGAATGGCTGAGCTTTCAACGACGATGAGAAGGACGTGTCCGATCTTGGCTCACGTTTGACTAGTGTCAAATTTGAGAAAATAATCGCCGGAGTTGAGAGGACGGCCGACGAACGAGCAGGAGAAGGCGGTAAACACCGGCAAAGGTGAGCTAAAAAGCGACATCAACAAAATTAGAGAATGTCTTTTCACTTGACTTGTTCATCTGAGGAGGGTGCCTGGCAGGTTGAATTTTGACGCAGTGTGCAAGGAGCGGGATGTGATGAGGAAAAAGACGGAAACGAGGCTGAAACCCGCGCGACGGAAGAGCTTGAAGAGGACATGTTCGCGATTTGAGAGACAAAGATCGAGCCCGAAAACGAGATAATGAAGACGCCCTTGAGGGACCGGAAATAAATAGAGAAAGAAAATGAAGAAGGGGAAAAAGACAAGATGATCGGTCTCGAAGGCCAATTTGGGCGCGACGATATGACCAACTACTGCTCCCTGGAAGAGATCGGGAACGGAAGCATGGAAGCAGGTGGCATAAAAGAAGGGTATCAAGAAAAGAAGAGATGCGATGGGAAAGATGATTTGGTTGCTTCCTTTTATTTTCCCTCTCATGCAATGAGAAGAGCAAGAGAAGATGAGGCAGGGAAAAGGGGGTAACGAGCGAGATGGGGGGGAAAGTGATAGAGACAAAGGGAGGTCGGTGGTGAGTGTAACAACAGAAGAAACACGGCAATGGGAATAAAAGAGAATAGTAAACGGAGGAAGGCGACCTACAAGAAGCCTTATAAAAAAGGATGAATCAATCGGATGAGACCAATCCCTGATCACAGACCCAGTCCAATGATAAGTTTGGAGGGAACGAGACAGCCGGGAGCAGATGCGATGCAGTTGGAGAAGGGGAAAGCGAAAGTCGAGACGGGGAAGGGCGACGCCGACGGCCGCGCTGACATAAGCAGACGCAATGACTAATCCGGGGTTATTTTTGGCACTTGCGCCAAAGCGGAAAGTTGCTGGTGGTGGATTCACTCCAGAGTCGAGACTACCTAGTACTTCCGCTCATTACTATTCACGTCGATTGCAATGCACACAAGATCAACTGATTCTACGGGGTATTATGATAAAGCCCAGATTAGCCAGATCCCACAGGCTACCGAGCAACGTCGAAGTGTATGTCCTGATATTTGTACACGACTAGTGGGGGAATCATCCTTGTAGTAAAAGAAAAGAGATGCTGAGAACGAAAGAGAACAGCGACCACGAATAGTGCACCGATAGTCAAATGACAACATACTGATAGCACAAACCAAAGTCTAACTCAACAAGAGCCATACTTGGATCAAACCCCAGGTTCAGCAGCTCGAGTCGGAGGAAACAGCTACCGCCGTTGGTCTTATATCAGTTTGAGGAACTTCGGGTCCAAGGATAACAACGCTGCAGACAACATAAAAAAAGGGAAAGGGCATGATTGCAGATATCTAATCCAAAGAGATCAGAACTCCATGTAGATCAAAATCTGGCCCTAGGCACCCGGTGCACTGCCTTACAGTGAGTCTCCCGCTGGTTCATAACATTCCTCCGGTAATATCTGCATTTTCATTTTTCCTCGAGGGGTTCGTTCGTTTTTACCAGCGATGGGTACCGCTCTAAGCCCCAACCAAAAAAAAAAAATAAAGAAGAAAGATAAATAGAGCGGAAAAGAAAGGGATTCCGTATAGCACGATGCCTAAATGCGAAAGCGAACAATGCACTGTCGATGTAACGAGCTGCTTCGACGAAAGCGTAAGCAGATTGGATCCGTGTGATCAATCGTAGAATGAACGATACTCATGCCAAAAGTAATCCTGGGAGTAGTCGAGACGGCGGTGTGGGGAGCTTTAAAGGCAAGCCAAGAAGCTGATCAGAAAATAGGCCGTCGGTCCAAGATACCATCACAAGCTATGGCACGTTTGCAGTTCATTCGATGTATTGACAGCCGGGACCCGACGATTGGAGTTCGATAAGGATAGGAGAAACAGAAAAGAAAATATCAATATGCATAAAGAAACATCAGAACAAGAGAGAAATAAGAATAGAAAAACAGATCGGGGAAATCATTTCATACACACATTCCTGGCAGACGGAGCATCATCGGGTCAAGGGATATATGATCAAACTTCGTACCAGCATAATATCAACAACCATGAAACCAGAAGACGTAACAATAAGACGGAAAGAAAAGGGGAGGGGGTGAAATAATCAAGTCAGAACCACGGGAAAGTAGTCACACATCGCTCGCTACGGGGAGAGAGAAAAGAAATTAGGAAAAACAAAATCCAGGCATCCATCCATAAAAGGCCATGAGAAATAAGTACGAAGAAACAGATGTCGGGAGCGGAATCGACGCGAGAAGGAGAACGTGACGGGGTCGTAAGTGATCATTCAACCTTCTTCATCCGACGCGTCGGCGGACTCATTTTCACTCTCCTCGGCACTGCTGGTTTTAGGCCCGGCGGTCTTCGCCTTCTTGGCCGAGCTGACATTGTCCTCGTTGACCTCACTTGACTTCCGTTTCTGGGCCGACGGAGTACTCCCGCCGGTATGCTTCATAACGGGGCTTTCGGTGTTCTCCTGACCGGGAGCTCCGGAGCCCTGTTTCTTTTCCATGGCGGCGACTTCCTCCGCGGTCAAGAATCGACCACCGGGACCCCGCGGTCGCCGCATGGCGTGGTTGTGACGAGATTCGTGCAAGTACGGCTTGCGGCCCTTAGAGGTCAGTCGCAGTTGCTCTTCCAACTTTTGTCGGGCCACGCGGCGTTTGAGGATGCGGTGGAACTGCTTCGCGTTGACGTAGAGCGGGGATTCTTCCTGGGGACCGGCGACCATCTCCGGAGAAGGTTGGCTTTGCTGCACCGGCGGCTGATGAGGGGGGGCCATGGGCGGGCCCACGGAAGGACGACCAACGTGGTTGAGAACGGGTTGGGCGCTTTGAACGTGCGGGCTTCCGACGTGGCTCATCCGCCGCGGCTGCATCTGAGCGCTCTGGGGCATGGGCACTTGGGAGGCCATGGAAGGCATTTGTCCTGGTAATTGCGGCGGTGAGCGAGGGTTCCGATCATTCTTCACGGGCACTCCTGCCATGCGCGGCGAGCCCCGCGGACCCTGGGGGAGTTGGCCGGCCATGGAGTCTTGGTGAAGCGGATAGAACTGACCCGAAGCCGCGGCGGTGGCCATGGCGGCCGCCTGAGTTGGGGAGATGCCGTATGTCTGCGGCATCGCCGTTGTTACCCCGTACGACTGAGGAAAATTCATTTGCTGATGTACCGAGCCCGGGGCATTTTGTGTCTGCTGGTAATGCGATTGGGAGGGGACAATTGGCGAGGCCTGGTGTGTCGGGTGGGCAGGTTGCATGTGCGCTTGAGGGTTGGTGGGAGAAGTCATCGACCCCACGGTAGAACCGGCGTTCTGCGGCGCGGTCTGGTAAGGGGCGGCAATGTGAGAGGAGGCATGGGGATTTTGGCCGTGAGGCTGTTGATATTGGGGAGGATACTCCATCATGGGAGGTTCGCGACGGCGCTTCCCGTCACGCGTCCAATATCCTCTGTGATTGGATCGATCGGACTGTCAGGAACCAAGAGACCTGGACCAATAGTAATGGCAAAAGGGAGTAATTGGCGGGAAAGAGACCACTGGTTTGAGATATTGGGAACGGCGCTGGGAAATGATAGGATATGGAAGCGCTGTTGCACTTCGGGGGGTGAGGGGGGGGATATCACGGTCGCGCACGAAAGAGGGACAGCCGCACTTAGTAGCGACAGACTGCAGTTGATGATTCGATAAGTTAAATGCGAAGGTCTGCAGGCTCTCCCTATAGCGTCAGCACGGAGCGCAGCGCCGACCGGTCACTGGATTCTGGGTGGGGTCGAATGGAGACAAAAGCGACGGCACTTGCACCAGGGCGCTTACCGCTATGTTTTTCGGCTTGGGAATGATACACGGGCTTTTCCACGGTCCGCGACAAGAGAGAAATCCTCCAAAGATGAACGCTTGTTTGCCGAAATGACTTCGAACAGCTTTCTCCGGAGATTCTGGCTCTTTTTGTGGAAACCTTTTTTTTTACGTTCAACTCCGAGTGTAACGTGGTTGGGCTCTGATGCAGCGAGCCAGGGTGCCCTCGACAAGATGTCGCACTTGATGCGTTGTCAGACAAAAATCGATCTTCTTGATAACAAAGTTGACCATTGCCGGCATGCGCCGAAACAGTTCAAAGATCCTTTCCCCATAAAAAAATGGATGATGATAACAAAGAATAAAAAAAAAAAAGGAAATAAAGATAAACACGGGGAGGGACAGGCAGTGACTACGGCAAGTATAGTTGGGGAAAGAAGAAAAACAACTGGCACCTTACCTGCACGGATAATGTTCAGACCCTTCAAGGTATTCGGGCTGCCAGGCCACGTCTGTTTGAGGCGGGGACGATGCAGGAAATAGTGATATGAGGCGGTGCTAACAGCGCGTCCGGCCTGCTCCTTCGGGTCCAGATGGGTGAGGATATCCCGGTCCGCGGTTCCCAGGGCTACTATGCGACTTGGGAGGGGACTGATGTCAGAATGCGCCTAGCAAGGGCTTGCACCGTGAAGTCGACTACAGGAAACCATCAGCATATCCCTTCTCCGCCAATCATAAGTTCTGCACGCTGATTTGTGCGCTGTCATAATGGGGGGGTAAGGTAGACTCTGTCAGAGGGATGGTGGGGGGGGAAGAGTGATATTGTGGCGGTTTAGTCTATTCAGGGCTGAAGGATGTATGCGTTGGCAAGCGGGAATCATGGTGCAGCCGGCTACATACCTTGTTGACGAGATGCAACGACGCCTTCAGAGCGAGATACAGGAGGTACCGACGCTGGTGCTGCGCGCTGCAGGGGAGAAGACTTGACCGGAAGGGGAGAGAGGACCAGATTTACTCTCAACAAGGACCGTCTTCAATGTACAACGACGAAGACAAACCGCGCGTCTAGAGATAGGAAGATGTTAGAGAAGCGCATGCAAAGGACCATGAATCAAGGTTGACGCGTCGTGATTGGGCGACTTGGGGGCGGGGGGCTCGGGGAATTGAAGGTAAAACGCGACAATTAACGGCATGCATAACAAGGTGGATATGTCATCAAACTCTCACGAGGCGTTATAACGGGGAGAAAAAAGGGAGTGAAACAAGGAATCTATCTGCAACGCCAGGAGGACATGCAAACGGTCGATTGGATTGAGGGGGGGGTGTTTTGATTCGAGGTGGGTAAATAGGCAGAGGGCTTTCCCCAATCGCGTGGTTCCGGTACATACAAAACAACAATGACACGCTAGGGTTCTGATAAGATGGGGGACGGGCGTGGAGGGGGAAATCAGGTTAATTACCTGATCCAACAAGAAGAGATGCCGCTCACGAGAGACAGGAATCAATCCAAACAATGCAATCAATAGTCACGGGAAGGGAAGAAGCCAATTCTCAGCGACGCGAAAAGGTGTGGGCTGCCGCTGATGTCAGTCACGCCGTCGGCCCGGGTTGATCCGCGCGATCCAGCGCGAGAGATCGAACAAGCGATTAATTGAGCTTCAACGGAGTGGAGCGATTCAAGCGCAAAAGGGTCATCGTTCGCAATGCGACCGGATGCCAAAGCAATGTGATTTGTGGAGAGGACTGAGGGACAGACAGGAACAAGTCGAGTTGCGACTGAGCGAAGGGTTGGAAGCCAACAAGAACGTGCACAAGGGACACAGAAGTGATGTGATTGGGACGACAGACGGGCATTGGGGAGAGTTGGGTACAAACAGTCTATACAATCATACAATCGTACTCGAATCATAAAACCGGAGATAAAAAAAAAATTAAAAAATAAAAAGGATAAACAGGAATAAAATAATACTGGACAAGAGCAGGGGCACGACGGAGGGGGGGAAAGATTCCACGTACCTCGGGGCAGTGATTCGACCACAAACCGTGGAAATTTTGGAAGAAGACAGATGGAAGTGATCAATCACGAGGAGAGAAACGGATGGGGGAGGGGGGGAGGCACAACGGGCTCAATGAATCTGATTTGAAGGCTGCTCGACGGTGGGAATGAATAATCAAATCAAAAATGCAGAAAGATAAAAAAAAAAAAAAAAAAAAAAAATAGAATAAGATCACTGGTAAGTATCCGTAAGAATGGAAATAAAAATAAATAACAAGAGAATTTAAAAAGGTAGGAAGAATGCCAATGGACAACCACTTCTGTGCGGCCAGGTCAGAGGGAGGTCGGTGACTGGAGGGCACGCAAGGACCGGAGAGGGCGGGACAACCAACGAGAAGAAGCAGAGAGAGAAAGCCGCAGCGAAAAGAAGGGCGGGCGATGGGGCATTTGTACCGGAGAGGAGCTGACTGGCCCGCAGCCTTCGTCTAGCGGTCGACGCGATGCCCTCGCCGTACGGTTCCGTAATCTCCCCCGGCTCTGCCCCACTTGGCTTTGTATTGTACTGTCCTCAGTGTCCTGGGAGTAAGGTAATGCGCTATGGTCCCTACAGAGTTACTGGCGGACGGGGATATGGAAATGAGGATTCTCTCATTGCAGCAGCGTACTCCGGTGTAGTACTGCCTAACCCTCAATAATCATGAAAAATAATTGTTATTATTATTAAAATCACAATGTGACAATATATCATAATATATCTCGATTAAAAACTAAGTTAGCACTAACTGACTTGTTCATTTCCTGGATAGGAATTGTTTTTTTTTTTTTCTACTGTCCGGCCGTCCCGAATTTGAGACGCTCGTCATGTGCTTCTCCCTCGGTGGCATCGACCAGCCACCCTCGTTTGGTTTCCACGTGTGCTTAGTCCGCGTTGGATTCTGGATTGTATTCTCATCGCCATTTCTATTTCGATATTGGCCTTTGGGCTACCCTCTCGGTCTGATTTAACCGTCGTGCTAGATGACAGACGGATTACGGACTTGATTCATCTCCCCAACGTGAGGATTTAATCACCATGACGTCGAGCCTTGACGGGGACAATGGCAGTTCGGCCGACTTGGTCGCAGACGCTCGGCCTCGGTTATATACCCTCTTTAGGCAAGAAGTCTTCGGGCAGCCCAACGGTACAATCATCATTGCTTTTATCACTCGGCAATTCTTGTGCACAACCCACGGTTACGTCGCGTAGTCGGTATTATTTGAGAACACTTCCATTAGCAATGGCGGTTACGAGGTTAAGCGCGCATAGACACCGTCACGGTTTTCTTCTTTGATTTTGTAACTGGAATTACTCCCAACATCTCCCTGATAAAATCATCTCGTGGAACCATCAAACGCAAAACGAACTTCCCTGCCGTCGCGTACCGAGTAAACTCAGTTGCCTTGAGAATACGTGGAATAAATTGCAGCAACCCCAAACGGAGCCCCGTCCGTATCCGGTATGCCAAGTACTACGGAAACCGAAATCTGCAAGGACCTGGATACGTTGCTTTTACTATCACAGATATACTCATAGTATGGAGAGAGTTTATGTTATGGTTAATATAGCCAGGGAACTATAAACAAAGAAACTCCGCCTAGTACCACGAGCCTGTATGGCTGTCTGCCTATACTCCCCGTCGTCCAGCACGATGGCCGACAAAGATTGGTCGCCGATCTGTCCCACACCACGTGTAGAAGCTTGACCGCTTGGTCGTAGGGTTGATTCGACCAGCCCACGCTGAAGATTTAACTAATTTGTATCACGAAGTTGGGTGGATATGATGGGAAATACTCACTGGTCCTGCACGGTATAGAATGCTCTTTAGCCTGTCTCAGCATGGCCTTTGGCCCCATACGGAGCGATGTACTGTGCAAACGACCTCGTTTACACTTCCATTACGCAGTAGGCATTACCCGTACGGTAAGATGACTCGAAGGGGAAGCTTTGGCCACCTGACGTCAAGTGATTTGGTGCCCCCACCCACACCGCTGTTCGGCGTTTGCATGAGCTGAACGGAGTTCTTTGTATACCAGAATCTGTACAGCAAGATGGCTTGGAATGATTTTTTTTTTTTCCTCCTGGGTATAGAGTCGCTTCTTGGAATACAGGCACCTTGCGGATGCAGGTTCTGGATGGGGCCTAATGTAGCACAGTTTTCTGTCAACAATGTCACATCCTACACATCAATCGACCTTCTCATGACGAGTCCAAACTAGGTAGCGAGGTATGAAGCCTCTCATGTATCCCGAGCAGGGAATGCAGTTCTAAATTCAGCGGACGTATCATTTGTTGTTCTACTTTGCTTTTTCACTGCCTTGGATTTGATTCTCGTCTCTCCGATTGCGCGCTGTGCTGACTTCATATGTAAGTAAGCAATTTGGTGTTAGAATATGAGTACAGTCTCTTTGGTATCATCCTGTAGGTTATCCTCGAGAGGTGGATACAATTGCGTTTCAGTCTTGTGTCATTCTAATGATGTGTTCATTTGATCGTTTAGCAATGTGTCGCGGGATTTCTAACCCTATGTTCTATGCGACCAAGCTGGTCTACTTCGCATGGCCGGGAAAAGCGATA